ACCTCTTTTTTAGCTTTTTTTTTATTTTTTTTTTTTTTGCTCATTTTTTCTCCTTAATGTTCCGTTACTTCTTTGTACCGGGGTATTGATGCTTAGACCCCCCCCCCCCCCCCCCTATCTACTTGTACCTGCTGTAGCGTTAGTATCTTGCTTTTTTTGCTAGCATCGCGTTCTAGAACCTCTGGTGACTGCTAATTTCAGAGTGATTGCGTAATGGGACTAATTGCGAAATGCCGGTAGCGATGCTATTAGTTACTACTAGTTACCTGTTAGTAGGTAGCTGAAGATAGATTTCTGTGGGAAGCCAGTCCACTTCGATATCAGACCCATTGGGTACCTTAGGGAGGTACAGTAAGCAATCTCTCTTCGAGTTCGAAGCTCCATACGCTAAAGCCACCGTAGGGCTGTTGGAAAAGCTTCGTGTACGTAATGTGGGAACATATGATATATCTCGGGCCGGCTCTCTTTCGGTCGAGCTTCGGTGAGCTGCTTTCCAAGAAAGCTACCTACCTAGACCTACCTAACCTTAGATACCTCAACCTAATCAACGACCGGCCCTTACCGGCGTTCTTGTCATCCCGCTTTGCTTAGCTCACCCCCCCTAAGGGTCTAAGACCCAGCCCAGTTAGAGCCCGCCACAAATCGCAGCTCTGGGCACGAGTTCCGCACTTCGGCGGGGATCCGTCTGCTACCGTGGCTTTATACTAATGATAACCGAGGGGTCCGTTATTCGGATACAGAAAACGGCGCGAGTCAGTTAATCTTACTGGGTGGGAATAGCGCAAAAAAAAAAAAAGTGAGGCTATGGTTGACACATCAATGACAAGATTTCTTCTAGATGTTCCGCCCAACTTCCCCAAGCTTGGGTTAGGTAGTTACGAGAAGAAGGTAAAGAAACGCCAGAGACAACTGGGTCACGGTTCTGGCAATAGCCAAGTTGGGTATGTAATGTCCCTAGTAAGTATGTACTAAGAGGCTATTAGACACCCACGTACGAAGGTAAGGCGGCTAGGTAGACAGCTAGAATGAACAGGTACCTAACAACAACGAGATGAATGCCGTACGGCACCGCTGGAACTCGAGCCTAATTCCAGGCTGGGCCCAGCCTAAGATCTGATAGCTTGGGTGGTCGACCAGTCAGTCAAGTGTGCTGTTATACGCCCTTCGACTAGCGACATTAGCATGATGTTTAGGTACAGCAATAGCGTACCTATGTAATAGCTACGGTGAGTCCCAACTATGAATTACCAGAATTGACGGTATCCCAGGTTCCCCAGTTCCAAAGGCGGGTTCCGGAACAACACGAAACTCACCGCTCGGCACTCGCAACATACACACACACACAAGCTATGTGTACAAGTGTCGATTGAAGCCAACTAAGAAAAGCCCCTCCTCCCCGCCCCGGCCCACGAGGGAAACCTTGAGTCTTTTTGAGTTGTCACTTGATAACTTTAACCTAAAGGGAAATTTTCGTGCGAGTTGCTGCCAGCGCCAAGCGCCTTCTTTTCTCCATAAACAAAAATCGCCAACCAGAGCGTACGGATAGATAATTGGAACTTTGGTATTGTACACATGGCAGCTTCGTGGGATTATAGTTAGTAAGCTAGGGGGGGAAAGGGTCCCGCGAAAGATGCCCGATGCGTGAGAATGACGGGATTGGAAAAAGACGGTCACCGAGAATTCCTCCCTTCCACCATCGAGACAAGTCCGAGGGAAACTAAAAGCGTCTTAGTTTCAGGCCGAATCTAGAATGCGATGACAAGTGCCCGATAGCACCTAGACGCGACCTGCTTTTTTTTTTTTTTTTTTTTTTTTACCAATCCACATACCAGGTCCAATGAGCTGTTTTGTGTTTGTTCTTGTTTAGTCGAAATGTGGCTCTTCCACTACCTATACCGACACGCCCCCTAGGAGCTAGGGGGGACCCAGCGACGATGGAGCCGAGCCTGACTTAGTTGCGAACTGGTTCGCGCAGGAACCAAAATAGACTCCGCGATTCGCGTTTCCTGGAACCGGCACCGTCGCATCGATATCGATTATCGAGCATGCTGCAGCAAAAGAGATGGATGGATAAAAGATGACGGGTGATGGGGCCCCTCCTTAAACCATATTGTTGTCACGATCGTCAATCCCACCGTTGATGATGTAGCAAGTATAGCGTAAGGCGCCCACGCCAAAACTTAAAATCCACATATCAATCCACATGTCTTGTACGTGATGAGTAAGATTAGGTCGGGAGGAACTTTGTTGTCGGAGTCTGCCTACGACCAAAAAAAAAAAAAGAACCCCAAAAAAGGGTCAAAGACATCTGACGAAACAAAATATCTTGAATTCATAACTTCTAAGCTTATGCCTCATGAGACCGGGCCCTTCGCATTTCCGGTCCCAGACATGGATGGACCCTGAGTGGACCACGTTGCTTGTAGGGTCTCAGCCGAAAGGGTGAAGAGGGAAAATATGTAGGAATAAGCAATGGTATGGCATGTCACGTTTGTTATCGCGCCTGTCTCCCGTCACCCGTCATCAAAAAACAAGACATATTGGCCAGAGGTCTTACAATATTGAAGGGATTATCGCGTGGTATGTAGGGTCTAGTGGTATGGAAGCTTCTTAGACGGCGAACAAGACGTAGGGCTATGTCGGGGACATCTGCCATGATAGGGACAGATGGGCGACCGGCTGACCCTTAAGAGGACTTGGATATTACATTCATTACCTACGTGGCTCTACTCTAACAGACAGCCTCGGGCGATTGATTACCGGGACCAATCGGTTTCGAGACATTGAGCTGACCCGGCTGGACTATCTCCAAGACACTCAGCCTCAGCGCGTGTCCTACACATGCTACAACACCATGATAGGTTTCGGGAAGCCCCAGAGAAGGACACGCGTATGTAACCACCAGGCTGAGATGGTACCGTGTTCGGTAACATCTTATGTGTATGTAGCATTGTCTCACCCATCCCAACATTCCCTTAATCCAGATGGCTGGTAGAAACAAACAAGCCTACCTACCTACTAATGTAGAGTGTCGGTCCGGCAACACGCTTGCGTGCTCTTCGGTCTCACCCACGAGAATTTTCACTCCGGGCGCGTGACCAACACCTTCAGGGGTCGTGGTGGTCGTGGTGGTCGTGGACTTTCTTTATTTTCGTCTTTCTCGAAAACCAAGGCTGCCTGATACGGAAAACTGGAATGGTGATCCAGACCTACACTATGTGGTAAGTAAACAACAACACGGCTCTCGTTAAAAAGTGAAATCCGAGCCCGGATTGGACGAAATATGCCGAAACAAAGTCCAGCCCACACGGAGCCGCAAATGGCCTTTCGTGTTTCCTTCCCGAACCCCCCTGCCCCCCCCTTGCCCCCTAAAAACTAAAATAAAAAGGTGGCCCTCATTGGCGTTAGGGGGGCGTGTTTCTTTCCCCGGGCACTTGGTTATAAGACTTCGTACTATATGTTTTGCCACGCTAATAATATCGAGACACGACGACGATCTAACCGTGTCGCCGGCTCCGCTAGGATACTCCACCGCCTCCGCATCGGTATGGGGAGGGAAGCGGAAAACGTCCCTACGCATTCTAGCGTCCGCTGCGCTGTAAGACGGGGAGGAGGAAGAAGAAGAAGAAAAAGAAAAGGAAGGACTAAGGAAGGACAACCAACACATTCCCGCCGTGTGTGCCATTCGCTTATTCATTTGCCGTAGGGCGACGATGAGCCATTCTGCCTAGATCTACACGCATAATGAAAACATAGTATGCCTACCTATGCTGAGACACAAATATTACAACCGCAGGCGGATGCCGTGGAACGCTCCCCCGGGACGGACAGCTCTGCTTACTACAAAGTCCTAGTTTGGAACGATCGAACAGGTCCAATAAGGCTTGATAGAATTGGCTCTCATGATTTCGCTTAAGGGGGGAAACGCATGTACGAGAACCAGATAGGATTGGGATACAGTACTGAAGTGTCATTGTAGAATAGGTCACCGCACCTTAGGTAAAGAGACACGCAATCAACTATGTATCAGGCTCCCCCTTGTTATGGTTAATGGGGCTGAGCCGCTTAACCACTTTGTCTACGTATCTGACCCGATCAGGACTTGTCAGCGGGGGATAACAGTGCTGTTTTGGGAACTGCTTGGTGGAGGTCGAATGTTATTATTAGTCACTATGATTCTTCTTCTTCTCCCCCAAGACGTCGTCGTCACGATGAGATGTTAGGCACCTGATGAGGGTCTTCGAGTATCGACGATAGGTACATATTTCCCCATTTCGATACCTAAATGGTGCCTTCGTAAAGGATTCGTCTGCCCCGTCGCACCATATCCATCTTCCCGTCAATCCGTTTTAGCAAGACGAGGCGTGCAAAGGGAAAAAGAAAGAAGAAAACACATGGACAGGCCCAAATGACAAGTCCTTCTTTTAGTGTACCGTAGTTCCCCAGCGTGGGAGGCATCAATATGACACGCAGTTGAGGAGGATCAGGTGCCACGACTCGAAAACAAAGACCTTCGACTAGGTACGTAGACAGTGGGTGTTTCCGTTTCTGTGCCGTACCCGTCCTTGTGGAGATGAGATGAAAGAGAACAACTAGAGAGTTGATGAATGTACCACGACTGGGGAGGGAGAGATCATCATAGATCGAGGGACAAGCGATTTGCACTGCACTGCACCGCACCACCGCCCCGCCTTCAATCTTTCTGATACCTGTCGGGTTAGGAGGAAGAAGGAAGCGGGAAAAAAAAGTAGCTTAGTGTAGAATATTTCCCCTTGATCGAACGGGACCACGTCACTACGAGCGCATGCCCCCCCTTCTTCCCTCCTCCCCCACACATGTGGGCGCAAAAACTAAGCTCTCTCTTTTGCTGCTTCCGCTTCGCTCTAGAGCCCTACCCTACCCTTCCAGAGCCCTAACCGGAACCAAAAGCTAGCTAAGAGAACCTTACGGGTGGGTGCCCAGAGGGGGGGTTGACAGCGGGTTGTGCTGTGCGGTGCGGTGTGGAGGCTGCGAGCCACCGTTTTGGGTTGGCGATGCCCTCATCGAACCGCCAGACTACCGACCTAGGTAGAGATTTAGGACCGGCTCCGTCACTCCGATTTGCTTGCGCACAACTACTGGATTTCTCATTTATTTTCGGGTCCCCTTGTAACCTGTTTCTCGCCGTTGCTCCACTGCCTTCTTACGTGCTATGCCTTACCTAGCCTAGATAAACCTACATGCGATACATAGATTGGCCTAAGTAATGTAAAAGTCTACTTAGTCAGGCACGACGTTACGGAGCACACAACTCACATGTAGCGGTCGAGACGACGGGTTCCCAATTATGGGGACTGCAAAAGGGAAGAGGGAGAGGAAAGGGAGAGTTAGACGAATAATAGCTTCCTGTCTACAAGCCAAACCCTGCGGCCTGGCAATAAACGGTGACAGCTACTACAATGCAGAAACGCCTCTGGTGCCTGCGCCATGCGAACCTGAGGGCCTATGCGAATGTATGGTATGATATGTTTGTTTGTATGTACTTAATGTATGTACTACCCCCCCATCCATAATATCGAGTGTTTCCGATTAGCATAGGCACGAGCATGAGCATGAGCATGAGCATTAGAATAACCATTGAGCATGTGTGAAGCATGTGTGTACGATGTAGCCAACGTAGTATTGTCTGTACGAAATGATTGTGCCTCTCCACTCGGAAGCAGGCGGCACTGTAACAGTTGATCAGAAGCAGGCTTTTGAGCCTTTCGATCCAATCTCCGCTCATATCTCATCAATCAACCCTCTTTTTTCTTTCTTGTGCCAATATAACCCCTCCTTACACACAGCACACAGCCCTCTCTCCCCCTCTTTTCTCATGGAGAGGGACGGCGGAATTGTGTGGGTCCCGGTCGCGATGAAGCCTTGGAAGGGGGATCTCAAGGAATTGGATCTGGCCCACGAAGGGGGGGGAGGGCGCGGAAGATGGAGGGTCGAACATACATACAAACACGAATAACATATGAGAGATTAGACCTATGAGTGAGTGAAGGATAGAGAGAGTCAGAGAGAAAGAGAGACGGAGAGAGGAGCAAAGAAAGCTTTCACCGCCATGTGCCAGTGAACCCAAGCCGTCGGTCCAATCACCACGCGGGAAGTAAGGGAAAAGCCGACACCCCCCATCACCATACCCAAACCATCGACTTGCATACGCACCGCGGACTAGGGGACATGGACCTTGCCATCTCTGATTCGCCCTCAAGGCGAAAAGGGCACGGTTAGGAGAAGGAAAGAACAGAAGGGAAAGATGCGAGAAGCAGAAGAAAAGGAAGAAGAAGCAGAAATCAAGGAACAATAGAAAGAAGAAGGGCTAGGTACATCACACATTGACTTACTTATTACACCAACGGCCCGGCAGCGCACTAGGTAGGGTTGAGCATACAAGAATAAAAAAAAATAAAAACCATAAAAATAACCAAAAATAGAATGAATGCGCTGCAACATAGTAAAAAAAATAAAAAAATCATGATACTGAATAATGAACGCTACGGAAGAAGGGCGCAATGCTTCTTTCCTCTACCTAATGTTACCTGTGACCTACTCTCGAACCACTTAACCCGCCCGAGTATTGGGGAGACAACGGAGGACAGCGAAAAGTGGTCGGCGCAGCGTCCCGAGGTATTATTGCATTGTCTGTCTGTCTTGTCCTCGACACACTTGCGCGCGCAACACTGCGTCTAGATGTAAACGTACAACACCTAAAGTACCTGATGATGGGTAGAGAGTTCCCTTTTCTTTTCTTTTCTTGTCTTCCTCTTTCGTTTTCTTTTGTCCATCCCTTTTACATACTAGTACTATGTAAACTCGTGCAGCAAGGTAACCGAGATGAGCTGGGTATACCTAATACCTATTGTACCAAGGATTTGCGCCTGGCTCTTTTTTTTTCCCCCTTTGCGCCCAAGACGGGGGGGAGCCGTCCAACCCACAAAACCCATTTCCCAGCAGCCCAGCAGATGGATACAATAGCACGTAGCATGTAAATTGAGCTGTTGGTAAGGGAGGGGAAGGGGGAGAAATAAAATGGGAAGAGGAGGGGGAAGGGGGGGAGAAAACCAGGTACCGATCCGTACAAGAAAGCCTCGAGCGCGGTTAGCCCAGCTTACGATATCATCATCATCATCAACATCATCATCATCATCATCATTATCGTAGCGAAGCGACAGATGTGATGCAATAGTAATAAGTCAGTAATTTAGTCTAAAATTGCCAAGCTTCAAGGCTACCTAGTCTAGTTGACGAGTCTGAGCGGCGGCATTTCTTTTTTTTTTTGTGAAAATTAACCAAAGGTTAAATCGCTTTGTCAAATTGTAATTTCGTAAGGCTGGTCTAGTCAACCTAATAGCCAAGCGGGCCGGTTAGGAACTGAGGTCGAAGCGAAATAACACAAGGAAACAAAGCGTCAGATAGAGCAAAAGGGCGGAAAGGGGGGGAAGCGGTCGGAGCGCCGTAAGAAAAACCGGGGAGTCAGAAAGAAAGAGAAGGGAGACGATTCGAGGTTCCTTTTTTTCTTTCTTTCTTTTTCTTGGCTTTGCAACCAACCTGAGGGAGATGGCCGTAGAAACCGTAGAAGCTAATGCGGGCCTTGCAGGCTTTGCAGGCCTGCGTTGCAACGATGGCAGAAAAGTGTGATTATGAAGGTAGAGCATATCCATGCACACTCGCAAGCCCTGCCCTGGCAAAGTAAGGCGAGTGGCGTCGGCAGCTTTCGTCCAATCAGCGCAAAGGGACCGTTGAAGCCATCACCCTGACCCAGATGCTGGTATTCCCATGGTCGTGAATAGTGTTGAAGCCTTGATGATTTGGTGTCTTAGGATTAGGTTTCGAAGCGGCTGAGGTGAGAATCGAGTCTACCAGTACCCAGTAGCGAAGTTGTCTTGAGCTATGGATTAACCTTGGAAATTCAAGACATGGGTCGTCTAAAGTTGTTAGTAACGAATAGTGAGACTTCTCATAATGCCTGGGACGACAATCACGAAGCACTGTCACTTGTGCGCAGGTTGTAAAGCTAAGCCAAGCTATATTTTGATGGTTATTGCGACTGCTCGCAAAAACATTGTATTGGTTTGTTCGAGAGCCTATGGACGTTATTTAGTCTCAAAAGGCCCCCTAACAGGACCACCGTGTCTGATCGGTGCCCCTAGGTATAACGTATAATTTTGCGCCAACAGATGATGTTAAGCGCGGGTGAGGTTATTGGCCCTCTTCTGGTCTATTTCAAATCCAGCTTCATATCTGTCCGTAACTGGTCTCGATGAACTTTTCTGTTTTTTTCCCCGATGGCTCTCGATATCAAGATCCATAAATATCCTCTGTATCCAATAGTAAAAAAAGAAAAAAATTGGTATCATCCAAACGAAAGTATCGACATCTCCCCTTTGAAATGCAACCCGTGCAAAACCGACACATTAGAAAATACCAAGTTTGTACAGAAATAGCCTTTCAGCTCCAAACACATCTCCAGTTGTATGTTTTGCGCCGTTTGATAATGCTTTCCCGTTACACTCCCGGACTGTAAATAAGATAGTGGGCTCCTGTGGTCCTTGGTCTTATGGATTGATCCTCATCAAGTCGTCCAACAACTCCACGCTGATTAAACAAAGAAAATACATGACGTCGAAGTAAGTACAGGTTTGAATGGCATAAAATGCTCCCAAACGCGCCGCATACATGGGAAGCGACGTTTTGTAGAGCTCCATTTCTGGGTATGGATTTTCCGGAGATGGTTCCTATGGATCCAATGGAATATGTATTATAAACGTTATATCAAGTTGAATTAGTTTTTTGTCGAAATATATCCTCAGGTCTGGGTCCGGGATCCGTGGCTGGGCCAATCCATGGAAAAATAACTCCTATGGCCTATTTCCAGGTATACGGCAATACAGGCCAACACGACCTTAGATTAAGAATGCCTCCAAGGTAACGAGGTGGCTACGCATACTCGATGCAGCTAATAGCAGCCTTGGAAGGTGGAAAACAGAGGAACTTGTGGGTGGAAAGGAATGGAATGTATGGGTGGGGGTTGTGTGTACCTATTCACCACTTCCCAGAAGTATGGAAAGGCGAACTTGGTTGGTGCACAGCTGGGCTGTACAGGAACTTGAACTGGGCAAGGCTGGCAGGATTCAACTGGTCCTGAGTACTGCGGAACAAACTCCTGTGAAAACATAACTTTTGGTTCTTCTGAATCATACAACTGGGGCTCCTGGATAGGAGGGATCTCATCCTCTGTGAGAACGAAATCATCGTCGTCTATATCGTCGATGGTCGAGACACTAGAGGTGAGAGATCCATCGTCGGATGAACATGTAGATTCCGCATCGGAGTCCGAAGCGGTAGGTGATGGTGGCGAATCGAAGTCCTCGGCAATGGCTTCTTCGCAGTCAACGTATTCGATAGGCCCAGGCGAATTGGGCGGTGTTGGGAGCGCCTGCGGGGCAGGCGCTGTAGGTGAAATCGTAAATCTGGAACAGGCGAGAATGCTGTTCCTAAGTTCTGGTAACGTAATTCTGTGATCTGGGTTGCGGGTAAAAATCCTCCCTAGGATATTGTTGAGGTCATCCGACAATGGCAAAATAGTCCGTAGGAAATCCTGACTCCTGGTATAGGCACGGTATGTGGAATCTTCAAACGAGGCTTGCTTCCACGGATTACGGCCACAGGTCAAGTTCACTAGGATAACACCAAGGCTCCAGACATCATTGGGGGCGCAATAATAATACGGCCTTCGGAGTGACGGGTCCAGACATTCTGCGTGAGAGAAGACGAACTAGTTAGTAAATCCCTAAAAGTAATTAAATAAAAAGAAGGTTCCCGACGAGACCCTACCTGGTGACATATAGAAAGTTGAACCGCATCCGTAATCTTCGGACCGGTCTGAAGAGGTGGCCAAACCGAAATCTGCCAACTTTACTGTGTCTCCTCGGTTCGAAACTAAGATGTTCTCGGGTTTCAGGTCGCGGTGGTAGATTCCAAGGTTATGGCAATGCTCAACGGCGTCCAGGATCTGTAGGAATACGCTTTTGACCAATGCATCCTTACCCACATATTGTCCTCTCTCTGTAATATTGAGGAAAAGGTCACCTTCCGGGCAATACTCCAGGATAACATATATGCAGTCTGGGTCGTCAACAATCTTATGCATGGAGACAACGTTAGGGTGTGCCGAGGCCATGTAGTGTAAGCGTAGTTCCCGGTGCTGGAAGGCAACTTGTCGTCGATCCAGAGGCGAGCCATCTGCGTTGAACTTGCTGAGCGTCTTCACAGCATATCGGACTCCGGTCTTAACGTCGATGGCCAGGTAGACCACGCCATAGGCACCGGTTCCAATAATTCCTATTAACTGCAGACTTTCTCCAAGGAACTTTCCTAGTCTTTCTTCCGGGGCAACTGGAGTGTATCGAGGTTGACAAACAGGGGGTACAGCTAGTGGTGGTTGTTGGAAAGCACACTTGGTGTTGTCGTAGGAGGGGGATGCCGGAGGCGTGGGATACCCGTACGCTGCCACATTATGCATCGTATGCGATAGATTATGGTCCTTTCCTGGGAAATCCGGGACTGGATCTTGAAAAAAGGTAACAGAGATATAAGGAAATTAAGAGAAAACGGCCTTCTCTACTGGAACGTCCTCAAACCAAAAGCAATGTCCTTGGAAGCAAATTCACGGAAAGTCCTTGGGATGTAAGCTATTTTTATGTTTTCCTGGGTCGTATGTAGATGGCGTCGAGTCAACGGGCCATGGAATTAGTAATAGAAGTCGCCGTGTAAGGAGGCCAGGTGTCGAAGGCCGGTGGGTGTAAGGATAAGGGAATGTTGATGGCGACTGGTATTATGGCGACGAATCCGAGTTGCAACGGTTAGTCGTGAGGTAGGAGGGTGAGTGGTTTTTTTGGGCAATGAACGGAGGTTAGTGAACGATGAGGTTAAAGCAAGAGCAGGCCGGGAGGTTGATGTAGATATTGAAGATAGGGCATCAGGGGCCTGGCCTTTTGCGTGTTTGGAGTGGCTCAAGCGACTTTGACTCTTTCGATCCACAATGATCAATAGCCAGCTCACATCCATGTGTGAACCTATTGGTGCCACTTCCCACGCATACGCTATTCTTGAATTTGACGCGCTAACGTAGCTGTGAAGGCGGCCTGGCGAGAGTGGAGCTCACAGGAGAAGGGAGCAAGGGGAGTGAGTAGACGAGCAGACGAGCAGGGGGAGGTGTCAAGAATGGGGACCAATGCCTTCCAGGGCGCTCCACTGGAGGGATGGATAACCCAGCCTGAACAAGGACCAAGATCTTCGTGGCTCGTCGTAATATACGAAGACAAGGATGGTCTGACACACGAAAATAAATGATCCACTCAACGGCCCAAGGTGGGCCACTGTTACCCTAATAGAAGCCATATCAAATATCTAATACCACGCCCAAGATCCTAGTCGAGCTAGTCAAAGACTGAGTCGAAGAGAAGGGGGCGTGCGTGTGATCTTGTCGATACATAGCACTTGGGGGACTGGCGAGACTGGGCAAAGAACTGGTACGGACTGCTGACTCTCCACCTCTTTTCCCTCTCCTTGTTCACACACCCGTCCTCTCACTGGCCGGGCAAATCGTCATAAATCGGCGACCCGTGACTCGCATAGCTTTTTCCTTGCCCTCTTGTCATTGGGACGCCGGGCGGTTGGCAAGATCCTTGATTTGGCTGAGAAGACACAGTTATTGTGGCCAAACTTTGGAAGATACTGGCATCTAAGAATATTACATCTTTCTTACCCTTTGTTTTCAAATGAAGCTCGCCTTGAGCAAACCTGCTTGATTAATGGACCTCTCTGCTTGTAAAAAGTACTTAGGGGCAAACTGTCCCGGTTTCTTATTAAATCCCGCATATTCGTAGTACCCTATACGCACAGTACATAGTACTAGGCGGCCTTCTAAACCAAAACCAGTGTTGTGACTCGGGAAACGTTTCTCAGGGAATGAAGTTTCGTATACTTGTGCTCTTCTAGGCAGCTTTGCCGCTACGAATGCTCATAACAAAAAAAAAAGAATGCATAAAAGGTCACCCAGTAATCCTTCTGTTGCAAAGACTGCCTCGTGTCCCATATGATTAATGCTACATTAGCCAATAGCTTGCCGCTGAGCAAGATCGGTGTCTCTGTTTATGTCGCACCTTCAACTATGTATGTCAGTTCTGTGAGAGAATAATCCGACAATCTGCCCACATGAACTGACACGCTTTAGTGCTGATAATTTATGCCGTATGTATTGATTTTCTGGCTTGTGGGCTAACCTTTCCTTTGTGTCTTTTCGCCTCCTCACCAAGCGAAATCCTAGGAATACCCTACATGTAGGGACTGACGTTGCTGCTTATACCTGTTGAGGGGCCTACTAAGGGGCACAGCGCTATTGGGCTTTTTTCTTGGTATACGAAGTATTTCGAACTAGGTAACTACCTAAAGAGGTATATCTCATGCATACCAGGTAAGTACTATGTAATGACACCTGTTTGCTGTGTCTCTGGATCTGGATTTACCGCCACAAACATGCCGTTTGCTGGAAATGAACTTAACGTCTAAGCCTTCTTGCTAGTTAAGCGGCAACGGGTGACGATGATGTGTGTAGAGAAGGGATGTTCGCTGGGGCCGCTTGTATCCGCGCGCTCAACACTTACATCGTCTAGAGCATATTTTTATTTCATTTTCGATTCCCTTATGGGTTCGGCCGTTGGCGATGCTGTACCATCGATACTACTGCCTAGATATTCGCTATTTCGCCCTCAGGGCGCTCTCTGATGAATTGACGACTAAAAACTGACCGGCCGATTATTACAGAGCTGCAGAAAATTTACTAGTGGCGGTAACGATACCGGATTTGTAGAATGGCAGCGGTAGCATTGCAGCAAATGCAAGAAAGTGTCCAATGGCGCGCAGACTTCTCGTTGCATCCCGGGGGTCTACAGACAAGACCGTCCTAGCCTTTGGTGGCTGTGATTGGTTAGGATCAATTAGGTGGGTGTGGGACGGTAATAAAATCTGATGAAGCCCCAGGTTTGGCTTTTTTTTTTTTTTTCTCTCGAGGCTGCAGGTTGTGGCCTTGTAAAAAGTGAGGGATTATCTCCGAACGGTGTGGGTAGTATTGAATAATCTCTTTGGTGCGGGCGTGGGCGACTGCATGCAGTAGCCTCGTAATACGGCAAAGGGATGAAGGATTGATTCGATGAGATTGGTCGGCGCCTTCTGATGTCTTGCCGAGAAGTGAGGCTGTCGGTCCAGGGCATCTGGGCCAATCCATGAACGAGAAACGAGATACAGTCCTGACTGCTTATGTTGCTCAGATCTGAAATAAGCCAACAGCCTGCAAGAAATGCTATGTCAATACGCAATCGACATGGCATGTATTTTAACTGTACGTAGTGGTGAATACCTCTTTAGCTAAATGAGGCCTACATGGATGCATTTTTGAGCCTTGATGATGGAAAGTTGAAAAAATGAAAAAAAATGGCATATGTTCCAAGAATTACCTAAAATAAAATACGTTGTCAGTACCTAACCTAATCTAGATTCTACATGTACCTAAGGTGATGTATCCTTGTACACTTGTATTCATGTACTAGGTACCTTGTATTGGAATCGAACAGATCGGAATATTCTTTGAAGCGCTGCCCTCCGCCCTCTTCCGCTGAAATGTAACCGTCACTCCGTACTGTCACTCCGTACCGCCACCACGCTATTTTCACATACGTAGTAAATGTTTCTCACGATAAGACTCATTAAAGGCCTTTTAGGGCATTATTGTTCTAAATCTATTAATAATAATTTGATTCGATTTTATGTACCTACTTATTGTTTTTCATATCACATGGCCACATCACAACACGAGCCCATAAGATATCAAAATCAAAATACTTACGGGTTCTCTCTCGCCTTGCTGTTGTTAGTGGCCATTTTGCATTCTGCATTGTGCCGTCATACAATATTGTCATACAATATTTTACGCCCAGCCCCCAATAAGTTGCAATAATCCGTGGTATTATTTCGGTCGCTTTTTAGAAGAGCCTACCAGAAACCACCAACGTTACCCATAGCATGTAATCTCACCTCTTTGCAGGTGCCTCCTCGCCAATCTACAGTTCTAAACGAAGAAGAGGCTATCATTCTCTTCGACACTCACCGCTGTAAGCCACCACATTCTGCCATAGTCCTTCTTGTCCATCATACCTATGTCTCCTTCATGAGTTCATATCCCTTCAACGATTTTACAACCAATCTGAGCGAGAGTTATGCCACTTTCCTAATTTAGCCTATTCATACCGCAACAAACGTCATCACGGTTCTGCATAAACCTGTCGATTAACATGACTTGTACTACGTATGGGATTAATGCCTCGACTGCGCCGTAGCGTATCAGATTGGCGTCCCAAATCCTATGGGCATTGGCAACCCGCCATCACTTTTGATCAATTTGCTTCTGCTTACTACATGGTTGGGACGTTCTCTACGAATGTGTATGTAATATCATGGTTGTTTTTCATGAATCCGGTCTTAATAGTTGACCCCATCATGTTTCGAACCCTGTCTCCCACGAGAGCTCGAACAACTCGCATCCATCTGTGCTCGCGTGGTCTGTGGGCAACAGACCTTAGTGCGATCCCGAGACATGGAATCGGTATGTCATTACCTACGTCCAACTTATTCGGCTAGCTAAAAGGTCCCTTTGCTTTTAACCACCCGCCGCTCAGGCCATCCTATTCCTTGTAGTAGTAGCCTCGCGGCCAAGGGTCCCAGGGCTTCGAAACAATTGCGCGGTCATAGTTAATCTTCTCACCATGGACCTCTAGCTGGGGAACCGTCAGGGGTCTGGACGCCCTAATAATGTGCATCGTACCACGTAATACAACTTTTTCCAAACTCTAGAACTCGAGCGCCAGTCTCTCAGCGAAGGTGAAGCGGCAACTATGAGTTTCGAACAAGTTGGAGGATCACGAATTAGGATATTTTCCGCCGTATGACAAGACAGTATCCTTGGCCGTTAGTACGGACGCATTGCTAGTAAACTTGCCCATGCCCATGTCCCAGGCTTAGCGATTTTAATGACCCGGACCGTACGCCTCGCAATTCGGCAAATCCTTCCTCCTGAAAGATCGCCGGCGATGGGAAGATCTTAATCAAGTGGACACGGCACAATGAGATTCAAATTTTGATAGTTTCTCTCCACATCAATACCTAATTAAAGTGCGCAGCGCCGCGCGCCCGGCACGTGTTTGGCAAGGAAAACATGGACCATATTCGCCCCCTTTCATGTCCATGTCGTACATGGGCGGCGACCATGCCCTTTTTCGATAAGCAAGTAGTAACGTATCTCAAAGGTCTGCTACGACGAGGTAAGATGCGTCTTGGCTAGGTCATTGGATCGTGGGGTCCCCAATAAGAAACGTCCCCTGGAAGTCTTCAACCCCGTATTTTTGACGTCGCGATCACCGCTATCTGTTTCCGGAAGAGTTCCGTCGATAACATCGACGCTACTGATTCTTTGCCTCTGCTGCCCTATTACATGCTTACTACGTGTATCGGTTCCATATTAGAATAGGACGTCAGTTAAACGCTGATCATCGAATTCTTCTACGTCTTCTAGCTTCCCGGTTTAGTTTAGCATAGCATCCTCCAGATCAAGCCGGATCATCGTCTACAACATAATCCAATGATGCTGCTGCTTCTCGGCGGCTAATAGAAGCAATATTGCGTTGTTGCTAGTGTCACGAAAACTCAATATCACCGTCACGAATGGCATGTTGCGAAATAGGGGTAACGATCGCGAGACCACCCAGTCTCTTTTTTTACCGAGCCAGACCATTATCGCATCCACCGTGCCTCGTTTATTCTCTGGTAGTCGTCATGTATGATGTCAAGTTTCTTGAGTCCTAACTCTTAGCTTATTGATGAGCAACACAAGAGCAAAAAGGGCGCATATACAAGCCATCACATATGGATGAAAATTTGTGATCAGATAGGGAAGCCTTGCCTATCAGATGAGGCCAAGCTGGCATGAGCATTGTATCATGATCGGTAATACACACGAATAGTGACATCCATTTTTCTCGGTTTGGAAACTTCCCTAAGGGGGGCGTAGCTACTAGTAAGTTCTCATCACAGTTGTCCTACGCAGCCCTAGAAACTTGTTACAGACGAGACGAGGCACCCGAAACAAACACGGGCACCAAGATACGTCAGGATCGCCCAGCTTTAATCTAATTGCCGGATTCAGTAAACAACAACGGCAGCAACAGATAATGGCGATACATAGAACTGGGGGGATTTTCTCGTATGACCCAGTGGGCCGGGACGAGGCTTAGAGATAGTCCGTATGTAGGAGTCCGATAATTGACACAGCCGTCGAAGTTGTTTCGTCAAGATCAACCTAACTAGACCGCGCCCGTTGCGTAATTAGTTGCCGATCCGTAAACCCCTCCTGTCGGGCTTCCTAATACCTTAGCTGCTTAGGTACAATTACATACGTCTGATATTGACGACGAGCTTCCTCATTGGTGCTCTCCCAAGGCCGTGGTTCGGATCCGCCATGATCCAAATTAGAAGCCTACTTGTCTCAGGGTCCTCGTTTACACATCATCAATTTCATCAGCGGCTTGGGATCTTTTCAGTGTACGTCGTGGTGTTTCTACATACCCTGATACTACGAAACCTACCTGCACACATCATATTACATGACAGAGAAGAAAGCCCGTTCCTACCGTGTTATGGTTTATACACGGATAGATAGAAGATCCCTTTCGCCTCTCCCCGTCCGTAACTTGCGAATCCTGGACACCGGAGCACAATGGCCGCGAATACAACCCACCGCCGGCCGCCAGATCCAACATGTCTCTCTTCCCAGGCCGGACGCCGACATGGACCCCATCGGGGTCCTGCTACCCAGGGGGGCAAAAAGCTGTTGGTAAGTGCGGGTTTCGGGTAGCTACCGACCATTATCCCGAATGGCCAAGCGTTTTCCTATTTGATGAGTCAGTCAAGCATTGCAACATAGCCTGTCTAGCTTTCCAACGGCATGACATAACGATCCTACCTTACGCCGGCGCAAATTTTAGTTTATAAAAAATATATACCTACCTCCTAGGTATCTGTATGATTTACCATCACCATCCAATATTGCTACTCTAGATATATTGCATTGAAGCACATGGGCGCATGAGCGCATGAGCGACTTGCCGCCGGGTTGAGACAATGCCGCGCACATGCATCTCCGTGTTCCCTCTGCGAGGAAACATGACACGGGCACCGAAGCGGGCAACGACCCCAACCAACAACTACACAGTACGGATGTATCTCTCGGACCCCTATTCGAGTTTGATCTGCGGCGAAGGTTTTTTTTTTTTCGTCGTCCAAGACCGGATTTGTTCGCGTAAGGAAACGAAATGTTCTTATTATATTAGGTTAGGTACCTACCTAGGTAATTACGAAGGAAATTTACACTTAGACGCCCAGTCGGTGACATCTCTCTCTCTCTCTATCTAGTTGGCTGTACAATACAATGCATATTCCTAGGGCGTGGCCTCGTGGCGGCCGCGGCCGCGGCCTCCTATCTGGCCTACAGTTTAGGCATGAATCTGGGGGTTATATTTAGGTAGAGCGGCCCCCCATTCGATTCAATCACATAAACCCCATTGGTCAATGCTAAGACGACGTCGATGTAAATAAATATGTATACAGTCGTGAAAAAAGAAAAAGGAAAACAAAAGCTAAAGAAGGGGGGAAAAACAAATAGTTGTAACTCGATCTGATGGAACGTGATACAGTTATTTTCCAACACGGCACCGGTGTACGATATCGACTGGATGTGAGCCGTCGTTGTTTATTCCCAGTGATCAGTGATACATTGACAGCGGCAACGACATCCCAAGCACTGCCTCAACCACCACCACTTATCGCCTCTACCACCAACCACCCCATCAACACCAGCTCGTTCGTGCGCCGTTGCCCCGCCCCGGGCCACGACAGCGAACTGACGCGCTTTCCTACGGGTAAATGCATTGTGGTCTTTCTACGTAACCTGGTATTTAGTTTAAAACTAGGACGCTAGGTTCTTCGGCTGCTGCATGTTTAAACTCCTGTGTGTGTACCTAATGTATGTATCTCTCAGTCTAGACCAGATATACCTTCCTACCTCTTTAAGGTACCTGTACTGTAGCCCGTACGCATGTGCGCGCCCTGTTGGGGGCTAGACCTATACCCGTGCCTCTGGGAAAGATCTCGTTAGTTAGTCGGTGTTAGCTGACATGTGTGAGGCATGTAACTTCCAGAGAGAGAGCATTGCTATTTAGGCAGCTTCGCCTCGCCTCGCCGTTCTACGGCATAAATGCCGGGGGCAAGAAAAAAAGCACGTTCATCGATGGTACGTACAACCGACCCGACCTAACGACAACGACCACCGCTACGCATCCGATCATATAGGATGAAGACTACGTGGTGGCTATACTGATGCTATGCTATGCTATTCTACGTTCCTTATTTCATAGCGCACCAGCCGGCGGAGTAGGAGAAAAGGGGGGAAAAGAATTGCAAGAAGAGACGAAAGAGACAGCAGCTCGTCGCTAGTAGTTGTCAAGTCAAGTGACACTCGTTATCTGTATGCAATTGGGAGGCTCAGCCACGGGATTGACGGGGGACACTTTTCACTTGACCATTAGAATGTTATGGGATTAGACGGTTTCCGGGGGTCCTTCCTCAGGTCGTATGACATACATGAAGCTTTTCAATGTATGCTTTCGTCGTTGAAGTTGTGGCTTACGACGACTAGATCGATAGTGCAATTTAGATGGTTGGGGTGTGTCCTTTGAATACCTGTCGAGGAGGAATGGTAAAAATGATACTACCCTTTAAAGCATTTGTGATGCCCGATGATCAAATCATGAACACTGAAATCCTAAGTAGGTACCTAATTTGGATGTTTATATTCCCATATTTTTACGCCCTGTCGTTGTGAGTATCTGACCTAATGTATGCCAAAATGGATTATTCTCCCGCCCATCTCATACCCCGTCACATCAGCAAAGTTTGCTGGGAGCCGTTCTGCCTCCACCCGTGAGAAGGAATGAAGTGCTAGATCTAGAAAACGGGCCACCGGGTTCGTAAGACGCTGCCGTGTATTCTTGGCAGGTAATTGTTCCCTGGTAGATCATATATCAGTGCTGGGATAATGTCAAAGACTCCGTTTATGGCCACCTTAATTTCTACTCCAACCGGAGTTTGCTTTTTTTGGTGTTGGCCTGTGAGCAGGTTAATGATCCTGTTGAGGTCGGGATCTGTAAATTTGGTAAAGGCGGGAAGGGATAGCTGACTACGGGGGTTGAAGACTATGTTGGCTCTCACAGCATGGCTTACAGCTGGGCTTCTAATATATTTCAATGAAAGTATGAAAAACCTCTAGGCAGCAGTTACTAGCAGAGACCTAACAGAAGAAGTATATTGGAATATTGGTAGTTATACCTGATGATGGGATGACGACCGAAAATAAAAGGTGAGGTATTTGCTGGCGTGAGACTACATGGCTGCTCCAGTCATGGGGAATATCGATGATAATAACGGATCTTCTAATTTGGCAATATGTGTTATGAGATGTGCGCTATCAAGGTGTAGGTAGCACCGTAGCCCGTCTGCGGAAATGAATCATACCAGCCATATAGCTCGTGTATGGGAGGCACGGTTTCGGGTGCACCAGTATTATGTATTACTGTTGATATCTAGGGCAATGTGGACAGTATTTTATTATCTGAAATTGGTTGGCGTCGATATGCGGTTGATGCAACATCGTGTCCTGTAGTCGATCCTTCAATGTAAAATATCTGCTGATGTATATGAAAAACTTGATATGGCATGACTATGTCTATAGGCCTAGTACAACATGCTTCCTTATGCTAGAGGACGCTGCGCGTAAGCTTTTACATGTATAAAAATTGCATCAAGGTTACGTTATACAGGCTGGCACTAACTGCAGGAGGGAACGTCCAACAATTGAATAGTTATTTCTTTGTCCTAAATCCTGATTAAGCTAAACTTGATCCCCGTACTCCTTTGCTTGGATTACCCAGCTTCATGAGAACTGTATTGCTCAAGTGTCTGCCTAGACCAGAGCCCCAAATCACATCGGCAGAGCGCCCCAAAGAAGGCAAAACCGGTGAAATGTATCTCTCTATGGGTTGCACCAGGCAAAATACGGCCGAGATCGAGCCTTAAGGGACGAAACTGCTTCATTCTACTCAATGGTATTGGGATAGTCCAAAATACCTTGAGGACGAGGAAGTTTCCGCGATCCTGTTGACATCGACAAGTGAGTGATGCAGGCAGGGAAACAACAGGCAACCTGTACGGGTAATCCACAACCCCGTTCACGCAATTCCCGTGTGGGACCCCAAATCACTATCTCGAGGCTCCAACCATCTTAGCAGCGAAGAAAGGGTGTTTTAGGGCTTCAGACGGAGTGATTCTCTTGTCTGGGTTGAGCGTTAGACATCTTTCTAGCAGATCTATAAAATGGTTTAGATCCCTAGACTCCACATCATTCATCCCGCCAGAGGCGGCTAAGAGTCGAGTACGCAAATCACGGGTTGGCTTGACAACGGCCAGGGTTCGTACGGTTGTCTAAATATCAGTCAGCTTGCAGACCTAAATGGGCTATTTTAAGGCCGGACGAAATGTATGCGGGGTAGAATGAAATTACGACGAAGGAGTGCGATGGAGGTTGGTTCAGGGCGCCAGCTCGACGCCGTAAGACCCGGCAAAGGTAGCATCATAGGATGTACTAAATGCACTTGACTATAACAGAGTCACAGGGAAATATGGCCGTAGGATTTCATACTGGCAGCTCGCTGACAGTTACCTTGAAGGTAAGAGGACAGCCAGCCTAGACAAGGGATATTTGTGCGCCTGGCTTGCATCTCTCCGAATGCATTCCTTCCCTTGGGTTGTGATTGACCTGCAGCTTGCAGCTTGCAGCCGCACCCCGGAACCCACAGCTGCCTCTTAGCAAAGCGCCTACTTAAACGCTGCATATAAATAGAAACCGAAAGGGAAACACACCCAAGATTCTCTAGCAAGATACAAGGAGTAGGGAGATTACCAGTGAGATTAGAAGTATTAACGTACCTTTCCGAGAGCTTTATCCGTCTCCAGGCTGATAAAATTTCCGAAGTCATCAAAATGCATATGAGACAACTGGCCACGTTTGTATAGCTTGCTGCTAAACTTGCCCCGGATTTCCATAATGGCTTTGAGCATTTGGTTGTTACTGTCACCTGTAAAGAGGATTTTACCGGTGTAAAGTTCATACAAGGTACACCCTATGGACCACATGTCGACGGCATAATCATACGGCATACCGAGAATAATCTCCGGGGCTCGGTAAAATCGACTGACCAGGTACGGCGTGATCTCGTTGTTTGCAGTTGCAGCGTCTGATCTATCAATAGCTGTGCCCAAGTCACAGATCTTGAGGACATTCCGAGTCTCGTTTACCTGCGCACGATTAGTGAAGGTCTAACAGGTTTTGCGTGATGTGCTTACCAAGATGTTGTCCGGCTTCAAGTCAGCATGGATGATACTGCACTTGCGAAGATGAGCTAAGGCCACGAATATCTGATGTGCATAGGCGCGCGTCGCACTTAGGTTAATACCAATATTGTTACCAAATTTCCTCAAGACCTCTCTCAGGTTTAAGCTGAGGTTCTCGAACGCGAGACATAGGTGGCCCTTGTGTTCGAAATGGCGTTCAAACTTGACAATATGCTTACGATTTTCAGGGTCGGCGTCGTTTAGCTTTTGCAGAATGGCGATCTCGGTAAAGCCACCCTTTCTGAGAGCATCGTTGTTTCGCATCATCTTGATGGCAACCAGTTTTTTACTCGTAATATCGACCGCTCGAGCCACACCGGAAAACATGCCTTTACCTAGAGTTGCTTGGACCTGGTATCGACCGTCTATAATCTCACCGATTCGGATTTTGTAATATCCATCTTTATCGTCTCCCTCAAGAATGCCACCAGCGTTGGGTTGAATGACAGCAAGAGGGGCGTTGCGATCATCTGCGGTGGTGTCTAGATGAGTAGGTTTAGGGACAGCAAACTTCTCTTCGTCGAATTCCTCGGCGAACATGTCGAAGTCGTCGTCTTCATCGACATTCTTTGACTTCTCTGCTACTTGCGGCTCTTCTACTGGGGCGATTTCGGCTTTCTCAGTGGAAGGAAGCACTTCTCCGTGAGGCCCAAGATGGCCGTGCCGACGCTCGTCTCGTATTTCATCCTCTCTCATATCTACGGTTGGATCATAGTCTGCAGCGGAAGGTCCATCATCATCAGTACCTTTGAATTTACCATGGGTGTTGATGAGTTCCTGATCATTAGATATCTCGATTGCAGGTGACATTCCTTCTTGAAGACCACGGGCCGGCGAATTCGGCGATGAGGCAACTATAAAAGGATTAGCGCTTAAATGACACATGACTATGGAAGTGGGAGGACCTTACAGGAACCGGGTGTGTTTCCATCAATGATCATAGGCGTGGTCGCTCGTGTCTGCCCTGGCGAAGATGCATTCGTCTTATCGGAAGCTTGAAGAGCTTGGACTAGCATCGGTGTAGCACCGCGTGATTTGGCAAGGAGTTCTTCACGACGCCGACGCCGACGCTCTAATTCTGCTTCTATGTCTTCAGGTTTCTCTTCATAGTCCTTGTCCGGCTCATCAGGCTGCGCTGGTGGAGCTGTACGAGTAGTTTCCTCCAAACTACCTGGTGCACGTTTAGTGTCATCTTTGCTAGTATCTTGTGTTTCTACCGAATCTTGTCGCTCCTTATACTTTGTATGATCTTTTGGATATCCAGGGGTGCCTTGCTGACTTGATCCAACACTTCCTACGCTTTCTTGATCAAGAGCACCTTGATGTTTGATGCCATCGTATCGCGGTCTTCCCCCTCTATTTCTATCGTTCGGTGGTCTATACGGAGAGCGAGATCGGTTTCTATGACGTTTTCTAGGGTGGCGGTCACGGTCTCGACTTCGATCTCTCCCTTTATTACGGGGAGGATAGTCTCGGTCCCTGTCGTCATAGTAGAGATTAGGCGCGGACGAATGTGATGGGGGTCGGTCTTCGTCATCATAGGATAAGCGCGACCGGCGATAACCATCTGCAGCATCCTCGTAGTGTACACGGAATCGTCGCGGATCGAGATCTAGACGGCTGCCACGATGTGAATCACGATCGTCGTGGGTACGTTTGCGTCCGCGAGGCGAGCGACTTCGTCGGGAAGAGCTGGAGGCATATCTTGAGCCGTTTATATTATCGGGTGATCTTGATCTTGAATATCTAACTCGAGGTCTGTCGATACGGTCAACACCGGTCCCTTCAAACTGAGGCAGTGAAGTTGCCTTCAAGTCTCCAACTCCATTCTCCACGATCTCCCCCTCGTCAGAACTAGCAGGAGTTGCCATTTTTTGCTCACTGTATCAAGAAACTAGGTCTAGGAAGTGCGGATAGCTCCCTGATCTTGATATTAGGGTAATACTTGTTAGCCACAAAAGTTTCGGGATTGGAGGTGCATGGAATTGAGTCGAACCGTCAAAGCGTGTCTTCAATTCCGTCGCATTATAAAATCAAAACATCGACGACGGGAATGTAATATATAGCGTCCGGGATGCGGTACGGCGGAAGAACAGAGTTATTACGGGTAAGATGTTTTCCGTTGAAAAGGGGGAGGGGGGGGGAATGATAAGGGGGTGTTATGTGGCTATGGGATGTTGCTGATCCGAATTATCTTGAATCGCTTCAAGTATTGGAGTTGCACGCATGTGGGTGTGACGAACGTGATAAAATGATAAAACGAATTACGTTAGAACATGAAGGTAAGGTTAGGTAAGGTTGCTGCGCCCAACGGTTCATCAAGAAGGAATTACGTATTACCGGATCCGAGTTGTTAAAGCCTGCAGCCCGTGCCCAGGCGGGTAACCCGTTAGACCGGACTTGCCTGCTCGGTACCTGTGCGTCTTATCAGCTTATCTTAGCATCCCGGGCTAATGCAAACTGGGCTTAATGCCATTGGACCCTGCCGCTGTTAGTGCCCCGCGGTCAGCACATCTCTTTCGCCTGTTCTAGACTTTGGACGCTTTTCTCTTCCTTCGCGATAATTCTTTTCTTCCGCCACTTCGTCACGGATAAAATCCCAGTTACTCTGATATCTTGCGCAAGCACTACTTTTATTCCATCAACGAGATCATCACAGAATCACTTGTTCAAAATGGGTGGCCAGAACAGAGAAGGTAATTGGAGACCCCTAACGTGTGTTAAGTAAGGCTATGGGCTGACATTGATATGTTTCTTGTTAGGCGGTAAGGTTAAGCCCTTAAAGGCTCCGAAGAAGCAAGGAAAGAAGGATCTCGACGAAGAAGATCTCGCCCAAATCGAGAAGAGAAGAAAGGGTACGTTTTTTAACGAGTTAGTATTATAATAAATACCCCGCTAACATCGATTTACAGAGGAGAAGGAGCGCAAGGAACTCGCGGCTAAGGTCGCTGGCGGAAAAGGGCCATTAAATACCGGTGGACAGGGAATCAAGAAGAGCGGCAAGAAATAAGAGACATATTACGAACCTGCGAACCTACGAACCTACAATTCACTAGAAGTGACGAAAGCTATGGCACCGAAAGCACTAGGAACATAGAGCGTGGGCGCTTACGGGATGGAATGACTTTTCTTACTACACTCATGTTTCATGGGAATACTCTGGCGCGATGACTTTTCAATATACCTCTATACTCACATATTCCACCTGATATGATACGCCCGCAAAAACACTAGTGATATCGTATTGTAGACCTATCCTTGGTCCTCTATAGTCGTCCCAATGGCAACCGAGGTGAAGGGGACCAAAGGGGGTTGGTCCACCAAGTGAAATCAGCTGTCAGGCCGTTCACCGGTGCCACTAATTTCTTCCTCAACAAAACTTGACTGACTTACACGGCCCAACATTTCCTTCTCGAGTATTCAAAAAGAAAAGAGTACGGAAAAAAAAAAAGGAATGATATACGTCGGATTATGAATTTGTGTTCCTTTGTGTCCGCTCTTACCTAGTTAAGAAATAAATCATTAGTAGTAATCTACATAGAGACCAACATGGCCGACACACATCCGGACTCCGGCCTCCGGAAGCGCCGCGCGAGCTCAACTTCCAGCACGCTCATGCAAACGGCGAAAGACGTCGAGCACAAGATTGCCTCGGCGCTGGTTATCCTATGGGACGACCTGCCGTCGTGGCGGCGCGACAACCACTACATCGTCTCGGGATACCGCCCGGACAGCAACAGCTACTGGCGGTCCTTCACCTCCATCTTCTACGTCCACAACGAGTCCGTGAACATCTGGACTCACCTCCTCGGCGCCCTGTCCTTCCCCGCCGTCGGCGCTTGGCTGTACCACGTTATCGCCCCGCGGTATGCCTCCGCAAATAGCTCCGACCTGCTGGCCTTCGCTTGCTTTTTCGCCGGCGCCGTTTTGTGCCTCGGCATGAGCGCTACCTACCGGTATGTCTGTCGGAATAGCTAAACTATCCCTTTATGTTGTTTTACTAACTGATGTGTTAATAGTAAGTTGCTATTATCTCGTTGCTTATCAAGTTTCGGAACACAATGCATCACACCCCATCTGGGTCCCCTTCCCACCCTTGTCCATTGCGTGGGATATCTCTAACATGAAGTAGACACGCTCTCGAACCATTCTGAGGAAGTTGCCAAATGGGGGAACAAGCTGGACTACTCCGGCATCGTCTTTCTTATCGTAGGGAGCTACGTCCCGGCTCTCTACTACGGATTATTCTGTCAACCGGAACTTATGACGGTCTATTTATACGGGGTATGTATTAGGTACCCTTATTACTCTAACTTCATCTATATACATCTTATATCAGAATAGACGCAAGTTCCAGCGCTAAAAATACTTGCCGGTATAGATATTCCTTCTAGGCTTTGGATGCGGTGTAGTATCCTGGGTCGACAAATTCCGATCGCCAGCTTGGAGACCCTACCGGGCCGCCATGTTTGTCGGCCTGGGCTTATCTGGCGTCGTCCCCGTCTGCCATGCGCTCGGTATCTACGGCTACCGAGCACTCGACGAGCGTATGGGTTTAAACTGGGTTTTATTCCAAGGGTTCTTATATATCCTTGGGGCGTTTCTTGTAAGTGTTTCCCAATAACCAGCAATTATATATAACTTACCGCTAACCTTAATCTTATATAGTATGCAGTGAGTTTGACCGAATATGTACGCCTTAATGGAAAAATACTAACATTCATGTAGGTTCGATGGCCTGAACGGAGTTTCCCAGGGTCCTTTGATATATGGGGAAGCTCTCATCAAATATTCCACGTCCTCGTCTTGCTTGCGGCCGCATCACATTTGACCGGCATGGCTAAAGCATTTGACTATCACCACAGTATTATGGGGGGAATATGCTAAATGTAATCCATACGGGTGGGGGTCATTACGTTGGCCTCACTATTGAGCGATATTCACGAAGTCTAGAAACTCTAACCGTGGAAAGTATTGGGTGGTCTACAGCGGCATTCAAGTGGTTCGAGGGCTCATCGCCGTATTCCCCTTGGTAGGTTGCACCTATGCGCAGAGCCAACCTTGAAAATTAATATCTACTATTCTTAAAACTAATGGTATCCGATGGCTGTTTGTGAGCGATTAAGAGTATGGATGGTCATTATACATCATGAATACGGACGAAATTAAGAATGCGCAGCCAACTCTGTTCATTCTGATATATCTATCTATCTAGAATCCTAGACAGATTAGTATCATCTTGCATTACCTACTGCTTACTGAAGAGACCTAGGTTGATGAATTGACACAGCGAAGTAATAGTCATAGACATTTCAGGTAGGTATGCTCCCAACTGGCTGCTTCTAAACCTCGTCCATGTTTCCTTATATAGGTGCTTCGCGCATTGAGGCAATGTGATCCCTATATCATGCATTGCTTCGTCGTACCTATCCAACTAACTCGACATCATCGTCTGAGCCATCTCCCATTTCGATATCTCCATTTCCACCACCTTCGAGGTTTGGTTCGGCTTGTTCCGGCTCATCGACGTGATCTTCTGCTTCTGCCTGGATATTCTCGATGCCAAGATCCATGATTCTGACTAGCCCAGATCCCATTGCTGCTGCGGCCCACCAGCTAAATTCCACGTTCGGATTCCAGGATAAAGCCGTAATGCGGGTTTGGGATTCGTGGACGACGATAGGGGCTGGGACCATAGTAAAGTAATCCTCATCCTCATCTGCTGGATCTTCAAACACTACTTCATCCTCAGGCTTCTTAGACTTTTTATTAGCTGCTTTCTTCTCTCCTCTGGCACGCTTGACTCGACTCTCCTTCGCGATTCTCGTGCCTAAGGGATGTGAGTTGAGCTGGGGTAGAAAGCCATGGAGAATACGACATCCACCACGCCGCTGAATCTGATCCCCGTTGCCGTTCGTGGTCTCGGGCGGTGGAGGTGCAGCGTATTCGTGTTGGAAGATTTTGAGTTTATGTGTCTTCTCCCTGTGCGATAATACCTTGCGCATAACGTTGAGGGCCCAGACCGACCCATCTGAGCTTCCTACAAGAAGGAATGGATGGCACGTTCCAAACGCGAGACAGCTCGTTTGGCCCTCTACAGTACATATGTGGCGGGAAAGGGGGAATACCCGAGAATGTACGAAAGAAACGGTTGATGTTCCCGGAAATGATGTAGGCCATATGGACGCAAAACCCCTTAACTGGTCGCTCCAAGCCAGGACGTTTGGTTGAAGGGAAACTAACGGATTTCCGTGGTAGGTTTTTTCTGCAGTAGGTCGGTTCAAGTCCGTCAAAGTAAATACACCTCCCATAGGCATCGTCGCGATCAGGAAGGGTTTGGAGGGGTATCCAGATACAATGTCCATTATAGGACTCGAGTGAACGGGGTGGCGTTGTAATTGCTGACAGGGCGAAATCGACCATACTGTTACAGAACCGTCGGAAAGGCCAACAACAATACGGTTTATATTAAGCCAGGAAAAGCAATTGATTTCCAGACTATGTTCCTTAGGAGGCTTAATAGTAGCCAGTGGTTCCTGCATTTCTTCTAATAAAATATTAGTATTCCCTACGTCTTTTTCGTTATATCATAGATGCTTACCAAAAGTCTCGACGCCATCTCTCTCTGGATCCCGCTTAATCTCTATAATCCTTAACTTCCCATCGCCACATAGCACAGCCAAGAGAGCTACGCCGTGAGTAATGGTGAGCGGAACGGGGCACCATTGCATCCGGTTTACTCTTCCCCAGTAGAAGCATATCGTACGTATCAATTTCGGCGAAGATCGCGCCGGCCGACTGATTCCTTCCCTGTCCTTTTCAACTCCGAATTTCCAAATCTGAATAGCACCATCTTTTAGCTCCGATGGCTTAGGTGCATCATTCAGATCCCGATAAAAAGCCTGATCCGAATGAGGGATGACTGACATGGCTAAGAGCTGATCAACTTGGCCTTTAATTGGTGCCCATCCCATAGAAAGGACGATGCCTCCAACATCAAGTAGCCAGCCTCCGATTTGTGAATCGTCGCTACTTTCATCCTCAATTGGAAGTCCGGAATCCGAGAATGATAGGCAGTCTCCTTGTTTCATGAGGTGCTCTTTCTGGTTCAATACATGACCGAGTAGCACGTGTATTTTACCCTCGTCTCGTGGAAAAAACCAGCGGAACGCCTTTTCTTTATCTATCGGTGTTGAGGTTTGAGAGATAGTCCGTGTGGCTAGATATCTCTCATACCAGTTACGGTACTTTTCTTCCGTGTATTGGGTGAAATTGCCGGGCATCCAGCCGTTCCGAGCTACATCTAGTTGATGGGATCCTTGAGGAAGTTTAGGGGGCAAGAGCTGGTAGTTATACCAAAGTTGAATAAAGTCGTTGAAGATCTCTCTTCGGTCTTCCACATCACCAAACCAGTAATCGACCAGGAATTCAAGTCGCGTCCATCGTTTGACTGGGCCAACGTAAGTTCTTGTCCATTTCTGTGCAGGGTCTGTTGGGTAGGGCTGTACTTCGCCAAGTGGTTTGGCTGGATTTGGTGCCCAGGAGCGCTTGTTTTTCTTGCGCCTCGCTTCGGATTGCTTGCCATCTAGTGATTCAAAGTCGGATGAATCTTGAGCGTCAATGTCCTGCTTATTTCTGCCATCCAGAGACTGTTGTGCGTCCACTACAAATTCGTTGTCAGACAGATGACGGGCTTGCTGTGTCAAATCGGCTTGTTCTCCATCGGAAAGATCGAAAGCCAGGGCATCGTTGAAGCGCTTCCCCTGGTTTGATTTTCGAAGTCGCATCGCGGCTATCTTAATGGCATCTGCAGATAGCCAAGACACGTGAAGTCGCGTATGGCGTTACATGTGCACATGCATGCAATACATTGAACGGAAGAAGCCCACTACCAGTTTTTTTTTGTCCAATTACCAATTATCAAGTATCGCTAAATTTGTATTAGCATTGAATTAATTTGGATTGTTGATAAAGAAACGAAAATGCGTAATGAGGAGCGTTAAAGAAGTAGGTACCGAATGCGTGGTGGGGCAGATGACTTATGTACCTATAAGTGGACGACAACATAAAGAGAAGGGGCCGGACATGAAGTTGGACATACCAAAATTTAGGTATGAAAGATAACCCCTAGGCCCTTTCCAGCACACACATATAACGCCCATCGTACGTACCTAGGTGCCTAAGATATACGCCTTAAAACGCGTGCATTACAGGTACCTAGGTATGTAAGGTATATATGGAGTGTATGGTAAGTGAATTGCTTGTTCATGTAATATTGCTCTCATTAAGGTTGTCTCACTTTTATATTTTTAGTACCTACCTCCTACCTAGGTGGAAAGGCAGTCTGAAGAATATGATTCTTTTTATAAATTAACTAAATCTAACACTGGATTAGATTAAATATATTAATCAGAATCAAGTACTCTTTAAGAAAGTTAGGTATAAGTGATAAGACTTGAGAAGTGGCTATAGCAGTAATAATAACTTGGAAATAACCCCGTCATTTACCACTTATATGTTTTCGTTACTTTACTTATATCAAGTTGTCCTATATTGAAATATAGTCTATTTATTTGGCTCTAGTCTTTATGCTAAATAGAACATACCAATTCTTTGGAAGTAGGGAGCACTTCAATTATATAGTAGAAGGTAAATATAAAATTCTTCATAACAGGTATATAACGTTACCTGGGTTTGGGTTATCGTTTCAATTTCCTTGTAACTAATCAGATAAGATCATGTAGGATATGTCACGCAGCCTTGAACGGTCGGACGATAGATCTGATGATGGATCTAGGCCGCTTAAAAGGAAATCGTGAATCAGGATGTGGGGAACCAATCGGTAGCTAAAGAAATTTTCGGGAAAAAGCCGATATCGCCAATTGCCACCCGAACTACTGGCTCGTTGGAGAGCAGGTACAATACTTGTACGGCAAAAAACGGGTAGTGTACTACAGGTACTACAGTAGTACAAGAAAATATAGTAGCATTTAGGTAGTAGCGGGTGCTGCACGGACCCCTGAGAGCCCCTCCCTTGCATACCCCACAATCTTTGTTTTTTCTTTTCTTTTTTTTTGTGTTCCGCTGTCGGGTTTCAATGAATTGGATTTTGTTCTATGACTCTTGAACTGACCCAATAAATCTTCCTATAATCGTAACATCTCTTACCATTGATCAGTCAACTTCTCCTAACAAAGGGTTGCAGGAGAATAGTGTTTGAGTTATATCTCATCACAGACTGACATACTGATTTTGGCTTGTTGATACCCTCATACCCTTAGAAACTCTCGTTTGGTTGATTGTACCATTTAATTTTTATCTCCTTTTCTTCGTAATTTATCATCCACCATCCACCAACCTTCTTTGCCTTCTTTGTGCCATGCTTCGTACACGACAAGCTGGCCAAGCCTTCAAGGCTTTGGGTCAAGCTTCACGACAACAACGCCGATTCCTCACCAACTCGTCTATCTCTTCCGCTGTTCAGACCAAGAAGAATGCGCCTGCAGGCGTCAGAAATCAAGCCACCTCGGCTCAATCACCTGCGTACGTTGATACCATGGTCTTACTTACACACATACAGCGCCGCTAACATCACCCACTGCGTAGCCAGGTTCGAAGTGCACCCGCTCCCGCATTCAATACAGCCAGCACAAAAGACCGAAGTCATGTTCAGCCCTTGGTCAACCCTCGAGCCCCCGAGATGGACGAGTCGTACGTGCTATACTATCTATTCTGGTCTGTTTTCCCAAAGTATATAAATGCTAACCAAACATGTCTAGGTTCATTGGAAAGACTGGAGGAGAGATCTTCCATGAGATGATGTTGAGGAGGGGCGTTAAACACATCTGTACGTTGTTTGCATATGGACTTAATAAGACATTTGAAAGAGACGTCTAACATAAGTCACAGTTGGTTACCCCGGTGGAGCTATTCTACCCGTGTTTGATGCCATTTACAACTCGAAACATTTCGATTTCATCCTGCCAAAGCATGAACAAGGCGCTGGACATATGGCCGAGGGCTATGCGCGTGCTTCTGGAAAACCTGGTGTCGTACTGGTCACTTCTGGCCCGGGTGCCACAAATGTCATCACTCCCATACAGGATGCCATGTCCGATGGTGTGCCACTGGTTGTTTTCTGCGGTCAGGTTCCTACGCCTGCTATTGGCAGTGATGCTTTCCAAGAGGCCGACGTCATAGGAATATCGAGATCTTGCACCAAGTGGAACGTCATGGTTAAAAACATTGCTGAACTCCCACGACGTATTAACGAGGCCTTCGATATCGCTACTAGCGGACGCCCAGGTCCCGTACTTGTCGATCTGCCTAAAGATGTTACCGCTGGCGTTCTCCGAAGGGCCGTCCCTGCAGAGTCAGCCATCCCCGGCTTACCTAGTGCAGCATCCCGCGCCGCTATGGAGCTTTCCCAGAAACAGCTCCAGGCTTCTCTTCGCCGCGTGGCTGATTTGGTGAACATCGCCAAGAAGCCCGTCATCTATGCCGGCCAGGGAGTTGTTTCGTCGATTGGTGGACCAGAGATCCTTAAGGAGCTCGCCGATAAGGCCTCGATACCTGTTACTACGACTCTCCTCGGTCTTGGCGCTTTTGACGAGCTGGATGAGAAGTCTCTCTACATGCTTGGCATGCACGGCTCTGCGTCCGCCAATATGTCGATCCAGACGGCTGATCTTATCATTGCTCTCGGTGCCCGTTTTGACGACCGTGTAACCATGAATATCACCAAATTTGCACCTGCGGCCAAGGCTGCCGCTGCCGAGGGACGTGGTGGTATTGTGCAGTTTGAGGTCATGCCAAAGAACATCAACAAGGTTGTACAAGCAACCGAGGCTATTGAGGGCGATGTAGCAGAGAACATACGACAGCTTCTTCCCCTAATTAACATCAAGAGCATGTCGGATCGTAAAGAGTGGTTTGACCAGATCAACTCGTGGCGGGAGAAGTGGCCTATGAACGACTTCGAGCGAACCGAGCGAGCAGGCATGATCAAACCGCAGGTCCTAATCGAAGAACTCAGCAAGTTGACGGCCGACCGAAAGGAGCACACGATTCTCACGACAGGTGTCGGTCAGCACCAAATGTGGACAGCACAGCATTTTAGGTGGAGACACCCTCGCACTATGATTACATCCGGAGGCCTCGGCACTATGGGATACGGACTTCCCGCTGCCATTGGTGCCAAAGTTGCTCGACCCGATGCTCTTGTTATCGATATCGATGGTGACGCTTCGTTCAACATGACCCTCACAGAACTCTCTACCGCTGCCCAATTCAACATCGGCGTTAAGGTTATCGTCCTTAACAACGAGGAGCAGGGTATGGTGACTCAGTGGCAAAACCTCTTCTACGAGGACCGATACGCCCACACGCACCAGAAGAATCCCGACTTCATGAAGCTGGCTGACGCTATGGGTGTCCAACACAGAAGACTCGTTAAACCTGAGGACACAGTAGGATGCTTAGAATGGCTTATCAATACCGATGGCCCTGCATTCTTAGAGGTGATAACAGACAAGAAGGTGCCTGTGCTTCCCATGGTACCTGCAGGATCAGGTTTACACGAATTTTTAGCATGGGACAGTGGTAAGTATATTGTCTTTTCCTCATAACATTACCAATGGGCTATTAGCTAACGAATGAAACAGAAAAGGATAAGAAACGCAGAGAGCTTATGCGCACTCGTACTTGCGGATTACATAGCTAATTATGTGTTTTACGTGGAATTTACTGCATCGGAAGTTAGCGATTGTGTTTTATTTGGGACAATTATGGAGGGAAGTAGCTAAAGAAGGATGTGCGGCCACAATAAAAAGGGAAAAGCTGAGTCCGGTGAAGAGACGGAACCGAAAAGTGATTTTTTCTAGCCTGCATCTGGCATCCTTGTCAGGAACGTCCTGGCAAATAGTTGGCGTTGCTATCGGTGCATACTTGACCGTCCTTTTACGTGTATATAATTTGCATTTTGAGTTCGAATTTCGAGGTTTGCGAGGACAATGATACCGTTATCATACCCCTGGCGAACAGTATGCCAATATTGGCGGAGTGATTTCCGATATACCTTAGGTAGTTTCGTCCATATACATGCAATGATTCTAAACTCTACAGCTGAAATAGTCATCGAGCCTAGGTTTTATTTCTTAGAAGCTCCTTATATCCTCCTGTGCATAGCTCTTTTCTATTCTTAACATGTTACGGGTATGAGTGATAGATATGTGGGTATTGTACATATGTACGACCCTGACACTCGCTCTGCAGACGATATCCATCAACGGCATCAGCCTCTACCTAACATAATAACACTGACTATTGGTCTAGGTGTGCATAAAATTGGCGTTTAAAGCAAGTGTGATAGTTATAATCCTTTTTTTTTCTTTTTTGAGCATCATCAATCAACAAGGTCATTGAAAATAAAAATGTACCTAAACTAATTTCTGGCTCTGAATAAATTCTTCAAGTTAACAGTAAAATGTGGATCTTGTGTCATGTATTAGATGACGGACATAACAGACAAAGAACCTGTGAGTGTGCCACTCATGGGTCAGATAGACTGCAATAGCAATTGTGCCAGAACCTATCCTATAGGGAAGACAAAGGAGATGTCTGTATGTATAGCTCCGCAGAGCTATCCTAGAGCTACCTTACTTAGAGCTCGTTGCGAAACAACGAAGTTGTTTACCTACCTTCTGGTCTATTCCGTAATATATATATCTCGTTGGCAGCCGCATTAAATTGACTTATGTATCGAAGGGAAGCGCAGAGATGTTGGTAGGCTTCGCATAGGCAGAAAAAAAGGGGAGGCTGCACAGAGGTAACGGAATGGTTGGATATTAGGTGTAAGTATTGTTTATCTCGACTGGCATGGCTTATCTTGTTGGGTGCGCACAGAAAGGTAAGGCAGCTAGGTTAGGTAGGTACGTACCTAAGGAGCGGCCACCTCGTCGTCGCCTGAGGTACCTACGTACTTTCCTAAGGAACCAAACTTAAGCAGATAATGCCCAATTACAGGTCTGCATTTCAGAGTTGGTATACCATGCACCATTAGGCCTTCGTGGCCTAGCTGGTCACTGCCCAGACACGACAGGACCTTTTCGATGATAGCTGGGAGGCTTAGGGGTCAACTCCTGAAAAGGAGTCGCAAATAAATTCCAGATTACCCGCCCACGCCGACGTAAGACTATAGGCCATCTACCACATCAGTCTCATGGATGACGCTGGGTTCGAGGGGGTATGGGGGCGCAGTAGCTAAGGGCACCATAAAGTTCCATGGCTGGGCCTTGAAGAGACGGATTCTTCTTTTTGATGTTTTTTTCTAAAACAACAACACATTTTTCTTTTGCTGAAGACCAGCTATTCGAATCTAGGCGTGGCAGGTTCTTTATCTTATTTTATTTTTTCCCTTTCCCTCCCTTTTCAATTCAACTTGTACCAGGCAACCAACCCACCCCCATCCTTATTCTTTTTTGCACCTTTTCGTCCGCAAGATAGCCTGTCGTAGCCCGTAGCCCATTAGAACATAACAAATAATAATGCTAATCCCTCACGAGTTTCGTTGAACCACTTTTCGTAATAGCAAAAATGCATTAATGTGATATCTATCTTACATGTTACCACATGCACCTAGAACAAATTAATTTCTAGTACTTCCTTCCGCCTTCTCATCTTTTAACTTCCCTTAGGTACTTATCCTACCTCTGTACATGTACCGTGTGGGTAAAACTAGCTGCGATCGGTGATACATATTATGGCCTTTCATTTATTTATGAGTATACTATGATATCGAAATTTTACGTCTTTTCATCACGGGTTGTAGCAAATTGTCTTCCATCTGGTCGTTCAAATACCTATTTGATTAGTCATCATTGCTTCGGAAGCCGTCAATATAATTGACCAATTAGAAAAAAGGGGAGCCCGAAGGCTTACCGGGGGCTCCAAACCCGTTTTCGGCTCCGAAACCCACTTGAACGAGGCGAAATGGTAGGACGACTCAGCAGGCACTGAGGATCACTAACCGCAAATGGAAATCTCGTTAAGCGGGAACGGCTAACAACGCCGTATGGTTTTGCTAAACTCGCCCAACAGTCCTCTCAGACTTGAGATTTATTTAAGCAATGGGGCCCGGTGCAAAATTGGAATAGAGATGTCTACTATTGGCGTCTCTAGAAGGCAAAAAAAAAAAAAAAAAAAAAAAAAAGAAATAGTTGACGGCTTCACCGGGTCCCCACCCCTTATCAAACTATGTCGGAAGCATCCTCTCGCACCAGCCACAGCGAAATTGTTGCGCCGGATAAGAGCGTAGAAGATGGTCTACCGGAGAAGGTTAAAGGGGATGATAATGGCCCCGGCCTATTAGCAGAACCTCCGAGTGAGCAGCCCGTCGTCGACCAACGGCCAGACTATTCCGCATTCACGGAATGGGAGAAAAGGGGTATCGTTCTTGGCGCTGCCATCGGGGCCTTCTTCTCGCCGCTCACGGCGCAGATTTACCTACCGGCGCTTACTGTTCTAGCCCGGGAATTCAACGTTACGATTAGTCAGATTAACTTGACTGTAACAACTTATATGGTACGTTTCTTTTTTTCTTAAAAAAAAAAAAAAAAAACTGGGGATAAAAGGGGTAGTTGTGTATTCATGACTCGTTTGGAGAAAACCATACCTCATAGGTACCTACATACCTCCGGATCGCCATCGCCAACTAATTCATCCACGCATAAAGATTTTCCAAGGAATCACCCCGATGTTCGTCGGGTCCCTCGCGGACTCCGCGGGGCGGCGCCCGGCGTACTTCATCTGCTTCACGATCTACATCTGCGCGAACATCGGGTGCGCGCTGGCGCCCAGCTACGCGGCCCTGCTGGTCCTGCGCATGCTGCAGTCCGCCGGGTCCAGCACCACCGTGGCCCTGTGCCAGGCCGTCGTCGCCGACGTCATCACCTCCGCCGAGCGCGGCCACTACGTCGCCTACACCTCTCTGCCCATCCTCCTGGCCCCCGCGATCGGGCCCATCATCGGCGGCGTCCTGGCGCAGGAGGTCGGCTGGCGCTTCATCTTCTGGATCCTGGCTATCCTCGCTGCCGTTGTGTTCGCCGTCCACGCCTTCTTCTTGCCCGAGACGTGTCGCGAGATCGTGGGCGACGGCTCCGTCCGTCCGCATCCCGCCTACCGCACCTTCTGGCAGCTATGCAAGGATGCGCGGCGGCGCCACCGCAACAACAAGCGGTCTGGCGGCGGTAACGGCGCGCCGCTGGATCACGCGGCGTCGCGCGCGTCGACGAAGCGCAGCCTGCGGGTGAAGAAGGTCGACGTGTGGAAGTCGATCACGATCCTGCTGGAGAAGGAGATGTTCCTGCTGCTGGGGTACGGCGGGATCGTGTTCACGGGGTTCTACTGCGTCGCGACCGTCATGCCCACGCAGCTGGCGGCCAACTACGGCTTCGACGAGATCAAGGTCGGCCTCATGTACCTGCCGATGGTCGGCGGCAGCGTGGTCGCCGCCGTCGTGAACGGCCGGCTGATGAACTGGAACTACCGCCGCCACTGCGGGCTCAGGGGCGTGCCCTTCGAGCGCAGCAAGCAGCAGGATCTTTCGGACTTCCCCATCGAGCGCGCTAGGCTTGAGATCGGCATTCCGATGCTTGCTCTGTGCATAGCGTGCACAATCGCCTGGGGCTGGGCGTTTGAATACCACGCGCACGTGGCTGTGCCGTGTGTTCTGCTGTTCTTGCTGGGTTGGGCAGTCGTGGGGTTCAGCAACACGCTGAACGTACTGCTCGTCGACGTGAACGTGGGCAGCGCGGGCGCTGCTACCGCGAGTAATAACTTGACTAGGTGTCTGATTGGCGCTGCGGCGACCGCCGTGATAGGGCCCATGATAAATGGCGTCGGTATTGGATGGGCCTTTACGATATTAGGCCTTTTATACATCGTTTTCTCGCCGATGCTGTTCTTCATCCTCAAGTACGGGATGAAGTGGCGGAAGGAGAAACGTGAGCGCGAGCTCGCGAAAAAAGAGAATAATGCCGGTTCTAAGAAATAGACGGATAGAGAGCGTTAGAACAATAGAATAGTAATAGATCCGACAGCCTGAAGGATTCTGTCGAATGATTGAGAGGCTGTCTCCGCGTACCTAGATGTCGTGAATTCATGAATCCAGAATGCCCTAAACGTTGATCCAAAAAGAGATAATTTGTTCAATTGTTAGACTTTTGTAGAATTGTTAGTGTTCATAACGGAGGTGACTAATATTATTTACCCTTCGTGTAGATCTCCATAGAGGAGCTAAAGCCTTCAGCCTATCCAAGTGATGCTTTCAGGACGTCGCGCTCGAGCCTACTATATCAGTCTGCACCAATGCGGCACCGTACCGACGCCGCTGGTCGTGGTGTTGCGAGTGGTAGGGGACACAGGCGCACAAGCAATCTGCCCCTGTGACCCCTTAACTGCTCTAAGAATGTCTGAAAATAGGACAATTGATTAATTCCACATCATCCATCGACTACTTCATATCTCTAATTATTATGTATGTTTTCCTTGTTTATAATTTTAGATATTCAAGGTCGTAAACACCATGATCCTGGGACACCTGGGATATCCGAGCCCTTATTATTCAATCTGCATCCGCTGTCAGTGGCCTGACCTGCTCACTTTCGTAGACTGCTTGCCGTTGCTGGGCCTTCTCATCGGCTGTCAAGTCACTCTTTGCTTTACCAATTCTAATGAATCCCAAGACAATCAAAATAACACCAGCTCCGCACCCGACGGCGAACCAGAAAGCCACCTTATAACTTTCCCCTACCTCGTTGTTCGATCTGCTTACGACTGCGAAGTCCGCCCATCCGAGAAAGAAGCTGATGCCTAGGAACGATAAGCCGTTGATGCACGCCCCTGCCAGGCCCTGCTGATGCTTGGGCACGCTGGTAGTGATGAAAATACCGCTCACGTTGAAGCTTATGTCAATGCCTATCGTCGTACACACCATTGCTGGGAATACCCACCGCCAGTAGTTTGGGTTTTCGGGGATGAGAGCGAATAAGAGAGGACATATTACGAAACCCGCCCCGGCCAAAAGGAGGAGTATGGTTCCTGGTAAGCGATGAAGCGTGAATCCACCTACGAGAGCGATGATGATTCCGCCGGCAGCCATGGGGGAAAACCAAAGCGCGGCTAGCAATGGCGGGACTTGGAGAACGGTCTGTATACTAGCAAAAGTTAGCATATCTAACTCAAGACTCTTTTAAATCGTAAATATGACGATAACTCACTAAAAGCTTGCATAGAAGAGGTATATGCCAAAGCAACCGCATGCCATGAAGAGGGCGATGAAGAGTGGCCCTATGTACTCGATAGAGAACAAGTCGAAAGGCATTAAAGGAGATTTCACAACCCAACCTTCCACATAGATGAAAGCCGCGAGGGATATAAGCCCTAGTATGAACGTGACGATTATCTGAGGCGACGCCCAATGGCCCTCAACGTGAGAGGCATCAGTTATAGCGTATGTGAGCAGACTCAAGCTGCAAATACTGGCAAGGCAACCCCACCAATCCATCAGAGACCAGTCGCCGCGCTTCCACTCGTGAGGAACGCAGAAAAAGGCCATCACGCACAGGAAAGCCAGCAGCATGGACGCGATCCAGAAGAACCAACCCCAGTAAAGGAACTCGCCGGTGAGGCCGGCGACGATGATTCCAGAGAAGAACCTCAACGGCGCGCAGCCTCCGTATAAGCTAAATATAGCATTTTTCCGCGGACCAGGACGGTAAGTGGTCCCCAACAACGTCGTGCCCGCTGGCAGGAAAGCAGCTGCTCCCACCCCCTGGAGAGCCCGCGTCGCTCGCACCATCGGTAAAGTACGACTAAACCCACCAACTACCGCCCAGAGAGTAAGCCACGATATTCCGCCGAGATACACCGGATAGCCGCCAAACATATCAACAAGCCGGCCGAACGGTAGTAACAAGGAGCCGGTGACGAGCGAGAAAACGGTGATAGGCCAAGTTCTCTGGTTAGGGTCGATGCCTGTGTCTTCGATAAGTAGAGGGAGTAACACGCTGAATCCGCTGATGAGGAATTCTGCCATCATCATTGAGCCGAGGACGGATATGCAGAACGCTATCTCCACACAGCCGTTAGCAAAGATGGCGGGTCTACTTCTTCCTAGCTTCTCAGTGTCGATCGGACCGTTATAAGACGACGAGGACGACATGTTATTGTTGTTTGAAGGGGTATCCAGGGTTTCAACGGCCGCTGACTCAATATCGGTATCCATTTTGATAATTTGGTTGCCCTTCATGGGGATATGTACCTAGCCGGAGCGAGTATCAAGTTCAGGGCGTCGAATGGTCTCCAAAACCGCACAATAGCCTCGTAGTAACAAGATTACAACCATGGTGTTCATGATAAAGGATCGTATTTAAATGCATTCGTAAAAGTAGAGAGTGTCTAGAATTTGCCATTTGAAGCTGCGAAGTTATCCGGTTGTGAGTGGTGAAGTGTGACTAAGTAGTATATCTTACAATCACCGAAGAGGAAGCCAAGATACAAGAGGTGCGTTCGAGATATTCCCTAGAACTTGTCTGGTCAACTGCATTTCGAATGAAGTATGTTGGCTATTAGCAATATAAAACCACACTGGCTGCGATTTGTACCTGATATATGGTCTTCGAAAATAAGCGTCCCGTCGAAACGCTACCCGCATTTCTTTACATCTGAGTTGGACACGGCCTAGATGTGACTCTGACCTACATTTTGCACCTGGCTGTTCATCATGCCCGATTAGGAAGCCAAGCGACATGTCTAAAGCCGCGCGATGATCATCTTCAGCTGCTGGCTCCACTACATTGAATCTTCTTTTTTCAAGCAACCTAATTGCAACTCCAGAACGGGAGTTACATCTGATCCATTTAGATCCACTGTAATCAAATATGGTGTCCCAGTGAGCCATCCGATGATCAAGTTGATATCATTTTAGAGTTTTGTTTTATCCCGCAAAGAGCATGTCCTCGAATAGCAACAAGAGTTATGGCGTATCCCATACAGGATTATTGTTCAACGACCTTTTTTTTATGGTGGCTTCATTGTCCAGAATGGAACGTTGATAAAGGTGCCTTGGTGCCCGTCGAATATAAAACGGGCAGCGGTAACGCCAACTTAAAACATAAACTGGCCTTTCTTTATAGTAGCGCGTGGTCATGATATATGTCCATATTCACCGTTTTGGAAGGAAAGCAGTCATGTTCTTCTTTGCTAACCTGAGTCTCATTATCTGGCTACAAGGCCGTTGGTATAAGCCTAAGCTTAGGTCGGTTTCCTCGCAAGCAGCATTTTGGAGCTCGGTTAGGTCCTTCAACTTTGTACTTACAAGGCTTTACCCATCCGAGGGGGAATATGAGTACCTACTTTAGGTTAGGCAATTCTTACTTTTGCTGGTGATACCTGGAGATTTTTAGTTCGTTCCATTTTCCAGTGGTATGATTTCATGGCGTTCCCACTTAGACGGTTAGGCCACTTAAACTACCATGAAAATCTCGGTGATTTTAGGTAAAGGGTGCCTGACTTAACCTAATCTTTTCGTTTAAGGCGCTTGAATGGTTGAAGAGAAGTTCGTCCTCGCTTGACATTGTGCATATGTAGCTTAATCAGTGATATTTACTGATCGGGCGAATGCCAATTGAGAATTAATTAGATGGTGTCGTCGTTGGAGGGTTAGAGGGTTGCTCTATCTGAAGAAGAAAAAAAAAAAAAACAATTGACTGATTGCTGATTGCCAGTGACGAAAGACGTGGAGAAGCGGGGTAAGGTTATGGTGGCCGATTCCAGGTTTACGGTGGCCGGCCAATTGCTCGGCGCGGGTGTCTGCGGGGTAGGTATTCTAATCTTAGCTAAGGTGGGCAGGTACCTCACGATAATCATGGAAAAATGAACATTTTTTTTGCGATCTTGTGACAAATGTCTTTAGTTTGTCCTACAACTATATATTTTATTGCACCTTCTAACCCCTCGGCATTTTCTTTCATGTAAATACTATAGATTATAAATATAATTTCCAATCTTACTTTTGTATCTTACTTTGCGAGATCAAGTCAAATCAAATCTGAACTGTTAACAACAGAGCCCAATTAGCAAACAAAAAGAAAGAAAGAAAAGAAAGTACATCTAAATCCCAAATTATCCAGTTCTCAAAGCTCGAAGCGGGGACGTTGACACTTTTACTAAACAAGAGATATTTCTCTTCCTTTCTTTACTTTTCCTACCAACTTGCGCATTAAGGTAGCTCTCCGGAAACACATCATCGCAAATCAGCAACATGTCGGGTCCTGTACCTACGGTCACTGAGCTGCAGGACATATACACCCAACAGGCTCTGGCCGACCAGACCGTGAGGTGGAACAAACTTCTTGATAAGTTCCAAGCCCTTTATGGCAACCCCGCTCAGTTCGTCTCGCGGTCGCCTGGTCGCGTGAACATCATCGGCGAGCATATCGACTATTCCCTTTACTCGGTATTACCTATGGGAATGACCCCCGATGTTATTCTCGCTGTATCCACCGATCTAGAGCCCTCCCAAGAAGGCACTTACAAGATCAAGATAGCTAATGTCGATAATGAGCGATTTCCCACCCGCGAGTTCGATGTACCCTACTCCGAGGTGGATATCGACGCGACGATGCATGAGTGGACTAATTACTTCAAGTCCGGTTTGAGGGGAGCGTTACAACTGCTAAGGAAGAAATACGGAGACGATTTTAAGCCCAAGAGCATGCAAGTGTTAATGGACGGCACTGTGCCTGCTGGTGGTGGTCTTAGTTCCAGCGCTGCCTTTGTGAGCGCCAGCGCATTGGCTGTCATGATTGCCAACGGCGAGCGCGATGTCGACAAGAAAGCTCTAACTGAGGTTGCTATTGTCAGTGAGCGAGCTGTTGGCGTTAACTCTGGAGGGTAAGTATATACACCATACCTACTTGTCAATTGCGCGACTAATATCAATATCTTGTAGAATGGACCAATCTGCTTCAGTATTTTCTGAGCGAGGGTCGGCCCTCCTTGTTTCTTTCACTCCGTCTCTTTCGGCGCGGCCAGTCTATTTCCCCAGAACAAATCCTGAACTGTGCTTTATCGTAGCGCAATCATTCGTTACTTCAAACAAACAAGAAACCGGCCCGATTCACTATAACCTCAGAGTTGTCGAGTGCAGTATGGCTGCGGCGTATCTGAATGCCAAGTTATGTCCTAAGGGAACTGAACTTCCCAAGGATGCTGGTCCGCTAGGTGTTTCCATCCGCGGGTTTCACCAAAATTACTTCAAGGACACCACCAAGTCAATGCCTGAACAACTTACTGAGTTGATTGAGCTGACCAAGTCCACGCTTACTCAGGAGCAAGGGTACACTCTAGAAGAAGTTGCGTCAGGTATTGGTATCTCGATTGATGAGGTGAAAGCTCGGTTTATGTCCAGTTTCCCTGTACGGGGCGAATACTTCAAGCTCCGCCAACGTGCCCTGCACGTATTTACCGAGGCCCTGCGTGTTCTCAAGTTCCTCGCCCTTTTGGAAGATCCGGCGCAAGCACCTGATTCCGAGCATACAGTCGAGTACAACACCAAGCTCGGAGCGTTGCTGAACGAAACCCAAGACTCGTGCCGAGACGTCTACGAGTGCAGCTGTCCCGAAATAGACGAGTTGTGCAAGATTGCGCGCGAGGCGGGCAGCTACGGTAGCCGGTTGACTGGCGCTGGCTGGGGTGGATGCAGCGTCCATCTAGTGCCTGCCAATAAGGTTGACGACATTAAGAAGGCGTTGGTCGATAAATACTACTCTAAGCGGAATCTGAGCGAAGAGGACTTGAGCGGAGCAATTGTTGTCAGTCGGCCGATGAACGGCAGCGCAGTTTATAAACTGAAGAACGGGAAGATTTGATCATATTTGTATATAGCGCGCGCTATTAGAATTGTAAGAGGATTGGATTTAATGAACTGTACCGATGACTTGGACCCTTACATTGGACATGTAAATCTTCGCGCTATATTGTTGCGTGACATATATGATAAGAAGTATGAGTAAAACTATGTCACATAGAAATGAATCCTTCCATGCTCGTCTTTCTCACCACTATAACCCCTGATTCGACGCGCCCCAGCGCTTGGTTTGCGCAAGTTTCATTAATCGTTCCGCAACTAGGCCGAGTGACCTGGTCTCCTTCATTTATACATTAGTCCATACCTATATCTCATAATCGCGCCCCCCCCCCGAAAAAACTCCCCTACGTTAAGTTGCCAGAGAGGCAGGCATCAATGATTGAAAAGGGCCATTGCCAGTCTCATTGCTGACGAGCAAATCGACGGCTCACGGTGCCGTTCCAGGCGGGGTAGGATGTGTGCCACGAGCCGTCGTCATGAGAAGTACTCGAGCTCCATACCCAACTAGTGGCTGCTGGTATGGATGTTGTCCATGCAGTTGTGGAAGGGGCAGTGGTGAACGTCGTTGGCAGAGCTGATGTGGCTACCGTGCTTGACGGTGCCGCGAGCGTGGTTGACGAGATGACAGACCTGGATGATGATAGCGATGCGGATGATGACGTCGTCGTTGAGGCAGAAGCTGTGCTTGGGTGGGCTAAAGATGTAGAAGTTGATACATCGTCGTCTTCAGTCACGGTGGTGGTTACAATGCTGGTTACGGGTTGAATATCTATGATAGAGATCGTAGTAGCCACAGTCTGCGTCGCAGGACTTGCAGTAATCACTATAGTGTTGGTGACGGGCGGAGAGGTCTCGAAAACTGTCCTCGTACTCGGGGTAGGAGTCATAACAACCGTCTCAACCGTGCCAGGAGTCTTCGTCGAACCTGAGCCATCTCCGTTCCCGCCGATCGGGACTACAGAATAGGTAGCGCGAGCAGCCAACGACTTGGTTGGGTGTTTTTTCCGTATAATGAAAGGCAACGCTGTAGCAGAAGGATCTAATACAGCCAGGATAAAGAAAAGAGAGATGGACAGGTTTGGATGCATGTTGAAGAACGGCTCAAGGGAGTGTGGATTTCTGCTTGGACTGGTTTGAGGGCCGCGAGTTTTGGCACCTTGCAACTTGAGAGAGGGGAATGATCTGCGAGATGAAGAAGAGATTTCCAGCCTACCGTGGCATGTACTGCCTTTTATTAGGTACGTATGGCACTTACAATTGAAAATATTCAGATGGTTGGGAAACAACCAAGACTTGTTTGTACCTAGCAGTCTGGGATGGACATTATGAGGGGTCTAATAGGGAAGTTGTACACGATCCCGTTCGAATAAGTTGGTGGCTGGAATGTAGGTACATGTCCACCATGTACATGTAGGTACCTACTTCGGTACAGTACCTAGGTACGTCGTAAATAGGTACGTACCCAATACTAGGTGTAACTTCCAAGGTTCCCAGCAATTCGCACTTAACATTTGATTGGTCAGACTAGGTGCTGTAGGCACGCACGTACCTTACCCCAATTCAATTAACCGTAATGTACGAAGGGCCGGGCCAAAAGTCTTGCACATCGGAGCTTAGGTAAGCTACCCACTTTGGCATGTGTCAAAAAAGAAGGCTATACGGTGTCAGATCTACTAATAGCAGCGAGCTCCCCTGTAACTATAGTGGTAAGCCCCTAAAATACAGCGTCTAAACCACTATCCACCCTTAAAATTAGTACTAAGTCAATACGGTGCTAATATAATCGTGCACGTTAAATTCCTGCGACTAAAAGCTTCGCATGTGCAAGACTTTTGGCCCGGCCCTTCGTACCTGCATTAGAACGATGGCGCAATTGAATTGCGCATCTTTCTTTTGAACTTACCTAACCTAGGTACCTTATTTTTGATCAACTATCATTTTATGTCACTTCATATCTATCACTTCATCACCTAAGTCTCTCTTTTCGAAACCCCATAGTAATAGTACTTACAATATAAACTTCCCTACAGAACGTCCGTCAATCATGGAACATTCAATCAGGCACCATATGGCTGATGCCAAATCCGAATTTTCAAGTAATTTACCATGTTTTAATCCTTCACTAGAGGACGCCCGCCATTTTGCTCAAACAATGGCCAATAATATTTTCAACAACTAGGAGGCGTTGAATCAGATCGTTTTTTATCATGAGCATGCAATTCAGAAGCGTTGGTCTAAGAAATCGGCGATCGAACGAAGAAACTTGTTGCTTGAAGTCTGGCCCAACATGTCACCATCACACCGCCCTGATCTTGCCCTTTACAGAAATCCCGTCCCAGCCGAAAAGATGGATATAACTCCGTTCATGTGGCCTGATATAAATCTAGAGGACCTGTCCAAAAGGGATTCTCTTTTACGGATGATCCATTCTCGAGGAAACTTTTTACCTGCCCAATTCGCTTATCGTGATTCGAAGTCAATACGTCTAGGATACAATGCTTCGTATTTCACCCCCGTATCACTTCCGGGCTATGATATGTCATTTGAAGGCGTGACCGAACCGTCTAGGTACGGCCAGCTATATGATAATAGCAACGATCATGTTAAATTTGAAGATTATGCAGCCCGAGGCTTTTACGGGCCAGATGTAGGCTTTCGTGTCTTGGTCGTCCAAGATCGCATATATTACTTCCTTGTCAAAGTCTGTGAGGAAATCGTTCGCGATATTTCGGCTGGAGTCTTATTGAATGGCCGCCCGCCTCTCAGGGGCTTGTCTACGATTTTTTCGACGGTATTGCCAACGCGTCGTTTCTTCGCCAAGGATAAATTTGCGGACCTGTACAAATGTCGCCTTGATGCCACATTCGCGTGTACAGGGCCTATCATCAGATCCATGCTCTTTGCTGCCGAAGGTCACTTCAAGGCCCTAAGGGAAGACCCCGATTACTTTAGGGCAATTCTGATCGAGACAGAGGAACATTGCCCTGGACACTTGTCCGATGTTAATGGCCGGGAACATCCTTGTGTCAAGGATCACAACGTATATTGCGCAAGAACGATTCGCCAAGTTATCTCTGATGCGTTCTCGACAGTTTGTGCATTAGCGGCTACGTATAATGGTTTCCGTTTCTTAAACAACAGTTTCAATGAGTGGCAAGCGAACTCTTCTCGAACAGCGACTTTACCGCTACGCATATGCAAGACGTTGTATGGACTTTACTACAGCATGACGCGTGTCGGTCAAAATGTCATTCGCTATCTACACCTTCTGGAAGGCATATGTAGCTCGCCCCCGCTAAGGGAGTATTTCTGTCATACATTTCAGGATCCGAGTGCCCACGACGCCTTGGGGATTAGACGTCGACCTCGGGTAAGTATGACCGAAGACTGCGCCGATGTCGTCTACTTCCTTGAAAATATAGCTAGCGAATCAGAGGCTGGTCCACTCAGCAGTGAAGAGTTCTTAACCGAATTAGACCTGTTAGTTCGACGTAACCCTAAGGCAAAATCCTTCATAAGTGGCTGGGTGAGTACTCACCTGTCAATCTTGGGCCTCGTTTGCGAATGCCTTACCGTACTCGACAAATATCAGCCCTGGATCTTGGGTCGCGTCCGATATCGTAGGGAATACCCAGGCGAAGTCGAGGACTTCTACGAAACTGAATTTGCATACCCATTCACTGTGTACGATATTCCAGATTCATTCTGGATGAGTACGGTCCAGTCAGTACGGGGCCTTTTGATAAGGGAATCGAAATATCCAGTGCGTGAGCCCTGCAGTGAGGAGGCAGCGAAGGAACTACGCAGGACAGAGGAAGATATGGACCAATTCTGGGACAAAGTACTGGCCCAGTTGAAGATTGTAGGTGCATCAGAGGCGAGCATACGCCGTGTATTTCGCCGCGGTCCGCAGAGGGTTGCAATATGGGTGGAACAGGCAACGGGTCGTGCGGAGAGGAAGAAGATGGAAGAAGGCGAGGGGATTGAGCCAGAATTGAAACGAACCGAAGCCCAAGCCCAAGCCAATGCAAAGATGATGGGAAAGAACAAGAGGATTAATGGTTTATCTAATGGAACTGTTACGTACAGGTACCAAATAAACGTGGATTCAAAAGAGGTTATAAGCAGGTCAGAGGAAGCTGATACGGAAATAAAAGGTCCCGAAGTAGAGGACGAAACACCTCTATTCGAGGTCGACACCCGAACATTCAAGGTATTCATGACCTTGTTATCCGACGGCACTGATCCTTCTTCTCTAGCAGAGGTGTTCTGGGATGATATTGTCCACGCCATGGTGGGCTTGGGATTTACAGCGACGAAGCTGTTTTTTTCGGCTTGGATGTTCCAACGCAGCGACCCGAAGCTTGAGTTTGAGTGTATTATGCTCCAGGAACCATATTCGGCTGAGAAACTAGACCATGCGACGGTTAGGCATTTTGGCCGGCATATCTTTTGGACTTTTGGGTGGAAGTGCTCTATGTTTGCACAGGCTTTATAGGCTGGAAACGCAGCCTTGGAGAACATGCGTTTTCTCACAGCGTTAGAGTATAATTTTATTTTAAGCAGCCTAGGGAATAAAAAAAGTAGCCTTAGGTACGGTACCTATGCAAAACGAGGGTTTCGTAGGTGTTCTACAATGGGTGGAAACGTATTTCTTATCTTAATAGTGTCAAATTATCCGTAAGTAACTGTAGTCAAATGTCCCATCTCAGAGTTCACTAATTACAAGGGTACAATCGCGGAATTTTTTTGAAACAAACTGATGCTCATATATTTACCCCTTTCCGTGCTTCTTTGTGTTGTGTTTCGTATAGGTATATTTCATCGCAGCTTATAGTCGTCTTATAATATGACAACCTAAGGTAGGTATCTATAATCTAGTAGGACAGCCTACCGCCGGGGTAAACACGTAAACGTGCAAAACAAGACCAAGTTTCTCCTGCCACCTAACCGAATGACGCCGTGTGTGTGCAGATTAGATGGAATCAATTTCACCTGTAAATAAAAGCAAGCATGCTTGATATATAGGTTAGGTACCTAGGTAGGTACCTAAGGTAGGTATGGTAGGGATTTCAGGCCTGCTTCGCCCCCGTCACGGGACAGACCCCCGACGATCCCTCGACCGGGGGGTGGCCGACGACCTTGTCCTTGTGGTGGCCGACCTTGGCTTTCGTGACGGGGCACACGTCTCCGTCGGCCTTGTCGGCCGTACTGGGGTGGTCCGGGGGCAGGACGGTGGTTACGGGGCCGACGACGGGGCATACGCGGTCGTCTGCGGCAGGCGTCTATGTTAGCGGCTATGTACCTTAGGTACCTCCTAGAGGTATCTTGAGAGAAAGGAAAGGAAAGGAAAGGAAAGGAAAGGGGAAACAAAACACATACCCATCTCCTGGCTCTTGGGGTCGTTGACGACGCTTTTCAGCGCGGGGCAGGCCTGGGCGTCGGCCGAGCCGACGGACTTGGTCGTGGCGGAGGAGACCTCCTCCTTGGGGACGGAGGGGTGCTGGTGCAGCTTCGCGTGGTGCTCCGTCTTAGCGCCGACGACGGGGCACGTCTGGCCGGGCTTGGAGAGGTCGATCTCGGGGTGGGAAGGGGGTAGAGTGTGGTTTGTCGTTCCGACGACGGGGCATACTTCTGCGGTCATGGTTACGAAGCTGAGTTTGTTGTTGATGATGTAGACTTGATATATAGGTAGTAGTAAGTAGAGTCTTTCAAAAAGCTGAGGGGTATTCTCGCGGTTGATGATGGTGGTGATGATGATGATACTGTTGTACTCCGTCTGAAGAAAGTCGATAGAGATAGAAAGTACGAGCTAGAGGGAAGAAAGAGGGGGGGATAAAGAGTCTATTTAAGGTTGCGGGTCAAAAAGGTACTGAAAAATGCCCAACTTAAAGGTAAAGAAAGGCTAAGGCATACATAGTATACATAGCACACCGAAAAAGCTCTGGAGCTCGTTCTATGTCGCGGGACGACGTCATTCTAAGCCGCTTTGGGAAAGGAGCAAGGAGCATGGGCGGTCGTGCTTAGATTTATGGTGATGCTCATTGGCTGCAGTGCTCATGTCCCGCTCTTGCAGGTGGTACGACAGAAAGCGGGTCTGGGGATCAAGGTACGTACGGATCCGTGCTAGGGGATTAAAATGCTGGAAGCCTTATGAAAAGTACCGAAGTAACTAGGAATCTGGATGTTACCTTAGATATAAGTACCTTTCACCAAGCTGGCGGATACCTGTATAATATGATAATGCTTAGTTGCTGTAAATATCAGGTAGGCAGTGCTATTATATCGTAGGTACCTTTTATGCAGCCCGTTGTGTCATAATTTATACTAGAGATAGGTATCGTCCTAGATAAATCTACTAGTTAGGTACCTGCATAAATCTAAGTTATCAAGTGACACAACAGAATTACTATCATCAGGGACATAGGTATTCTAAAGTCATACCTAGGTAACCTTGTATTACATATTCACGCGCATAAATCCGACAACACAAAATGAGCCCCTTGACGTCAGATCCCCCAAATACCTTGTGCTTACATAGTATACAGACCTCATAATCATAAGTACAATACAAACAATATGGATTTCCTTTCTATTGGTTGAGATCAGTCCAATACAAGTCCGAACATCAACCGAAATTATTCACATCTGCTTATATCCATTCAGTCATTCGATCTTGTACTGTGATTTATACCTAACCTACCTGGTACTCATTCTAGAACCAACTTTCACTTGGGTACAATACACCGCCAATATGAAAATCCAGCTAAACCACATCTACGTCGCCCTAGCGTTACTATCAGGGTCCGCATCAGCTGCTCGACGGGTAAAGTACGCGGGCTGTTTCGGCTCACCGACACACCTCAAGTTCAATCGAGAATCCATATACCAATCCATCGGCTTCTGCGCGAGCTGGTGCGAAAGCCGCGAATACGCCGTGATGGCTGTAACGAACAGAACTGCTTGTCTGTGTGGCTACCATATCCCTCCGGTTGAACTGGAGAAGCCGGATTCGTTCTGCGACTTGCCTTGCCCTGGGTATCCGAGGGATACGTGTACGGATATGGCGAATTACCTACCTCTATCTCTGTGAAGACAGAATCAAGCTAACAGATATGTCTAAAAAATATAGGTGGCGGCCGAGGGTATTTTTCGGTTTTTCATATGGAACCGCCAGAGCCTGAACAGGTTCCTACTCGGGAGGCTTCGACGCAGACTATCGAGCCGGTTGAGACAGGTAGCGCGCTCCCAACAGCCTCTGTTGGGAATCGGCCCATGCAATTCGTAGGTTCACCAGAACTGTAGTTTTTGTAGCGGTTCATCGGAATTATTTGAACGCCCGAGGAACGTTCCCTTACACAGGTTGTGAACTTGCATGTCGATGTATCGGGACTTTATAATCGGAAGTTGGAGATTACGTCGAAAGGCGTTTTTTATTTTATATACATCTTTCAGTTATGTTGCAATATTACCGTATCGACGGCTAATTTGTATATCATGATCAGGCTAGTAAAGTGTTGGGAAGTCCTTGATACATCATATAACTATCATAACTGACTAAGTTGCACCTATATTAGTTCAAGACGTTCCTGAGCAACCGACAAAATTGTTGCCGCTAGCGCCAGTGTGAGTGATTTCACCCGCTAGCTTGCAGGACGTGTTAATGACGACCCGGTCCGGCCCCGGGGACCCTTTCTGTGTGTTAGCTCTCGCTGCACCACATTGAAACTTAAAAGGCTATCACAACTAACCGCCAGTATATACGCTACCGCTAGATAGGAGCGGGAACTCGAGGTAAGGCCCAGACACCGAGAATGAGAAACCCTCATAGTTGTTGTATGTGTGCGGGTATCCACCAGGCGCGCTTCCGGAGCTGTAGTAGCTGCAAGCCTTTTGGGCGGCCTGGTTCACCTGCGTCGCGCTGTAGTATGTAGAGCCGCATGTCGTCGCGGCTTGCGCAGCCCGGTCTTCGACAACGGGGGCGGCGGCGACGGAAGCGAGAAGAGCCGCAAGGGGCAGGAAGACCAAGCCACTGGTGAACTGCATGATTCCTATCGGACTACCCGGTTATATGGATAGAGAATCAAGTCGTATTTGAAGGCTTGATCGGTATGTACTAGGTGCCTCGGTAGGGATCGACTATGAGATCAAATGAAGCAGACGATCATAGTCCTAGATAATCTCTCTCTATATATACTCTTTATCTCGACTTCTCTCCGCGCTCGGTACCTGAAGATCCTCCTTCCTTTCAAGGCGCAATACGCCGATGAAGAATTCTCCCGTCGTTATAGTTTATCCAATCCACGCCGAAACGGAGGGACAGTTGCTTCATCTGGATCAAGCACCGAAGCGTTCTATAGCTCGGCATGCAGATAGGTCTCAGCTCAATGCGGAAGGTAAATAGATAGCCGGCAGAACGTGTCGATAAGGTTGGTGGAGGTTGCGCGATAGCATACGTAGGCGGGGCCGAGGGTCTGGATCTAGGTCTAGTTAGGTGCCAGGTTCTAAACTTTTACACTCTAACGTGTCTAGTATCTCTGCTGCTATTGGCGGCAAATATCTACAACGGAGGCAATAGTTGGAGTTTAGCTTGGCTATAGAAATCTTCATAAACTTAGCTGAATAACAGCAACTCCGAACATGGTTTTCTTCAATTTTACTATAGATACCTGCCCAACCTACCCTTGAGTACCTAATTTAAAGCTCTTAGGATACTTATAATGAGGAATCCCTGGCCTTGTCTCAAACAGTCTAATCAAGACTTAAAGACTCAAAGTAACCTCCACTAGTAACGGCGTAAGTACCTGTTAACTAAAATAAGTTAGGCTGATTGCTACTCAGAGTAGGAATGCTTCAAGTCATAGTACCAGGTTTTAATTCGCTATGATTGGTTGACAGCAAGTCACTGTTGTTCGCCTTTATGTTGCAAGCCAAAACTTCTAATATTAGCACTCGTCCTGTCAGGGGTAAACATGGAGAATAAAAGATTAACAGTAGTACTCAATGAATGATGGGGGAACCCTAATATATGCTTGGTATAAATTCTGGTTGGAAGACCCGGTTGTCAGGGGTATGGTGTTCTAGGACTTATTGGGAGATCGACGCACTAGGATAGTTGTATATAAGGGGGACGCTGCTTTCTCGAGGGTGCTTCGAGGGGTAAGCGCTAATAGATCACTTGCTTCTGTCTCTAGTATTGACTCTACCTACGTATGACTTACATCACGGGATCTCTCTGACGCCGGTACTGTAGGTACCTAACCTAACAAGCGGCTCCTTGACCTCTCACGTCAGCAATGAGTTTCGACTGGGACGCCTCAACCGGAATGAGACAGGATATACCTATGCAGCTCGATGTGTAAGGAATCGAATACCTATGTTCAATATACAAGGTACCTCCTTTGCGTTCTTGCCAAGCTTTGAGCTTAGTAGCACAGCATTACTTTTGCTGCAGCTATCCTCAACCTCATTGTCACGTGGCGTTGGGGTCTACTATAAGGTACCTAGAAAGAATAGAAGCCCTCAAGTCATGAAATCTTAGCGTTCTATCTTCGGAAACGACAGGAAAAACTACACGTCTAGAGTTGTAACCTACTATCCGCTCAATTCATAAGCGAATATTGCAAGATATGCTGTAATTGGTTATATCTCTTTATCAATCTTTATGGGGTTAGAATGCAGCGCGTCCGTACTTTTGGCGACAAACGGTTTTAGGTCCATACTAAATCCTACAAGGTCGTGAGTAAAATGTCCATGCGTGTCGTACATATATATGGGTTCTTAAGGAGGTATCCAATCGGCATTTTGCTGGCGACTGGCTGTGCGGCGTACTCAACATGGCATAGTGAAACATCACTACATTACCTGGCTGCCTGGGAGCCAACCGGAATCAGAGGAGGCGTGAACTAGGAATATATGTACAGGACTAGATCACCTTTGAGGCTTGGAAGCGGGATTCGGGATAACTAATATATCAAATATTACAAAGCCCAGCAAAAACTCTCCGCAAGCCTGCTAGTTGACGTGCCCCGGGACGTTTCGGAGGAAAACACCTTGGCTTTCTATTTTATTTTATTTTCAATTTAAAAAAATCCGCGGTAGACTAAGAATAAGTCCGAATAGTAGTAAACAGATAACTAGTATCTTAAAACATTCTGCTACGAAAACCTGTCAAAATATGGCATGATTTGGTATGCATATCGGATCCTTCGTACATTAAAATAGGTAAACCTCCTTCAACCGTACCAGGTAACTAACATGGACCCTAGCTTGAATCTGCCCTAGCTTCAAAGATACATCCAATCACGATCAAAATGAACAACCCTGTAATATTTCCATAATAAGTGTAAGTTGCAGTTCTGCCGGCAGATCATTGAAGTGTGCATACACTAATTGAAGAGTCTTGAGTCGTTGAAGAATGCCCATTTCGGTATTCTTCAAACCCCTAATTCCGTTGACTCGCGCAGCAATGGTATGCAAAAAATTATCGCTTGCCAATGGAAATAGCGATAAAACTGCGCATAGACCCAGATTTTATACCTTAGGTTATTAACGTTACATCAAGCTCGGACGGTCGGAGACGTATCGTCGTAATGTCCCCATTCGACCCCTGAACATGACCTCACGATAGTGGAAAAGGCAAAGGATATATGCAAGAAGGGGAGTGGTCTCGACCGAGTGGGTTTTGGGATTAGGTATATCCTTGGGATATATCCATTCAATATCCATTCAATGTATTCTCAATCGGCCGTGAAATCCGACCATCCGTCCATCGACCGAACTCCACTACAGCCAAAGTGGCAAGCAGTCTTCGAGTCTTCGCCGCGGACGTGCCTCGAGGAATATCCACGGGACGCGCTTCGGGTTTCGAGACCGAATTGTAAATTCGTATAAGTTAGGTAGGTAAGAACGTATTCATTCCTGTCGTTTAAGATAGATATAGTTCGTCAACGTTCTTAAATTTCATTGTCCGCGCCTACGTTAGCTACACCACAAAATGGCGCCTTTAGGTCTGGAGACCCCGGTCCACTATGTTTTAATAGCTTGCGCATTAGTAAGTCCATCCTACCCTTCTAAAGAAGTATATATAGGTAACTATGGAAATAAGAATCGTATAGCTAACTGACTACAAGGCGGGCGTTTATGTTGTGGGCAAGGTTTTCTACAATATCTTTTTGCACCCTCTTAGATCTTTCCCGGGTCCGTTCCTATGGAAGATCTCCCCTATCTTTAGACATTATCGACTGGCTCAGGGTGATTTGCCAATTTATATGAAAGAGTTACACGCCAAGTACGGACCAATTGTACGAATATCCCCATATGAGCTAGCATTCAGCGACCCCCAAGCATGGAAGGATATCTACGGCCATCGCCACAACGGCGAGCCAGAATTCCCTAAATACGATGGTTTTTACCGAGCTGTCGACAACATTCCTCGAGGTATCATCAATCATTTCCGGGAGGAACATAGCCTTTTACGCCGCCAATTATCACACGGATTCTCAGATCGCTCGATGCAGCTTCAAGAACCCATTATCGGATCATATGTAGATCTATTGATTCGCCGACTGCGAGAGCAATGTGCCGATGGTTCGACCCCTTTGAATATGCGCGAATGGCTGAATTGGACCACGTTTGATGTTATCGGTGACCTCGGTTTTGGTTCTGCGTTCGGCTGTCTCGAGAAGAGCGACTATCACCCATGGGTTAGGCTCGTTACCAACTCGTTGCGGCAGACTGCCTTTATGATGGCTCTATCTGACATGAAGCTCAAGCCTGTGATACGAATGATCTTGAAACTCAAGAAGCTCGCGATTACGGACAACCAGGCATTGGTTCGAGAGAAGCTGAGGCAAAGGATAGAGTCTGGGGTCGAGCGACCAGATTTCGTCGAGGGCCTTATAAAGCAGAAGGAAAAGGGGAATCTGGACTTCATGCAAGTTGCCGCCAATTCGAATACTCTCATCATAGCTGGTAGCGAAACAACCGCGACTCTTCTCAGTGGCGCCGTCTACCTGCTTACGACTAATCCCGATAAACTGGAAAAGCTCACCCAGGAAGTCCGGTCTGCATTCAAAAATGACGATGAAATCACTTTGCTTTCGGTTGGCAAGTTGTCGTATATGTTAGCCTGTCTCAATGAGAGCCTCCGACGATACCCGCCCGTACCAACTGGAATGCCCCGCCAATCACCCAAGGGCGGTGCCAATGTTTTAGGCAAATATATTGCAGAGGGAGTGAGTAATTCCTTGAACGAATGTATGATTCATATACACTAACAACATATAGACTGTTATGGCTGTCTGGCAATATGCCATCAATCACGACGCGAACCACTGGACCGACCCCTATGCCTTCGCTCCAGAGCGATTTTTGGGTGACCCGAAATATAAGAACGACAAGCTTGACGCAATGCAACCGTTCAGCGTAGGCCCGCGAAATTGTATCGGCCGCAAGTAAGTCACTTACTCCTCCCTAGTGCCACTTCTCAGAATTCTCTAACACTGCAAAAGTCTGGCTTACGCCGAAATGCGCCTCATCCTGGCCAGGATTATCTACAACTTCGATTTGAAGGTCGCTGACGACAGTCGAAACTGGATCAATCAGCCCGTATACACGTTATGGGACAAGCCGGCGTTGAACATTTACCTGAAGCCTGTTGCTAGATGAGATGGATAAGCCGCCAGACAGCGGATGGGGAAGACGCTAATTCTTTCTACGATGATTACTTGCCCGTGGGAAAACCCGCGGGATCTTATTTAACCGTCTACGGCGCTGCTCTAGTTAGCAGATACATGCTAACGTCCTCAAGGAATATTGGGGCTAAATTGTCTAAAAATGGAAGCCGTGTCTAACTATATTGTATAATAGTCTTGGAGGGGCATTCAGGTATTTCCTATGTTAAGCGTTATTATGGAACATAGTAATTCACGAGAGGCATGTCGTTATAGGGTAGTATAGGTTCTGTACTAGATAAATCACTAACCAAGGCAAAAAGTAGCCCGCTAGCAAAAAAGCATTGGAGTTTTAATTTGAATTTTAAGTCCCTCACGATTATCGGTTTATGTCCTCAATGTCATAAGTTAATTCTCGCGTTTATTTGACATAAGTACAATCTATGGTACATAACTCATTTCTAGACAGTATATCTGTACACAGGACGATTTTCCATCCCAGGTGCGTGGGCCAGTTCACCAGAGTCGAGTTTCCTATTTAAACCATTATAACATGGTCGCATGGCCAAGGCTGCCCTAACAAAGACCCCCCTGAGTACTGGAAAATTCCCATGACTCCTTAGCGTTGAACTATATAATCGTATCTATGATAGAAAGTTTGATCTAAAACAGCGGTTAACGAGGTCATGGGGACATCAGTCTAACGAGACGGGGGAGGATAAGGGCTCAGCTTTGGAGCATACATATCAAACGTGATATTATTATTAAAATATCTCAAAATGCACTGATCTAATCGAGTTACCAACAGCCGGAAGAGCTCATAGTAACCAGACCCAACGGCTAGTACATATCTTGACTTATATCAACCGCCATCTGGAATCATTTCGCGAAGAAATAGTCTAATCACCCTTTACTTAGCCGTCCGTCATTTTGCCCCTAGGTAGTCAGGGCAGGATTTATAGCCCAGGAGTCGTCAGTGATCCACCATATCGCGCAATCCGCGGATTGAGCCATTGTCGACAGAGCTATACCGATCTGACTGGTGCATGGGAATCCGCTAACTTCCCGCCCGATACCAACCGCTCGGGACTCGTAGTATTGCATTTAAGATAGCTCATGCCTCAAGGGACTGACCTGCTTCCGAGTTCATCATGGTTCGCAAGAAGGTGAGGACCAGTAGAGAACTCGCAAAATACGCTATCCTAGTATTTATTTCCGTTACAGTCGCATCGCAATACGCAACTGGCTATTGGCTAGTTCAGCATCATTACATGGTACGCGTCTATGCGGGGGTCTTGGCTGAATTGACTCTGCACTAAAGAGACGTCTCCTACATAAGATGATAATATCTCAGCATACTAAGAGCCACTTCCTTCTACCAATATCTAATTAATGAACCAGTTTTCCAACGGTGGCATTCATAGGGCGCTTTAGGGACCCTAGAAGTTAACATGGACGGGTTTTCTACCTTATTCGAGGACTTCACAAGACTTGATGTATTTGTCATTGGCTTTGTGGTGAAGTTGCTATTCGTTATATCGGCTCCATCCTTTTTAATTTATATCATACTTAATGAGATTGTTCGACTACGAGGTCGAATCCCTAAGTTGCCGGGACCGTGGGGTTACCCCTTATTGGGGAGTCTTCCGTCTCTACACGGCACGGCGACGTCGGACGAATATAGAATAGTATGTAACAGAAGAGTACCAGTCGCTGAAGTACCCTATAATATTATAGTATCTTTCATCTATAACACCTTACTTATGTTCTATTTTATATAAGCATTTGACTAACATCTAGACTGATAGTGGGCTAAGCGCTATGGTGACGTATTCCAAGTACCACTGGGCAACGTAACGGCTGTGGTGGTAAACAGTACGGCAGCAGCCCGTGCGCTCTTTATAGGACAGCGAGAAGCGACAAACTCGCGCCCCGTATTCTATGTTTTACATAAAAAAGTGCAACAGGGAGGACCTGTGACAAGCATTGGCACCAGCCCCTGGGATGACAGTTGTAAGCGACGACGCAAAGTTGCTGCTACGGCCCTGAATAAGACAAGCACGGAAAGCTACCTTCCTGTATGTGCTACATGCAACGAAGTCCGATTCTCATAGCTAATCTTACGTATGCTAGATCTTAGACCTTGAATCGAGGGCGTTGACGCTAGATGTTCTATCCAGTTGTAAGAACGGCACTGTATCCGTTGACGTGCTTGATCTCACGCGCAAGTTCGCTTTGAACCTTAGCTTAACACTGGCCTATGGAACACGGTAAGCACTGCTTCTCATTCTAGATGGATACCAACTAATCGGAGGCATGAAAAGAGTTGAAAACGTAAAGGACTTACATAGAGACCTCGTGATCTCCGAGATCATTTATATCGAAGAAGAAATATCAAAATTTCGCAACCCCACCAGCAACTTTTCCAACTACGTCCCGCTACTCCGTCCGCTCAACACTGTTGCGGGGTGGCTAGGACTGCACAAGAACTCGCACACGGCCGACGTGGGGAAACGGCGGTACGCTTACCACCGCGTCTTGCAGGAGAAACTCAAGAGAGATATTGCGGATGGCGTTGACCGTCCTTGCATCCAAGGCAACGTCCTCAAAGACCCCGAGAGCAAGGGTCTCACCGACGGCGAGCTTCTCAGCATTGGGCTCAGCATGCTCGCGGGCGCCGATACTACGAAACGATCACTGATGTGGGCTATCCTGCTCCTCGCGCACCGTCCGGACATTCAGGAGAGGGCATATAAAGAGATCATAGAGACGGATGCTCACTTGCTCGAGTCTCCGCATGTCGCGCACTCCAGAGTCGAGTATATCGAGGCCTTTACCAAGGAAATCGGCCGCTATTACGCAGTGCAGCGTCTTGCGCTGCCGAAAGCCACGTACTCACACGTCGAATGGAAAGGGGCAGTCATCCCTCCTAACACGCTGCTATTTCTAAATTCATGGGCATGTACACGAGGTAAGAGGACCATCTCAACTACGCAATAGTAGGTACGCGACATTAACTGACGACTTATACGTCTAGACCCGTCCGTATTTTCAGACCCCAACGTATTTGATCCAGAGCGCTGGATGGACGGCGGCCAGACGGCAAACAGACACCAGTATGCATTTGGCATTGGGGGTCGGATGTGCATCGCAAGCCACGTTGCGACGAAGGCCCTCTACGCCGTCTTCCTCCACCTCATCATGCACTTCCGGATCTTACCAGCGGAAGAAACGATGGACCCGATTGTGGCGGATCCTATAGAGGGTCTATTAACTCGGGAAAATCCCATCGCGGGACCGAAAGCTAGGACGGTGCGCTTTGTGCCGCGGAATATTGATGTAACTCGACGGATGCTGTCCGCGGAGTCTTAGTGCGACAGAGTACATATTCTGGGTATAAGTCGGGTGCGCACACAGACAGATAAGGGGTAAGATAAGAATAAGGCAAATTAAATAACCCAGAGTGGTGTAAATATACCTGTACAGATCTAATAAATATGATCATCGTGGAGATTGTCCTGACTGAAAAAAAGGGGTAGTCTCAGCCCAGTATAGGCCTTTTCAATATATCCTCCCAGACACATTCGACTATTCGAGGTCATAGTTTGACAACAAAATAATAAAAAACTAGTAGGACATTGTATCCTAGTGACCCTCTATCGCACGAAGGTTCTCTCCAAGTTTAGCCATGACAGCAGCCTCTGTCGTGCTCTTCAGTAGCTCTCCCAGTCTTCCATCGACCCTCGCGAACATCGCTATAGAGGACCCAGTCAGCCATGCTATGCCATAACCACTCCTGAGTTTAGGGGTATTGAATGAACCAAGGGTCATTCTTGTAGAGATAACTTACCGTAGACATCGTCTCTGATCCACTGCGTCTGCGCAGCGCTAATGTGAGCGGATAAATTGCCCACGAGCCGCTGCTGTGCGCCCTCCTGCGTCCCCATCACATGCCATAGCGCCGTCGACTGCTCGAAGTCCTTATCCGTGACCTCCGAGGAGAACACCACGGGGACTCCGCTCCCCGGCAGCGCACGGTCAAGCCTTCTCTCACTTCCCTTCGAATGCTCCTCACCATCACCATCACCATCTGCCACCCCGTCCTGGCCACTCCGATTTCCGCCGCGAAGGAACTTCACCGGCTTAAGCCTCGTCCCCACGTAATTCGGGTCGCCCCCGTAGTTCGGCGTAAAGTTCATGAGCCCGTCCCGCTCGATGGGGCAGCAGGCCCCGCTCGCCGGCGCGTTCGTCGGCAGGAACTGGTAGTTGACGCCGAGGCGGTAGCGCGCGGCGTCCGGGTACGCGAACATGCGGACCTGCAGCATCGGGTCGGGGCTCGGCGCGATGCCGGGCACCATGTTGCTCGGGCTGAAGGCGGCCTGCTCGACCTCCGCGAACCAGTTCGACGGGTTCTTGTCCAGCACCAGGCGGCCGACCTTGCGGCGCGGGTATCGCGCGAGGGGCCACGTCTTCGTCATGTCGAAGATATCGACGGGCGCGTCGGCGATCTCTTCGGGGCGGATGGCTTGTACGTACATGTCCCACGAGGGGAAGTTTCCGGCCTCGATTGAGTCCTGGAGGTCGGCGAGATGCTTGTCCGGTTCGGAGCCAGCTAGCTTAGCCCCCTCTTCGTCGGTGAAGTAGTGAACCCCCTGGTTGGTTAGGAAGTGTATTCGGACGTAGCAGTACGAGCCATCGGACTTGGTGAACATGTACGTGTTCCCGCTGTAGGCGTTGACGTGTCGTGCCGAGGATGGAAGACCTCGGTCCCCGAAGAGGAACATCAAGGCATGGATGCTTTCCTGGTTATTGACGTGGAAATCCCAGAACATGTCCGAGCTAGCCACTACAGTCTCAATTAGCACTCATCTATATTTTTACCCAAGTTAAAGCTGCAATAATGAAAAGTATCCTAGGCATATATTCTGGAATCAAAGGCTTCGCTCACTATTGGTTCTGGGATCCCGTTTGTGACTACGATTTAACGATGGGAATTTCGTTGGATCTCGAACAAAGAAGACCGGCTATATTCATCTCATCAATATATTTAACCAATTAGTGGAGGGGAATTGGTGTATACCTGATTATTGAACACAAAGTCTTGATTCCCTTGTGCGGTCTTGAATTTCGTAGCGAAGCCTCGAAAGTCTCGCACGGTATCCGCAGAGCCTCGCTCGGGAGCAACGGTGGAAATCCGGACAAGAGTCTCGGTTTTCTTGCCAATACCGGTCAAGAAGTCGGCGTCAGTAAGGTCGGATATATCATCCGTGACCTCAAAGTAGCCTCTCGCTCCGGCGGCTTTAGCATGCACACTCCTCTCAGGGATCCTCTCCCGAGCGAAATGTGCTAGGTTTTCGATTAGCTGGGTCGAGGTGAGCAGGACAAATCCACCGCCGCTGCCGGTGCGTATCTGGGTTGAAGTATCATTCTTTCCGAGAGGCTGGCCCTCTGCTAGGGTATAGTAAGGGGTTTCTGGGACTGTTTTTGATGCCATTAGTAGCGTCTTTCAATTTCTCCGAGTTGTGATTTCAAGGTAGCAAGGTTGGCACGTCTATTGAAGTATTCCGCTCAATAGTGATCCGAGTTAAGATGTAATAGGATTTATGATGCTAATGATTCCTGTTATGAGGAAGGTTCTGAGTTGCCTGGTAGTCTATTTTACAGGAGTCGTTCGTTCTGTCTTATACCTTTCCGACACTCGCTCTTCCTACCCCGAACCATATTCTATCGTAACCAAATTGAATGAAAGTCGTATTTCCTACCGCCGGCTTACTTCTCCCATGAGAGCATTAACATCTGGTGAATCATAGTCAGCAATGACGCTCATCCCGGAAGTCCGAGTCTTCGTCGACTTGGTGGTTGTGAGTGCTGAATACCCCTGTTCGGTGTTTATCGGGTTTCGCTCGGTGTGTATGGTATAACAGCAGAAACTACCGCTTGGAGCCGTCGATTATATCTCGGCATGCTCAATATTGGTATGCATTTTACAATAGCTAATAGGACATTAATGAAAGCCCATGATGGACCTTCGATCAAAATTTCCCTCTTTGTTGATAAACCGTGGTGGATTCTAGCCTAACTAATCTCTTGCTATTTCTTCAAGATTCTACTGCACTCGTATACTACCTATGGCGTGCATACGGCATGTGTCCATCATCTTGACTTATTATGTTTTGACTTCTCCGCGGCGAGTGAGTAGCGTGGTGGGAGCATCAGTATTCTAGGGTTATACCCGGAGTTAGAGGATGACTTGAGATAAATTTATTGGCCGGGAAGCAATGTGCTTGCTCCAAAACTTTCGCGAAATTACACCTGTACTGCTGGGGTTAGTCGAAAGGCTACGTAGCCTTTGATATTGGTTACCTACGAAGTAGGTACTTATTATGGGATACCCTTATAGCAGGTCTCGGGATGCTCCGGGGACCAAGATTCCGGGCTAAAGCGCCCGAACCCGTTCCGTTCGGTGAACCAGATTGAAAGTGGGACCATGACACATGCCCGGGATACCGATCTATTAATAGATGATTTCGATAATATTTATCCCTTACATTACGTATGATCTAAAGTTCTCAATTCACCTTCCTCTCTACTAGGCGCAAAGAATTATACATCGTTTATGTGGTCGCTTCCAGTTTTTCCAACTTTGTAACTCTTTAATCACTCTCATCTGCAAGGTAACAATTTGCGCTGCCATACTCTACTCTACTCTAACGCATAGTAGCAAACGTCTCTGTATGATACTAAACAAGTAACATCACACAAATAGCAGCTGTCATAGATCCACAATTACATAGTAGAAGCGCCAGTATCCTAAAATAGCAAGCCAATTACAGCAAGGCATGCACATCAGGGTACCTTGCATATATCGTCACTGTAAGTTAGAATAAACTCACATCATAGCCACCCCGTCCGCGTCTTGGATGATCTTAGATGCAGCCGCTCCCACGTGGCGAAGTTCAATAAGGCTAATCGTGGGGATAATCAAACGCTTATTTGAAATACCCTGCCACGAATCCATCAGCAAAATTCGACCCCAACTCAACTGCGTCTTGTTCTATTAGGCGTATGCCATCCTATTAGTTTCCTCTGCGTAAAGGGTATTTATCACAGGCTCGACTGTCGCCCAGGAACGTGAAATCGGAATTCGTAGTTGAATACAGAAAAAGAATAGAATTTCAATATTGGTATCTATCATGCCATCTAACAGGAGTAGAGCAGCCTCGATTATAAGGCAGTAGTCATCATGAAAGTCATCCCGCTGAGCGCCAGAACCCATACAGCCGTTCCTATATATTCGTGAAAACTCCAATTTATCCTGAGATTAATACTGCTCAGTTCGGAAAGACATTTGATGATGATGGTTGAAGAAATCACTAGCGTTGCTAGCGACCACCGTAATCACTAGCATAGCCGATCTGCTCCCCAAAATTTTGTTGTAAACCGCCCTCTCCGAATCCTGTACCCGGGCCACTAACGTAACCCGTATCGTCACCATCGTCATAATCCGAAGCATCAAAGCTAGAACGGCCACTAAGCTCGTCCTCCACGTTACCCATGTCGGCTGTTTGGCCCCAGTTCATCTGCGCTAGTGCAGGATACTGTGCCAATAAGGCAGCAGGTAAGGCGTAGCCACTCGTCTCCATACCAGGATAGACATTGGGATCCATGACTGGCTGCTGTTGAGCCATGTTCTGAGCCATACTCTGCATTCGCTGCTCCTGCCATAGCCGTTGTCGCTCAAGCATTTCTTCATCCAGTAATGGCTTGATGCATATCCGGCCTGCTTCTGATCGGAAATGTCGACCCAGAGCATCTGCGCGAGCAAACCGTCTCCCACAGCCCCATTGTCCACCGGCTTTGAGGTCTCCTTTACAAACGAATTTCTTTTCGCCCGAGTGAAGACCCTCGTGACGTTTGCGATCATGTTGCCTGGCGAATGCCTTTCCACAGACCGTGCATACAAAGGGCCTTTCGTCGGTATGAGTGCGGAGATGGGATCGCAAATTATATGCTCGGGTAAAGCGCTTTGGGCAAAGCGTACACTGGAAAGTGGCAGGATGTTTCTGAACCCGCTTCGTTCCTCCGTTATCTTGAGCAGCTTGGTATTCCGGGTCTGCTAGACGGAGAGCTATTACATTGTTGGGGACCGCAGACATAGATTGGCGTCTCCTGGAGACAGCATTGGCGCTACCTGATCGGTCTCCAGGTGAAAGCGAACGAGTTGAAGACTCGGATCCGGAACGGCTGCGGTTGGCCAAATCGGCGCCGAGGTGTGGCGACAGGTTTCCAGGGGTGTTGGGTCTCGAGAGGACAGCCCCTCCACTATTATAGGGGTCCGTAACTGACCGTGGCCGAGATCGTGGCCGACCTGTATGTCTATTTAGGGATAGGAATGTTTAGTTTTAAGAATACTACTCACCTCTATCAGGCGGGGTTAGAGACTGAGCATCCATTGGCGGCTTGGGAGGCTCAAAGCTATTTTGCCGGGAATTAGGCGCGAAGTCGATATTGATAGACGGGGGAGCCATAGGTTGAGCTATTAAAGGGTCTATTGGTGCTTCCTGAGATAAAGAAGGGAACTCTTCCGACGTTTGCATAGAATAGCTCATAGGGTGGTTAGAATATCCCGTACTTAACATCATGTTCTGACCTTGCTGACTGGCATCAGGCATCTGCTGAGGGAGTATTCGAGGTGAGATCGCTGGGCTATGGGATGGACTGCGGCTGTTTGGATTATGTCCTGTTATACTAAAATTACCTAGTCCTACAACCCCCTCGTAAAACTCTTGCGGTCGCTGCATGGGCGAATGTCCGTGCTCTGGGTGCTCGAAGCTATCGTGGCCAGTCAAATTTGGTGATGGGGCAACCGACGATGCGTCCGAATATTCTGACGGTGTCCTTCTATGTCCCTGGAACTGTGGTTGGCTCCAATCTAACTGGCCCGGCATAAGAGCAGCCTCGGGACCCAATGATGCATGCCTCGAATGACCGGGAGAAGAGAATTGATGTTGGTTGAAAGATGGAGACTGGTGGGCCGAACCGGGTTCTGGCTTTAGAAGATGAGGAGGGGTAGGTGAGTGGTGTGTTTGCGGGGACGTCATGTTCGTCAGGTCGTTCGGGTCAAGAGACTGCGTATGTGTTTGAGACAGATCACCAAATAAAGGTGTACTGAACTGGTCACCCTGGGAGGTTTGGGGGAACAGCGAGAAATCGCCGCTGTTATTAAAATCCGAACCTAGAAGGCTCTGGGAGAACGCGGCCTGCGATTGAGCCGCCAGAGACTGCGAGTAGTCTTGGTTAAGTCCAAACGATGTCGGATCAGCAATGCCCTGTGGGTCGAAAGATTGCGACTGCGCTGGATCCAAAAACTGGCCGCCACCGTTGTCGCTAGGGTAAATGTTGAAATCGGAGGTGAACTGGGGATTCACTGATGAGGGGTCTATGCCAATGCCGAGACCGATCGATGACTCCGGGGACTGATATGGATGAGGCGAAGGAGAATGACTATTTCTTATATGAGACTGCTGATTCCCGGCGGATGGTGAACGGCCGCGAGCCGACCCTGCAGCTTGTATAGCTTGATGATCCATGGTGCGTAAGTTGTTTCTGTCTTTAGAAACCCCAAGTTTGGCAAGGTTGAATGCACTCGACCACCAGTCTCCGAGTCTGCCTCGCAGCGTGGCGCAGCGCGGGTGCGTTTGAAGGGGGCTGTGTTAGGCGAGTCTGACCCAGTTCCAAATGCCGTTTTTGACGTACGATGTGGGCCAAAAGAGACTCTTCTTTCAGTTAAGACTGTTTGAGAGGGTATTGTAAAATGTGGGCGATATGATGCAGTCTGATATTATGAAGTCTTTGTTAGATTTGATGCTGTAAGATGTAACACAGTATGGTAGTGTTTTTTTTTTCTTTTCTTACGCTCTGTAGAGGGTGAGTAAAGAAACTGCAGGAACAAGAAGGGGGGAAATGCGCCTAAGTACTTTTTAGGTGCTTAGCTGGCTGTAAATCGCAACCCTTCACTGCAAGATCTGCGACTGTGATACCCTAGCTTGGCACTTCCTTTCCGAATAGCTACTTGGGCAAGCCAGGGGACAAAAGTAGAGCTATCTGGGGATACGTGACGTGTCGCGTAAAATAGAAAACGTTTTCGTTGTTATACGGCGTATGGGGCAGTGTAAATGACTTGATAATAACAAGCCTACCGCCTTAGAACAAGCCCAGCGCCTTAAAGCAATTGATGTGATATCTTGGTACCCCAAGCTATTCAGTTTAACTAGGTAACTTATCCGCCGAATCGTCCTTAATCCGTATCTTAAAATAATTCTTCTAAGAAACTTCTAAATCGGTTCGGCTGCGGAATGGGTGGCTTTGGGCGTTGGGTCGTTGCGGCTTTCGTAGAATGAATACGATAATCAAGGTGTTAGAAGGAGGCCTCTTTGGCGTTGCGATACTTTGACTCGGCGCCCGACGGCGACAATATCAGGACTAATGGCTTGATTCGAAAAGTTAGAATTTCGGGATCTATTATAACGTGTTCAGCCAGGTCGCTCTCGGAGATAGCAACGGGTGCTGGCTAATAGACGTCGGGCCCAAAGAAAGTATTAACGAGGAGGTGATTGAAGCAAGTTGAAGGTGAAGGTGAAGAGCGCAAGATGTAATAAGTCACACTTTCCACACACTTTCAATCGGTCGCAAGAACCAATCTCCCATAAGGTTATCACCCCGCCCTATCGCCCCACCTGCCTTAAGATGCTATATCGCCGGTGAAATTTGCTAGGTAACTGCTAAGTTTGGTACCTGTAACCTGTAATTACCTCAGGCATTACTTCGTACTACCTACATCATAATGTGCCTAAAATACCTATTCTTAACTCTAGAATACATCAATTGTTATGTACAAATTAAGGTATCTACCTCTTAAGGTTATGTTGCTATAATAGAGATGTACATATCATATAGTTGAATGCATCTAACATCAGGTAGATAGTTAACGTAGGAACTGAATTTGAGAACAGAAAGTTTCATCTTAGAATGATAATTCGAACAACACGAAGAAGAATGGTACGGTAGAAGTACCTAATGTAGTATCTCCGAAACCGTTCGGGCACCCAGCCTACTAACATAGGCCTAACAGCATTGCCATGCTATTGGACCGTACTATGTGACCGTACTATGTAGGTACTACCCTAATGTAAGAAAATAGCAACAGCTAGAATTACACTAGCGTCAGAATTGGTGTGTTTTGTAGGTAGGTACATAAACAGGTACCTAACCTAGCACGTGCAATGCTCTCCTGCTGTTATTAATCGTCCGGGGTCCACTCCCCGGTCCACTCCCCTGACATTAGGGCTGGTCTAGCACTTCTTCAGTCAAACACTTGTAACATCGGATGAGGAACGAGATGATACTTCAGACATGTACCTCGGATTTGCTCCATACATCTATCCCCATTGCATCCCAATACATACCGGACATACTAAATAAGACAGTTATTAATAAATACCAATATGAACATCCCCTAACCTCATCAAGATAAAATGGTCTTTATAGATGTATGCTTTTACTTAGCATGTATGATCTACATCGATTACGCACCAAAAAAAAAGCTTCGTTTATTGATCTACAGCCTACCTCTAAATATTGGCTGTTCAAGTTAGGCTGTCCAAGCAGGCGAGTAGGACAAGGAGGAGATCATATTAAGTATCAGATAGCTCGGCCAATCGTATCGTTCTGCGTCGTAGTTAATCTAATTAATTAGGCAGCTATATTTCTCGAAGGGACCTCCCGTTTTCGAGGCGGTGAACGAGGATCTTCTTGGTTCCAGTTGTCTCAACAAAAGAAGACGTTAGGTACAATACCGATCAAGTCTCACTCGTTCCAAATCCAGGAGACTTTATCCCCCCTGACAGAATCCTTTTATAGTGACCTATTGCCGTCTTGGCGGAAGCGCCTATATTCTGCCCTGGGCTTGCTTGGTCAAGTTCAGAATACGGTCTGTTTAACCAGAGTACCTGCCTACTTACCTTAGGTACCTAGCCTAGGTAGTTGATTCGACGAAATACTCATGTTAAGGTAAGGGAGGTGGATGTCAGCCCTATCATAAATCTATAGTGGATGGTTTGACCATTGCGAAATCATCCCTTCCCACCGAGCGGAAGATCGTGGCTGTGACGCCACATACACTAAAGATGCTTCGCCGTTCCCCCTCGTATGCCGCGTTCCCGAACCATTCTGGAAGACATTCGTCAATTCGAACGATCCACCTCTCCGCAAATGGAGATTCCATTTTACACTCATCTCACACAAAAACGTCATTGCTCTGCTTACTATGAGACATAATTGTCAGCCAATCTAACAACCTCAAAATATGTGTAAATTCTATCTCTAAGTCTGAGACGAAATACTCAGCTAAGCGCCGAATTCCGCACACCGGCATAAAAGGTAGGTACCTACCTGTATCATGCCTAAGGCAACGTTTGACTTGTTTTTATTTTTAGACACCATATGAATCTCCTCGTTAGATACATTACGCAATCGGATACTTCCTCTTGGTAACTTTCCCGAATAGTAAAAACAATGCAAGATATCTCACTGATAGTTGGTAGCATGAAGATTCCAAGATAGGTAGGTAGGTACCTAAGGTAACAAAATGTTGCATAATATCAGCAATCCAGAAGTCCTCTAGAAAGGTTGGAGGTTAGGGATTACTCGTACAATACGCCAATAGAATTGAGAACACAGTAGGTTATTGCTCGCGCAACCATGGATGGACAGCTACCTCCTACGCGCGTTCACGAATAATAACGACGAACATCACAACCTTATGTATATCATACACCGCATTGAAGTTGTATTGGCAGCAATTAACGCTTATACAACCTACTAACCAACAGTAGGTATTTACAGGCGAATCTTCAACACAGTTGCATATATCTCTAAACATATAATACTACAAGCACTTCATCAATTCTACCTACGGCGCATCGATTTCCTCCTAGAAGAATCAAGCCTGTCATACTCCCTTTTTAGGTGCTTGGTGATTAAGTTCCGCGATACTCTTCAAAATACACATGTCATTGACAACTACCGAATGGGATGACTGAGACCACTGTTAGACATGCAGAATTCCCTTGATGTCGCGTATGCTACATAAGCTCATCCGTTGAAAACAAATATTTTCTGTTGGTAACTCTCATGTGTCCCTATACTGTATAATCAGCCAATTAAACAAAACTGATGAGTTAAGCCAACTTACCGCGAGCCTATCGTATATACTGGAGCTACATCAAGAAATAATTATCGTTGTATTGCTTAGAGATGTGCCATACTGCTTACATCGCATTCGCATTTGTCTTGGTGAATCCCGAAGCAAGTCCGAAAGATATCTACAAAACGCGAGGTAAGATCCGTAATAACGCCTGCTCGTCCAATTTGACTAAGAACTATGTGCCAGAAAGACCTAGTGGTAAATGCCAAACGTAGAATGAATATTATAAACAGTAACACTTGTAGTTTCTAAGCTCCTTTCGAGAACGATATGCGCCTTCTATACTATCGCGCTATGGCACAACCCCTAATCCCTTAGGTATTACTATGTCAACACTTCGGACGATTTATATTAGTAGAAGTTTTCAGATCGAGGGAGTAGATGGAAAGTAGAGATTATTCTAGTCTAAGAGGAGTTGAGATATGAATTTTAGAAGAATGCATATATCCCCAGTACGCCTTCTACCCAAGTCCATTCTATGGGTATTTTCTTTTGATATCTAGTCGTCGCCGCAAAACCCAACCGGGGACAGTTTCCCAAAATCACGCCCCCAAAACAAAACGAAGCCATGACGCCGTTCCAATGTGATGCTACATGCCAGCCAGCCGGATAAAAATGACATAACCGTAACTGAGCCTATGCTCCTCTATGTCCGGGTCAATGATGTTGTATACAATATCTAAGTCGTTAAAACCCCCCCACAAATCTCTTGCCAACGGATTTTACAACACCTCGTGGCGTTCAAACCCTTCTGCTTTCAACGCAGGTCGGGGCGGTTCCTGGCCGTCCTTGTACTCGCTGACGAAGGGGTTGGGGTCTTCCTTCTGGTTGAGGTTTCCGAACGTGTGGTTGACGCCCCTGTGGCAGGCCTCGTCCGCTCGGATATACAGGATGAGATCCTTCATCGTCCGCTTGCCCTCTGGCATGTGCCAGTATTTGACGGCAATGTCGGGAACGACAAAGTTCGGATCGGACCACTTGGGGAGGTGTCCTTCTTCGATCTGCTTGATGGCCAATGTGTATGTGTGCACGGCTTCTTCTTCCAGGTAGCCCACTAAAGAAAAGGTCAATCTCTAACTGAGTGCGAAAATGAGTCCGTTGCAATGCTTACCGAATCGATGTGTGATCTTAGGCGATATTAAGTAGGACAGGAAAAGAGCGTTGAAATAGACCCCCTGGGCACCAATGAGCATGATCTTCATAAACCAGCCTGGCCGATATGTTAGCGGATGGGACTAAATAAATGGTGCTTTTAGACTTTAATGCCTACCTGGTTCGCACATCTTGATGAAAGTCAAGAGGTGCATTCGTTCGTTGTAACTCTCTTCAAGAAGGGTCTCGATCCAGCCGTTATCCCTCTTCAGTCGCCGAATGCTGTGGAGATGTCTTAACATTCCCGCCACCATTCCCGGGACGCCAGCAATAGATTCGAGAAAGAGAAAGCGAAGGAGCCATTGAGCTTCGGTCAGGGGCCTGATTGTATCAACGGCAGTGGTTGGGTTCGCTTTATCGACTTTTTGATCCTTCTTCATCCCCGTAAAGAAGTCCATCCCCCATCTACACGTACGCATCACTTTCCAGGCGACCCAGTCGCCCCATGTCTTAGCCGGACGGTGAGCGGGAACTACACTCAACATTTCCTTCAGTTTAGATTGGGTTGTTAGCTAATGGTTATTATATAGGTACCTCAAAGTAAAAATCAAAGTCGTGATGCGGAACCAGCCCCCTTCAGCTCAGAATAGTAAAATCGGGTATGTTGCTACTAACCTCTTCCGTATATCCATGATGGGGCCAGACTGCTGGTGTGAGTCTAATATTTTCCGTTTCTTTTACTGGAAAGAATTCCTTAAAGTTCGTTGCCGGCGTTGTGGAAAAGGCTCGTGAGCATCCATTGTGTTGAGTCGACGCAACAAGCCCGACCCGGATTCCCGTCGAATACCCAAGGGCAGAATTGTGAAGTAAAGGTATTACAACTCTGGATAGCCTCGCCGCTTGCTTTGGGTTGCAAAGGTTTGCTGGGACCTTAGTCGAGAGCATTGGTGACAGGTAGTTATAGGATTGTGATAGGCACCTATCACAACCAATAGAAGAATATGGATTGGTAAAACTGATAGAACTATTTAAGTGCCTGATATTAGGTAGTGTCTAGTTCTGTTTAACTTGGTCTGGGGCAAACAAAAGGAAGGATACCTATGAGAGTGCCTTAGGAAACAGAAATACTTATACCTCTGACTTAGACTCATTAATGCTGACGGCTAGAGGCTGACGGCTTCGGTTAACGCTTAGACCATGGGAACAAATAGCTCAAACAGAGTCGCCTGTGACCTGACCCATGAAAACTACTACGGGGCTACAGTGGAAAAAAAGATGATATTCAGGTACGCTACGAAGACTATCCGGCATGTCTACCTATACTGGGGAAGAACCAAGAAGCAAAGACCAGACGCCGAGTAACAGACGCCGAAGAGGCGGATACCTTTAGGTAGGTACTTTTTTTTTTTTTTTTTCCTGTAGTCCCTTTGTTAGTGTAGCCGAATCCAAGTAGCAATTCTTACTCATACCCATACAGCCTCATGCTTGGCAAGAATGGCCAAGATCTAATATGATAGACATCATCAGTAGTATGAAATATTTTTAATTGCTGGGATCTGTTTGAGACGGTCAGGTGGTTGTGTAAGTCGGGAATTATAGGAAGTTAGCAATATGAGAAAACGGGGCGTTCCGATACATTTTCGGGCGGGACGGCTTCATTCTTTTAGCGGCTGTCGGCGAGATTTTTAGGGGGCCTTGTTTGCTCCTATAAGGGGGGAAGGGGCTAAGGTAATTCTTTATCACTGCGAAATGCTTTAACACTTATTGGACCGGTCAAAGGAAGAAATAAACCCGTGGAAATTGTAGTCGTCAAGCTCCATAATTCATGTTCTAGAGCCTGGAGTGGCTTTGAAAATTTTGCATATATGATTTTTTGGAAGAAAGTTGATTACGAGCAATGTTGCATGTTAAAGGGGAAACTTGTAATATGCCAGCTCTGGCGGATTCTTTCTTATCGTCAGGACGAATTTTGCAGATGACTCAGACTCACCAAATAAATGCATGAGGTACCTCCTAGGAGTTTCTGAGTACGTACCCTCTGAAAATTATTTCATCTCAATGCAAACTGCTTACATACCGTGTCTATGGAGTCGTAGCATTACAATTATGCAGTGAAGTCCCTTATGAAACACGCCGCGCATATCGCAACTGATAGAGACATATCAATGAAAAAAAGACAACTAGCATCCAACAGCACATGCCTGTCTACAAAGTTTAGGCCACACAAGTTTCGACATAACTTGGTAGAATGGTTGCGGTCTCGCTTCCGCTTCCTATGCCGAATCATCTACGCAGTGATGTAGAACTGACCTGCAGGAAGTTCCGTTGCTAGCGAATGAGGTTTGAGAATCTACTAGGTGGTGTCGATGCTTGAAAGCTCGAACTTACTGTAGACCTTTTTTTATATTTTTTTATTATGTTTACGCGCGTATTGCCAGATTTATTACCTACATCGGAGGGTGGCTATCTTTGTTGTTTGTATAGCGCTATGAAGTTCATGAGCACTTTATTAAGATCATGAAATGGTCCAAGACTCTAAGTGTGCTTGCGCGTCTTTGGAATGCTTGAGCTTAATATAAAGACGTTGAGGCGTCCAGGTGTCCGGGTGTAAATAACCTAGCTGACAAGGTACGAGGTGATCTACATATGATCTATTTTCAGATATTGGGACCTGGCAGTTTGGATACCAACGTCATACAGCATAGATCGGAATTTCTTAGCGATGACGCCGTTAGGTGCATGGGTTGGGTCTAAGCAATTAATAGAATTAATAGGGATTTGGAAATGGAAAGAATTCGATGCCCCGCCAACCCCGCGTCTAGCCGTTTATACGGGATATTTGTATAGTAAGTTGTTATAGGCAGTACGGGAGATTGGAAAAAAAAAAAAAAAAAAAAAAGATAAAGTCTATTGTTTAATAACATTGACAATGTTGATGTTGATAAAACCAATGCCTTTGGCATAAAAATTTGAGATTAAACACATAAGACTACCTTATATGCTATACGGTATAAATAAAATTTAAAAATAGTAAGAGCGTTGTAGAGGATAAATCGCATTAACATTAAGCACAAACGCCCACTGTAACTTGTAAGCTTTCAATACCTGCTAAGTCCCGTAACGCACAACACCGCACAAAATTTTAGGCAAAGTTAGAAATACCTCTATTTCCTTAGGTACCTTATTAAATTTTATGCCCAATCTCCACCGAATTCCATCAACAAGTTCAACTTTTGCACTTTTCACCCATCTTTTCTTTTGCTCATACCATTTCCCCCACCCCCTACATCACCTTTATTGCAGTTGCTGCAATCGCTGAACAACGAACTTCTATTTGAAAACAGCGAATTTTCCAAGATTTCCAAGATTTTCCCAGGAAATCAACGTTAATACAATGCCTCCTAAGAAGCAGTGGGGTGAGTCAATATCTCCTTTTGTTCTGATATGACTTGGTAAATATTTACCACGTTTTTTTTCTCCATCCATTGGACTGATGGCCTTGATATTTGTTGATGCGATATACATGCGCCTTCGTAGTTGTCACTCCGACCCAGCCATATAATCTTAGCTAACTACCTTTTTATATATAGATGACGAGGAGAGCGAGTCTAGCTCGCCTTCAGCCTCTCCCGTTATTGGCGCTATCCGCCGTAGTAAATTCGACGATGAAGAGGGCGAGGATGATGATGTAAGCCGAACCTATCGATTTATTGGCATAGTCGAGCGCCTGTCGTACTAACTCTGCTTTTGCAGGTTCTCGATTCGTGGGATGCGGCCGAAGACTCGGAGGCCGAGCGCGAGAAAGCCAAGAAGGCAGCTGAGGCTAAGGCCAAAGCTGACGCCGAAGCCGCTGCCAACAAGAAATCCAAGGCCCAGCGCATCGCCGAACACAAGGCTGAGCGAGCCCGCCGCCTGGCGGAAGGTTCCGACGTATCTGAAGATGAGGATGAGGCTGAGCGACGAGAACGAATGCGCCGCACCGAGAAGGAATCCGATCTAAAGCACGCCGAGGATCTGTTTGGCGACGCCGGTATCAGTCTAAGCAACGGACGCAAGGCTACTACTGTCGGCTCTGCTATACCTATCGACCCTACGGACCCCACCAAGACCGTCGATCTCAGTGCTCTACCTCTGTTCAACCCTCAGACAAAGACCCAGTTCGAGACTCTGCGCACCACGTTAGCCCCCATACTAGCCGGCAACCACAAGAAGGCGCACTACCACCTGTTCCTCCAGGAATTCGCAAAGCAACTCGCCAAGGACCTGCCTAGCGATCAGATCAAGAAGGTTGCCAGCTCCCTCACTACTCTTAGCAACGAGAAGATGAAGGAAGAGAAGGCGGCCGAGAAGGGAGGCAAGAAGACAAAGGCGCAGAAGACCAAGACTACATTGGTGACTAGCAGAGCCAACACTACAGACGTCGGCGCTTACGACGATGATTTCGGAGAGTAAGTTATCCTGACGGTTCGATACGCATTTCTTATAACTAACGCTTTTTTTCAGCGAGGACTTCATGTGAAGAACGTGAAGAGCCCCAAATATCGTGGCACCTAGTCGCGATACTCTCACGATATCTTTGCATGGGCCGCCCCTTTTCCACAGACCCGCCGTGGTGGATTTTTGGAGCTAATACCCCCTGCATGCAAACAACCGATTGAGCATTTCACGTTTCTAGTATAGGTTATAAAATGCCAATCGCCTCTTTCCCCCCCTCACCTCCCTAAATTTGCTCCTCCTCCCCCCCCCCCCTCCCCTTTCACACCCTCAACCCTCCAGTGCGCCGAGCCGAGGGTTTAATTCGGGATGAGCGATGTTGTTGATGATAAATACGAATGGCCCATGGAATCCCGGTGACACAAGCAGGCGACGAATCTATCCGCAGTCTACGTTGGGCCTTGCCGATATTGAGACCCATACCGACCCGGTTATTACGGGGGACTCTTGAACTTGCATTTGCGTTGCGCTAATGGATGGTTCGAGTCGAGCCGAGCTATGCTAATGCTATGCTACGGGCTCTGGTGACGAGGCTGGTTAGGAATTAAGTTGGCTGGGCCGGTTGGCTTGGAGTGCTCTGTATTGTATGTACCTAATATATGGCCTCAAGAATGCAGCTCGATGAGGCTTAGGCTAGGCTTTGCGTATCAATTCGAATTTGCGGATATTTGAAATTACACGACTTCGACGTCTTCGTTATAAAACCAAACCACATGTGAATTTCTCGATCCCGTTGCCCCGTCGTGGGCTTCTAGCGTAGGTACACATCTAGCATTAGATATTGCTTTTTTAATATGTATTGTATTTACTTCTACCTAAGTGGGGTATTTCCGACTCTAAACGACGACGATAACCCAAAAACATTGAATGGGATCCGCGGGTTTAAAGCCGCAACTACTACTCCAGACGCCATGATAACTCCATACCTGTATACCTTAGGCAGGTAGATAAATAAATGATAATATGCCCGGCCTGCCACCCTTCGAAGATACCTCAAGTAAGCCATACCCGCGCGAAACCTCCTTTTTTGTTTCCCCCCATACATACACATATTCCCATTCATCGTATAATATTCCATTTCGTAATTTTGTTTTTTTTTACTATGTACAGAGTAGGAAGAAAAATATAAGAGAGGTAAGTAATTATCCCTTCTTTTTATTTTTCTTCCTTATATGACATTTCCGGCCATGCCCATGAAAAGAGCGTGGACGGCGAGACTTAGGGTCCAGAAGCCGACCTTCTTGAGACGGCGCACGCGGCTCTGCTGGTCCTCGACGTCACGGGCGAAGGCGGTATACATCTCGGCAGATGCGTCGTCCATAAGTCCGCATTCGTAGATGGTCCAGGCGCCGTCGAAGTCGGAAACACGCTTGACGATGCGGCAGTTTATAGGGATGTACGTGCGCTTCGCGTTAATATACGCTACTATGGGTCGTACTAAAGCTTGGTTCACATAGGATAAATTGGACGTGAAGACCGGTACGGTAGCCTTCACATCATTTAGGTGGATGCGTACATCCATGACGAGGTAGCGCGGGGGATCTTCGTCAGAGGTTGATGTGTTTGGTGTGGGTGGCGAGGTGGACGCGGCTTGAGTTGGGCTGCTGTTGAGTGCGTGTTCAGCAGTCGTGGAGTCAGTGTCTATCTCGGTTGGTGTCTCGTTAGACTGGAAGTCGCTTGGGTCATTGGAAATTGTCTTTTCGTATCGGCGTGATTTATCGAGATCAAGAATATGAATGTAACGATTTGACGTGACAGCCTCCTCAAGTCTCTCGTAGAAATCCGCCATGACTTTGGTGATGCCATCGTCATCATCGGCAGGGAATCTAATGTCAGCTACAATGTCAACATTGCCTTCGTAAATCCACCCAAAAGGTCCTTCAACTCCCCTGTTGAGATGATCTATCTTGAGTCCATCTATGCGGATTCGGCTGTGCTTCTTCCAGACGTCTGGCTCTCCTAATGGGTCAGAGGCCATGTGCTCACGTCCAGCAGGAACCCCATGAATCTGACGAGGATGTATGGTGAAGAGCGAACCATCGTATGATCCAGACATGTGGGTGGCAGCTAGAAAGTCGTAAAACAAAAACTGTTTTCTGAGCTGAGGAAGCTCACAAGAGTAGATGCTTACAGGGAAGGGTCGGAATCCATCGGGTTGATGGATGGTGAGGAGCAAGTCCTCTAGCTTGAAGGAGTCGATTTCGAAATCGCCAGGATTGTGTTCATGTCGGTACGATAAGGGATCAGCAGGCTCGCTAGACCACTTTATCGAAGTCCTGTCCACAACTCCTCGAACCCCTTTGATCTCAACATCTTTTAGCAGGCCCTTACCATTCCACCACTTGACGAACGAGAGCGTAACGTTAACCGCATTCAACGTAATGTCAAATTGTGTATAGTTGCCATCGTCTACCTCGACAGGATCAGGGGTCTCCTTATCGGATCCCCTTTCGGCAGCGGCAACTGCAGCAGCATTGGACGATGATCCCTTGCTGACAGAAGACTTGACTTGGCCTGGCCTTCGGGAGACGAACACATTCCTAAAGGAGATGACACCATCCTTCCACCTAGGGACAATGGCAGACTCGAAGACAACAGTAACCCCAGCAGACTCAGTCAAATAATCGCCGACCCATTTCGCGAGAGTTTCTAGAACATATTAGCTTGGCGCCATATAACCTTCCAAAGCGAATCGGTTTCTTACCTTGCGCAAAGACGGTATTAATAAAGAGGATGCCAAGGGAGAAGAATGTGGTTGTGCCGACTAGAATCCAAACTAAATGGCCAAATAGAAACCAGGATACAAAAGCACCCCACTCATCTATATTCCACGGTCTCATGCTTCTGATAGAGAACCACTTAAACCGAACTTTTAGGCGCTGCCAAAAGCCGTTGGCGGCAGCTAGAAACTCCTCTTTCGTGGGTCGATGTGGTAGGTGCGGCATTGCAGGTAGATGGAAATACTTGGACACGGACGCAGACGTAGACTCCGCTTCGGGTGGACCTACTTTAGGCTTCGTATTGGGTATCGCATTCGCATTCGAAGCGGGTTGCGACGAAGATCCCGTCTTCTGCTGAGCGACAGCCGAATTCCCATTATCGGTATTAGACTTAGACGTCTTCGTTCTTCGATGGATCCTAACCACTCTTCTCCGAGTAGTGGTATGTATGTCTCTAACCCAGGCCTGTTTCGCTAATCTGCCAATGTTTGACGTTTGACCCGCGCTCCCGAGGACCACGGAATCCGCAGCTGCCGAACATGTCGCGGCGACGGAAGAAGTGGTTGAAAATGGCGACGCAAACCCGAATAAGAGTATACCACTGGAGGTGAAGCTACGGCGAACATTATTACTGCAGGGTCTTGGGACATGGGGGAAAGACCATGGAGGTTTCGACAATCGCGGGGTCGCTGTGGAAAAAGACGTGATAATCTGATGCGGCCCAAAACGATTGACTGAATTCTGCCTCGGCGACACTTTCGAAGTGAATGTATCGACCAATTCGTAAAGGGATCGCCAGGCCTGACGTCCCTGGCCTAGAATAGTAGACCTAGCTGCTGAGGACATTGTAGAGGTTCATGATGAGGGCGTCATTTTTGTGAATGTGAAACTTTTCGGAACCAGAACAAGAGATGAACTATGAATCACGAAAACAGCAACTTGCCAAAACTTGTGATCTATAAGTCTAATGAATTGAAAAAAAGGAAAAGGCAATCGAGGTTAAGATTAAGCCTTCTGCTTCAGCACTTAACGACCAACAGCCCGAGGAGTAAGGCGCAAGGCATGAAGGCATGAGGTATGAAAAAAAAGGCATGAAATCCCAATCCAAGAATTTGCTTGGCTTCGAAGTTGAAAAAAAAAAGTCGTCATTAGCACATCAGTAAGTACCTAGAACCTAGACCTACCTAATACTAGGTAGGTAGTACGCTTGTAGCCGGACATAACGGGCTAACGGTTATAACTGATAAGGATCAAATCGTACGCTAAGATAGCTGTAGCCGCTGCATTCCATGCCGAAAACGCCACTGTCGATGTGCCCCCCAGCTCCGCCGAACCCCCCATCTAGGCTTATATTAGTTAGTGCGTAAAGGTATCCGGTCTGCAAGACATGTGAGATAAAAGCCATTCTTATCGATAAGGAAAATAGCCCACCAAACATGGTCCATCGTTTTTTTCTGGTGCAACTCCAGAAAACTATCGCCAAGTTCCCAAAAGAGACCGGTATACAAGCCTCTCAACCCGATCCATTAACAATACACAAACCCCAAACGTACTACCGAATTAAGGGTCATTTCCAACCCCCCTTTCCCTAATACGAAGAACCGAAAGAACATAAGATCAACATGCCTGCCCCGACAGCCCTGCTCAAGCAGGTCGACGACACCCCTCCGTCCAACGTCCCACTTCCCGAGACAAACCAAGATGAGGACTTCACATTAGAAGGCATCAACGAATTACCCGAAGACGCCAACGCCGTTCTCCAACCGGTACGCAAAGCAGGAGAAGAGGGCATGGAGATAGACGAGGAAGACAAGCCGCACTTTGCGCCCGTTCAGAACACAGTATGTCCTTTTTCTACCTAACCCACGCCTTCCAATCCCCAATTCCCCATCTAACAGCAACTTCGCGCGTGCGCACTTAGGACCCGGCAACGCACATCCAGACGCGCAAGGTCGGCATCCCGCCGCACCGGTTCACGCCGCTCAAGAGCGCGTGGGCCAAGATCTACCCGCCGCTGGTCGAGCACCTGAAGCTGCAGGTGCGCATGAACGTGAAGCACAAGCGGGTGGAGCTGCGCACGTCGCGGCACACGACGGACGCGGGCGCCCTCCAGAAGGGCGAGGACTTCGTGCGCGCGTTCGCCCTCGGCTTCGACGTCGACGACGCCGTCGCCCTCCTCCGCCTCGACGACCTCTACATCGAGACCTTCGAGGTCAAGGACGTCAAGACCCTCACCGGCGACCACCTCGCCCGCGCCATCGGCCGCATCGCCGGCAAGGACGGGAAGACCAAGTTCGCTATCGAGAACGCTTCCCGCACTAGGGTCGTGTTGGCCGATTCTAAGATTCACATCCTGGGAGGTACGTAAGAAAAAAAAAGGGAAAAGAAAAAGAAAGGGGAGGACGCTTTTCGTTTCGGGGCTCTTACGTCTTCAAAGTAGCCGGCTGATGAACCTTGCTAACGTATTGGAATATAGGATTTAAGAATATCCACATAGCCCGTGAATCTATAGTGAGTCTTATACTGGGTAAGCCTCCCGGCAAGGTTTACAACAATTTACGCACGGTGTCTTCGCGGATGAAGGAGAGGTTCTAATTTCGGGGTCAATTTATACATCTCATGGGACGGCGTTCTGGTCTGGAGTCAAAGCAGGTTTATTCGTACTTCATAGATTACGTGACATATATGAAGTTGTGTCTCTTGGTAGAGCCACTGAGCAAGCCTCTAGGAATATCATGGGTATCATGGGCTATATGCTGAAAAATGTTTCGTGACGGGCGACCGTTGATCATCGGGCATGCCTCTCCTACCTTGATCGGTGATAAATACTAAGATTTAGTGCTTCTTCTGCAAGGATATAAAAACTATATATTAGTCCCTTGCCGCTTTACTTGATATGGACCTCAAGTGAGTCCATATCTTCAATCTCCGCTTCTTCCACGGTGGTTTCGGCGTCCAAGACCTCGCCATCCCAGCGAAGTTCGATCGTCTTATTTTCTGGAATATTTGCAAGTCGCCGATATAACTTGATCAGTTGGGCGGCAGTAGTACTGGGGCGTACGGTAGCTTTCGTGGGCTGCTGATCTTTCGGTTTGAAGAGTACACGAACCTTCTGCTCACCCTGCGAATTTTGTGGTTGCTCCACCTCCGCCTTCTCTTCGGGTTCGTCATCTATCAACTCTCCAAGATCACGCAGTCGCTGCTTGTCCTTTTCTTCCAAGAACTCCTCGTAAAGCCCCTGCGTCCAAGCTTCGAAGTACACCTTATCTCGCCCCTGATATCCTTCTTGGTCCCCTTTCCAGCTTGGATATAGCGTACCATCGCGCTCCGGTTTAATGCCTAATGTCTGGAGAGTCGTGTGCGGATACACCTTATTTCCCTTCCAGGTAAAAAACATAGTCTCTAAGACAGAACGAGGCACAACACTATGCTTGGCAACTTGTTGCTCGATCCACGTCTGGTAAACTATTGTTAATTTCTGGGACAACTTTCGCCGGAACATCAGTGTATAGACCCCGTCTAGTTGAGAATGAATAAGAATCTGTACAGCTGGATCATTTTCATCCTCTAACGAATTGCTGCCTGCCCTCCGCCTTGCTTCCTGTTCTTCCTTGGCCTTTTGCGCCCGTTCCATTGCGAGCCTAACATAATACTCGGAGGGGTCCTCTTCTTCGTCCTTTCTTTCTTCTTTAGTGTCCTCGGCTGGAAAATCGCCATCATCCTCCAGTGAAACTAAACCCTGGTCAGCATCCTTATGCGAATGCACAGCGTGCTTCGTTGGTGATTGTATGAAAGCTGGATCGTCATCATCATCATCGTCTAAGGAGATCACGGGGGCGCCAACATTCACCGATTGGGAGCGTGTGCCATGCTTTCTTAGTCCTTCGGACCCTCTGTTACTTGTCACAAGCGAATCTTCTCGCCTGTAATCGGGTGTGAAGGGCACGGAAGGCGACTTTTGTTTCTTAGTTGATTTGTAGTCGAATATATCCTCATCATCGCTGTTTTTGACCTTCTCTTCGCTCGGACGTGAGACGCGACGGCGTTTTTTGGGAGATTCCGGCTCGCGGGTGTGCTTTCTATTCGGCGTATCCTTTTCCGCTTCACGCTGCCTAGCTAATCGCTCCCGTCTTTCTTGTTCCTCTTTAGCTTCTCTTGCAGCCTTCTGTGCCTTTTCCTTTTCCGCCTTTTCTTTAGCGAGCCTTTGCTGTTCTTCGAAGAATACGCCTGAGCGACTGAAAAGAGAGAGGCCATCGTTGTCACCTGCCTCGGCGGATTTACGTCTAGCTGTGCGCTTGAACGGGAGTTTCCGCTTTGTCGGAGAAGGTTGTTGTAAATCAGCCATTACGGATATCTAAAGATGGAGGCTCGAGGTAACCAAAAGGGAGGATGTCGGATTATCGTAGATTAAGTTGCATAAATGGTTTCAGTTTATGTTCTCGACAATTAAAGTATCCTTGGACAAAATAAAAAAGGGTGGTATACGGTAGAAACCTGGGAAGACCAACGAAATCACGATAAAGAACCAGATTTTGGGGTAATACAAGGCGAGATTCAAGGTGCGAGATGCGGTTTCCGGGGTGATTCTGTAGGCGGCGCAGGTACCTATCTACTTTAGGTACCCCCGTCATAAAATGCTGTATGTATCCAGGTACCTAGGTACAGTCAGGTTCACTTATTAACCCCGCTTAAACCTTTATGCCTACAGGTAGGCACACATTTGGCCAGCCCTATTGGATCGGAACCCGATTTTTGTCAAGCAGGCCCGGCTTATATCAAATATTACCTGTGACATACCTGGTAGTAGCACCCGTGGACCGCGGTATATCTTGGTAAGTGCACACCTAACCTTAAGTACCTTAACCTTAACCATACATAACATAAACGTCCACTCAGGCTTTCCGCTCTAACTAACAATACAAGCTTGCCCAGCATACATTCTCCTACATTTTAATCACAAATTACTTCTCACAAAAGTCACTATGGAAAACGGTACAAATATCCAAGGTGATGGTAAGGACCCATCTGGGTTTTTGTCAGACATCATCGGCAATCCAGTCACTGTCAAACTTAACTCAGGTGTTGTCTACAAAGGTCAGAATCTTGCATCATGGAATCTCCAACATCAATACTGATATGCCTGTCCTATAGGCGAGCTGCAATCTGTTGATGGATACATGAACATCGCGTTGGAAAAGACTGAGGAGTACGTTAATGGCGTAAAGCGAAGAACTTATGGAGATGCCTTCGTAAGAGGCAATAATGGTAACAAAATCATATCCCAAAAGTGAAATTCTTGACGCATAGGTACTAATTGCTCTCTAGTCATGTATATCTCAGCCGACTCATGATCTGGTTATTTGGTTCATTCAAATCGGAATCCCAGCTGGAAAAGGCATTTTTACGTCGTTCTACGATAGGTTGCGAAATTGTACAAGAGGTTCTCATTAACACCCCGGATGCAGAGGACTTTTGGCAACACGGCAGCTAGGAATATCTAACTAAATTTGATAACATAGAACTTTGCTAATTTGACTAATGTGTGTTCGTGGCTCATAAATGATTCTCATAATCTATCGGTCCAGGCGAAGAACGTGACACCATGTACCGCGATTTCACCCTTGTCATTCCTCTCAACATCACTCCCACGGATTGTCTCCTTGAAGAGCTTGACCCAAGCTTCTCGTTCATCGCTCTTCAGTACAGCAATCTGACTTAAAGTATCCAGCCGGGACGCAAGCGCCTCCTCGCTAAGCCAGACTGTCCATTTGACGGAATCCTCCCCAATTGGAAGACTAAATCTAGGTAGCCGATCCGTGAAGGTGTCTTTGATAGCTTGCAGTGGGCTCCCTGGCAGTTGCTGATCGAATACTTCTTTCCATTTCTTGGCAGAGAATATCAGCCACATGTGGGGATCACTACTAGATCTACTAAATAGGGGCTACTAACCTGATGTCTAAATCGAGGAAGCCCATCATCCAGTGACCAAATGAAGTCGTTCAGCTTCTGTTCCCATCTTGTCGTTGCTTGCCAGCTCTGCGGTTTGTTGTCTAATCATCTGTTAGAAGTTTTTACTTCGCATTGTGATTGACTTCTTGATTTTGTAAGGGGCTTACAATCCTCAATGTTCCATATGACACCAAATACCGCTCCTGGTTTCAACACACGTTGTATCTCCTTCAGAGCTTCTTGAGTAGCAAACCTTTATACGTAAACCATATAAGTAAATTCATAGATATGTATATATGGTTGAATAGGTAAATACGTAGTTATCTTACCAGTGAAATGACTATAATATTGATATTAGCTTCAAGTCAAAGTGTACACCGGTTAAAATAGGTAGGTGAGGATTTACTTGAGCAGCGATGCAAGCGTCCCCCCACTCATCTTCGACCGGCATCTTATCAGCCTTGCCATCGATCACCTCTACACCTGCTAAATCCTTCTGCGCAAGCTTCTCCCTCATGCCATGGTGAGGCTCAATGGCCTTAACAGTGAACGACTCGGGTCGCTTAGCTAGTAGCTCTGTGAATTTGCCGGTACCGGAAGCTATCTCCACGATCTGGGAGCCAAATTGCTGCGCAATGTGTAACTTCTCAAGGAACGTCTCGACGGCCTCTGGAGGATAGGAAGGACGATATGCATCATATAACGCAGCATCTTTAAACCCTTCTTCCGCGGCCGCTGGAAGGTTGCTACTGTGAGATGTCATGATTATCAGCTTGACATGAAGTTTCTAGGAGGGAAAGTTGGTGTTGTTTGCGGCTTGCTGATGATAGGGTAGTGCGATGTTAGGTATCAGTTACCTACCTAAGCCTAGGTAGATAGTAGGAGGGTTACTAAACCCCACAATTATATCCTTGGAAATTCGAACCATCCCAATTGCGTCACTTTTGATAGGAGGTACCTACAGTACAAGACAGTTGGCAACCACGACCTGGTCCTACTGAGGTTATTATCCGATTAAGTCGGTCCCCGTCTTACATGTAGCATACCTCGTACAGAAGGTTATGCATAACATGTACAGGTACTGTACATCAAGCCAAAGTACACATGCAAAGAATTGGAACCCATGCATTTTTGTACGATCTTATCTATATTACCTGAGATCAGATCGTAGAACAGGTCTACTTTATACTGACAATTTTTAGGACCCCTAGGTATTCAGCGGTTAATGGAATGGTGGTGTCAGAATGGCGTTAAAAAAAGTACCTATTCCACTACCACTACCACAAAGGTCATTTTGCTGTCCGTATAAATTTACCAAATCGTCTTGTATACTATCAAAATGACTACTAGAATCATTCCAAAATTTTGCTCTATATGAATGTAATTTTTTGAATTTAATTAGTCTTTATATTCGCTTAAAAGGCTTGGTGGAAGGAATATTGGTGTTAGGCACTTATTTTAGCAGCATTCTGTGTGTACCTAAGGTCCCTATAATAATCGGTAGGCTACTCTGGTTGGTCTAATTGCTGGTGGGTTGAACAGAGTCCAGACCAACCAGAATAGTGGGGCGGAGCACGGGTACCAAGCCATCGGGTCGGGATTGGCACGCGCAACCAATATGTACCTGAGATAGCGCCCCTAGCTAAGATCGGATAACGGCAACTGCTACCAAACGCGCGCTCTTCTCTCATCTAAAGCTGAATTCCACTATCCACTAAAAATGGAAACATTCGCCCTGAATACAGTGTAACATTTATGCTCAGGTCAGGGAGCCCTTAGCTCAGGGGGTAGTTACCTAGACACTTAAGGAGACCTCGACATCTTTGTATTAGACGCCCTTACCTAGGGCTACTAAAAATATACTTTATATAAAAGTACAGTATGATACTTATGTCCTTGTGAAATGCGTACCTAATCATACGTATAATACAGTAATACCGTATTTATACAGAGAAAAGGAACTTATTCAGGTACGTACTTTGGCTACGTAGGTACCTAGGTAGTACTTGGCTTTCAACGCCGAGCATCCTTAAGTACCTACGCCTCCCCTTGGTTTACAGTTCCCCACGACATCTCTACACGTTTCAGTTCTCTACCTGGTATTTTTAATGCAGTTACTGTACAATAGCACAGAGATAGCTATCATCTATTCAATAATGTGATCATTTCATTAGAACCTACCAGTCCTTCCTTTGCTCCATTTCCTTTGTGCGCAAATAGTTTCTCTGCCTACCTACTGAGGTAGGCAACTGTATTTTTTCTTTCTAGATAATCATGAAGCATCGTCGCTTCAGGCGTGACTATTTTCGCCGGCTCCTCTTCGTCCTATTCTTCTTATTCTGCGTTGACGCGATATCCTTAATTCGACGACGTCCCGATACTTACCGCGAGGACTTGAGCCTTGATCGACAAGCCGAGTCTCATCCCCTTAGAAACACCAGCGTCTTCATCGCATCGGTCCATCGCAATACCGAACCGATACTCCGGTCAACATGGAACCAGGCGGTATTGAATCTTGTAGACTTCTTCGGTCCAGAAAACGTCTATTTCTCGGCTGTCGAATCTGGTTCCCAAGATGAAACAAAAGAGGCTTTGATGGAGTTGAAAACAGCGCTTGACCAGAGATATACCTCCAATACAGTTAGCCTAGGAATGACGGTTTGGGAACAATTGGAAGAGATTGATACGCGGCCGCCGCCAGATGCGCGAGAGCCCGGATGGATTTGGAATGCTGCCGAAAGTCAATTCGAACTACGTAGGATACCTTACCTTGCCAAAATTCGAAACCAGGCAATGGAACCGCTTAAACAGCTACAGAGCGAAGGAAGGGAGTTTGACAAGGTTCTCTGGTTGAACGATGTTGTATTTGATGTATGCTCACATTAATCTGGTGCAGTGCAGAAGCATTCACGTGGCAATTAGACGGCTAACATCGAATAACCTAGACCGAGGATATCGTCACACTGTTTAACACTCGTGACAACGACTATGCCGCCGCTTGTGCCATGGATTACAAGGTAGCACCCTTATACTACGACACATTTGCCTTGCGAGACGATCTCGGCCAAAAAACCATTTCCCTTCATTGGCCTTGGTTCCAATCGCCTATTGCGAGGGCGGCAGCTGAGCGCAACGCGCCTATCCCCGTGGCTTCATGCTGGAACGGAATTGTAGTATTCGACCCGGCGCCCTTTTATGCTAATCCACCTCTACAATTCCGCGGTATTGATGATAGCCTAGCGGATTTTCATCTTGAGGGCTCAGAATGCTGCTTGATCCATGCTGACAACTACCTCACCGATAAGAAGGGCGTATGGCTTAACCCAAACGTTCGCGTCGGCTACGACGAGAAGGCCTACTATCAGATTAGAACGAATCGATTCCCCAACCCCTTCTGGACCGTTGTAGGAGCGTGGGTTAATCGCCTGAATGCTTGTCACGCAGCCATCCAATCTCGCTTGGAAACTCGAGTAGTGCAGACTAGGTTAAAGCAATGGAAGCTCGAAACTCCAAATGGAGGTCCGCAGAGGGACGAACCAGGAGAAGCATGTCTTATTAACGAAATGCAGATAATGTGGTCAAACGGATGGATGCACCTTTAGAGCATCGAACAAAAGTAAAACAGGATAGAGAAAACTTGTATAATAAGCATTCGGGGTTCGATCAAGGTTTTTTTTTTTTTAAGAAAAGCGCTAGCACCGCCTCATTGAATTGAGAAGCTAGCTAGTCGGCTATGTAAAACTTCATTATTGAAGACCCTATATCATGTTCCATCTAACATTAGGTACCGTTGACAGATCTGCGAACCTATTTACGTAAATGTTGATCACCCTGGGGTTGTTCAACTTAGTTATTTACTTGATCAATGGCTACCTACGATATCAAAAGGTGGCCATGAATTTTCAGGCAAGTAGGGTGACCTATGCTACTAAGGGAGCCCAGCTAGATCAACCTGTTGAAGAGTATAGCTGTTATTACAGTTGACTTCTTGGTCCAGCTGAGCGAAGCCCGTCTTCTGCCAGCCCGCTCGCGTCGCCTACGTGGACCTCAGCTGTTCGCCAACGCTAGATGCGCACATCAGTACGCCTGTACATACGTAAATATTAAACACGAAAATTCGACATTAAACGCCGTTAGTGATATCGTATGGCAGTCGTTGGAGTCCTCTCCAATGCTCTCCCACGGGAGTCTATCATTTCCCATCTTTTATAAAGAAAAAAAAAAAGAAAAAAAAACAGCGAAAACAAGCCGCTATTTATTATGCCAAATGAAATTCCTTAAGCTATCCCAGTGGTCGGACTGCTGGTAGATATACGTCATGCTGCCGCGAAGCGACGGTTGCAAGTCGTCGGGGTGGTAGCGGAACAGATGCATGACGCAAGCCCAGGAGAGGGAGGCGAAAACGGGCCAGGCGTACCGCGACACGGACTCGGACACGCCCTGCCGCGATATCAAGGGCAGTCCCGTCCCGCCCTCGGGCTTGACGGCGAGGCGCGCGAGGGCCAGGACGACGCGCGCGAACACGTAGATCACGATCTGCTGGTTGACGCTGGGGACTTTGCCCGTGCGCCGCGAGCGGCCGCCGAAGACGGCGTACCCGCCCAGCAGGCCCGCGACGAACGAGTCGTACGGCCCTTCCTTCCCCGGCGCCGGCCCGTACCGCTTCAGCAGGAAGCGCACCAGCTTGTATATGACGGCGAAGCGCGCGAGGTTCTGCGCGTGCGTGCGCGTCGCGCGGAAGACGAGCGACGCCTTCTCCCGGAGGGTGCCGGGCCGGAAGAGGAACACCATGACGAGCGCGTGGGGGAAGCGCACCTTGGCTCCGTACACGGCGCCGTTGCGCGCGCCTTTGACGACGGCGAGGAGGTCGTGGTACGCCGGGTTGAGGACTACCTGCTCGACGGCGGCCTTGAGGCCCTCGAGCGTCGAGGCTGGTGATGACGGTTCCATCTTGCCGGAGAAGTGGTTCCCCTAGAACTAGGAGTAGGAGTTGAAGGGAGAAGGAGGGGGAGGAGAGAGAGATGGACTCGGCCGGTTTCGCGTTCGCTGTCGCTCCTTTGTGTATCGCGACGGCGGCGTTGGCAGGGGACTTTCGAGCGTTAGCGTTCGAGTTCGAGGATGCGGTCGCAGTCGCAGATGTTATCGGGTCATTGGGTTATACGACGTCGTTTCAATTATCGGAAGACGGGAAAAAGGTAGCCATGGTGTGTGTTTGTTTGTTAAGAAATAGAAAGGGGACGACCCCAGAATTGGATTTTGGCCTCGGTAAAGTGCACATGCTGGTTGCTCGGCTTACCTAACAAACAGGCGTTGCCGGGACCCTGCTACCCTGCAAGATTGAGCTAGCGGTGCCTATCGATACCCTTTGATGTTACTCAAAGCCCTGCCTATGACGCAGTGCCACCAATCCCTGTTCGCGAATTCTATCTGCTGTTTGGTTGGCATGTGAAAGCTACGAGGAAAGCTTGTTTTAACATAATGGTTCAGCAACATTATTATTAAAAACTATAGTTAATTTAGATTAGCAATGAGATAACTCCATAACTCTCTCTCACTCTTATACTTGCTACCTAATGTTGCATTGTGAACCGGGGCGCATATTACGTTAAGACGTTAAGGAGGTATGATATATATTTTTGCCGGATTTCAGTTGAGTTGTGCTTTATCATCCAAGTAACTTATAACGTAATTTCTATAATAAAAATACGTTGTGAATTCACAATGTCTTTCTTCGCATAAGCCACCAGCTTGAAGATTCTAGATAAGTATAGGCCAGGGAATTTCCCATACAAAACCCCTTAGTACCTGTCTAAGTACCCAGGTATGTACCTGACAAGAGGTAGGCACCTCTTTTATTTCTTAGTTTGTTAATGCAAGTATCAACTACCTGTTATCCGTGATATACTTAGATGGGACGCATGGTTCATGATGAGACATCCAACATAATAGATTTCTCAGTGTAGAGCTATTAGCTATAATAACCAAGTCACCTAGAGTCCCTTGCTGTCAGAGAGTTCGTATAGTGTATGTCGTATAGTGTATGTCCTGTGGTTGTGGTGTATGTCGTATGGTGTATGGTGTATATCGTACATAGAGTGAGTACTAGAGACAATAGCAAGTGTATAGAGTAGAGTAGTGATCTATTAGTGCTTGAGGGAACAGCGTCTTCCTTATATACCTAACCCAGTATTATCCTAGTGGGTCTATCTACCAATACGTCGCTAGTGCACCATACCCCTGACTCTAACTACTTGCTGACCTCGCGTTACCTAATTCTGTTGTCTTGTTCTTTATCGACATAGAGAAGCTTAGAAATGAAGTATTTAGTAGGCTATTAACAAAGAGGACATAATATATGTATAAATAAGCTTATGGATAATTGCCTACCTAGGTATATATCGGAACCAGTCTTCCGATGGTATAGGATTCTATCCCATGTTGGCACTGGATTTGTGGTTAACGTATACTAAGAATAGTTATACCCATGTAAACTTTTGTTTAAAATTGCTAGAGTTACCATAAGTAAACTCACCGTCTATAAGAATAAGTTACTAGCTACCTCTTAATTAGTCCCTGGTAATGCTAAGCACTAGTAGCCTTCCAAGAGTCAAGTGACGTGACATAAGATGATCTCTGGGACTTTTGCCCTTGCCCACTTCAGCCCCATCGTGGCCTACGCTCATTGGTGAGTAATTAGAAGCCTATCCGAAATCAACAAACAAGGACCAAAGTCAACATTTAGATTCATGCAGCAATACTTACTGTCTTCACTTGCGACCTCACGCCCTAGGAAAAAGCATACATTTTGAGTACCATAGGTAAGTTTCACTTTATGCTATATTGTGAGAAGCTTAAGTATAGAATAAACATCACTTGAGAGTAGATACTATTCAAAACAATATTATAATATTACAATACCATAGAACTTATGTGTTAATCTGTTAATCTAGAGCTATTAAGGTGCCACCTCTTTTGAGGGCCAAATACTAGTGCTTCACAGACCAAGCATAAAAATAACCATAAAATAGCTACCTGTCAAGCCATTTTTCGAGATAGATCCGAGTAGAAACAACTGGTAGCGAGACTTGGCTTTATGGATCACATTTTTGGCCCCCTGTTTGGGTCCTCAAGTTGCCTATTGATAACCACTTTTCTTGCAAGATATTATCTAGTGGTAGTTATAGGATTTTGGCTGCGGTTGTTTTAATGGGTCTGGAGACGAACCTGGATTTACATCGCCATGTGTTTTGTTACTGCTACGTTGGCCATGGTCTATGCTTTCAGCATGCTGCTCAATACCTTAGCTCTCACGGCTGTGTTGCAACGCGTGATTTCCCCATAGGCTTCTATCTCCATCGAGCCACTTTGCTGGTGCCATCGTTGTCTAAGTCCCTCCCGGACTATTAGGTCCAGTTTGGAATTCGGGTATATATATCATGAGTTAACGATTATACAGACATGTCATTTTTGCACCTCATCGCTTGATCTGTTTTCAACGCAGTATTTCCTTTGGTTTATCCTTTCTTCTTCATTTCCCTTTTCTCTCCTGCCCTCCTCAGTAATTCTCTCGATATGTCGTACGCGAATACCTCTGTCTGCCTTTCGCAGGCATGTATTCAAGCGTCTGGGGCTATATACTCTCATCTCAGTACCGACTTCCAGAGTCTTGATCCTTGTACAGATTTTCCTACGCGTATGTATTGACTACCTAGTCTTCTCATTGACTAGACATATCAAGAGTTGTTGCTAACTATATTAAATAGTTGTTTGCGGTGGCCTCCGAGAACGCAATGTGATTCCAGTAGGGGAAGTGGTTTTATCAGAGCAGAGCATGATGAAAGAGACAAACCGAATTCTTATGAAGAATATATTGGAGACCTCTTCTGATACTTCTTGGGTACGTATGCCCCAAAAGGTATCGATGGTGATTGTCATGTTAATCAGTCTTCTAGATTTCCCCTGGATCTGTGGACGAGGAGAATTTTAATAAGCTTGTCACAAGCTACAACACCTGTCTAAATGAGACTGCAATTGATGAAGCAGGCGTCCAGCCTCTAGTACTCTTTCTAGGAAATATTACTGAAAGCTTCCCGGTCGAGCTAGGGGAGCACACAAATACCAGTCGTTTCGATACTGCGGATCACGAGGCATTCAGCCAGACCTACCTCTTCCTCGCTCAGCACTCTATCTTTCCTTTCCTAACAATAGACGTGGCTTTAGATCCTGATAATATAGTACGTGTTGCCATGTTATTTATTGTTATTTATTTGGGGAAGTATACTAACTTGATAGGAAACTTATATCCCTGTTGTATCACCTTCGGATGACTTTCTCCCAAGCAAGGTTTACGAGAATGAAAAAACCCGCTCTCTATATGAAAAGGCAGTTGCAAAAGTCCTTGGAAACGTATTGCCCACAGAGGATTTGAAGGCGAAAGCGGGCGAGATGGCTCAGGGTGTAGTCCGCCTTGAAAGGTTGATTGCTGCCAACCCGCCAATCTCAAATGACGAGACAGTAAGAGCTACCTAATCTCATATAACATCTCAGGAGAACTATATCGCTAATTTAGATTAGGGAACAATTCCGGTTACAACGTTGGATAACGCCACGCAGGTAGCTCCTGAATTTGACTTTGAGTCCGTATTCAAGGCGATAAGTCCCTCTTCGATAGATAGAATATCATACAACTACCCGGAATACTCCGTTTGGCTATCTGAGACGCTGGCCAAAACCAGCAATTTAGCCATTCAGGCCTATTTCATCTGGCAGGCGATTATCCACTACGAACCAGATGTAAATGGATCTGAACTAGAACCTCTCAAACGGCTCACCGATGCGATCAATGGGAAGGTATTGCCCAACTCTCTTAATCTTTCAGCGCAAACTCCACATCAGTTTTCTGACTTCTTATATAGCAGTCTTACACCCCCGAAAGGTGGCGAACCTGCATTACTCAAACCGAATCGAAGATGGGGTGGTTGCTTAGCAAGACGTACGTGGAAGCCAAGTACACGGACGCCGTCAAGAAGACGCTCGAGGAGATGACGACAAGGATTCAGAACCGCCTCGCTAGCAATATCGACCATATCGAGTGGATGACCGATGAGGTAAAGGCTATCGCGAAGCACAAGGTCCAAGCCATCACACCGAAGCTTAGTTACCCTACTCAGGTAAGTCCAAGTGCTTTAGCTCCTTAGCTCCTTAGCTCCTGTAGCTCCCTCCCATTAGGAGTGTTAGCCTGCATCTCGAATTTATGCTGATGATCGATGCAGTCCCCCAATCTCGACGATGCTCAATCGCTGAAAGACTACTACGCCACTTTCGAAGTTTCGGACTCTCACTTTGGTAATTCCGTTTCCTACTCCAAGTGGAAAGCGCAGAGAACCGCCTCGCTGTTCGGGACGAAGAGGGAGAAGGGTGCGTGGCCACCTTCATCCGGCTCTTCCCTAACGATCAACGCCTTCTACTATCCAGAAGAGAACGCCATTATTATCAATGCAGGAACACTACAACAGCTGCTTCTGGACCCGGAGCTACCGGCGTATATGAATTACGGCTCTCTTGGTATGGTCCTCGGGCACGAGTTTACGCACTCGCTTGATAGTAGCGGGCGCATGTATGATGAGCAGGGCGTGTTCAGCGACTGGTGGGATGACAAGAGCGAAACGGAATTCAATAAACGCGCAGAGTGTCTCATAGAGCAGTACGATTCTAGCAACTTAACATTCAGCGATGGTAGGCAGGTCTCCGTCAACGGTACTTTGACACTGGGTGAGAATATCGCCGACGCCGGTGGCATCAACACGGCGTACGACGCGTGGCTCGACAAGAAAGATGAGGACCCGGAATCCGACTTCGACATGCCCGGGCTGTCGAGCCATTTCACGCGCGAGCAGCTCTTCTACGTGTCCGCTGCTCAGTTCTTCTGCGACAAGGCAGGCGACAACGTTAAGAATATCTATCTCACTGATGTCCACTCGCCCCCTGAGGTTCGCATCAAGAACATGATGGAAAATTCGGATGGGTTTAGGAAGGCTTTCAACTGCCCCGTAAAAGAGCCTACGTGTGTAATTTACTAGATACCCCCTATATAAGGAGTTGTGATCTGTCAGATAGATTATAGCAATTGTGCTAATAAGAAATATAATTTTGGCTCAGCGGTTATATATCACATGATCTATATAGAGTTCACTTCGTTACTTTTTAATCATAGACTTCGTCTTGATACATCCGGTTTCTTTATATTTTGTCGGGTTATTTGTAGAAAGCGAAGCATAACCTCCGAGTACGGCTTCCTTTGCTAGCATCACCGGATCCAAAACCACATGCAACTCATCATACTGCTCTGCGTGTTTTACATCAATTGCCGTCCCTTGACGGGTTTGGAGCGGGCGCGGAATACTGTCTGAGGGCCCACATAGATGACCGTCTACGACGGTTGATATTAGGTTCAGGCTGAAACCCTGCGTAGCTGAATTCGTGAAGACCACGGATTATGCCTATCGCCCGGTCTGGGTGGTCCAGGTCGACTAATGACCACTTAGCACCTCGCCAAAGCTTTAAAGCAACCCATACGAATATGAAGATGGCAACCTAGTAATTTTCATGTCAAATGCTGCTACCCTTATTGTTGATACCAGTAGGACATACTAGAAGATACGATGATAAAAATGGCTCGACGTAGAATCCGTTCCACAAAGAAGCCCCCTGGAGTACCAGAAGGATGAGCAAGCATCCTGCCAGACCTAGATACGCCGTAAGTGGTTGCCCGTTGCTTATATATGGGTAGTCGTTATCGTCTTTGTCACTAAAGCGCTGAACACGCGACACTTTCCGTTCTACAAGCTCGTCGCGATGCTTGCTTATGCTAATGAAAAGACGTCAGAACCTTTCTGGATATCTTTGGTGTACATCTGTAGCTTACCAGTTATAATATCGGATGAATGCCCAGCATTCGCAGGCCCACGCGATAAGTACTCCGACGGAGCCCATTTCGGAGAGGACAGTGATGAACTAAATCGGATCAGTAAAATTATATGGGTGTCAGCTTTTGGAGCCTCACAGTATCTATTCCCCCAGTGGCACCCCCTTTTTGAGGACCGTTTCCTTCCGCCGGTTCCGTGGACGGCTGGTATAGTTGTAAGAATGGAACCCAGATAAATGCGAAGGCAGATACAGTCATAGCCCGGATTGGAACTCTGTAGCTATTAGTGCGTCCAAGCCATGCAAGAATGTTCAAGTACCAAGACTCATCGGGACCACCGTCTATCTGGTTGGTCAAACCGAAGAGTGTTCTGGATGCCACGTAAAGATTTGTGTTGGCACACGACAGCGCAGTAAACACAAGAAATGCGTTAAAGACACTTGCTATCTGTACCGTGCCGTGATTCTCTGCGAGGAGGACAAATGCTGACTGGACTGTTCGACATCGATCATAACTCAGCCACCCAAGTCGAGGGAGCCGACAGTCAGTGGGGTCGACGCTCATAGATACGAGGATCCCGCTTAGTGTATATACAGCGCATGCGAATACCGATATCCATTTCGACGAGAATCTAATAGTTTCACCGATGCTACTGGCCTGGTTACGCTTCTGGGCTGAAGCCCTTGTAGGCCTCGCCTCGAGTGCCGCAGCGGCGGGAACTTCGACGCCGACATAGGCGAATGTTGCAGTAGATAAACATATGCTAGATTGATATTGAGCCTCGAATTCTTATTCAAGTAGACGCTTACTTACCACAGAGCAGAAAACCAATTCTTTGCTGCGGTACTGTCGAATGTCGTTGGTTCCGACCAGCCTAACGATCTGGTTAATCCTCACTGTATCTTCTACCAATGTTGAACCAAGCAAAAGCCCAACTTACTATGTTTCTCGCCTTCTTTACTTTTAGTAGCTAAAAAGTAATATTAATACGGGATTGAATAGCCAGGACTTTTGGTTTTAAGGGATGACGAACCGAATACAAGCGTCGCAATAATAATGATTGCGAGGAAGAGCAGTTTGATGACACCGGTGACTACTTCTAACCATCCATACGCCTACGAAATATTTTGTCAGGGAACTTTACATGGTAATTATTTCAGGTAGAGTCTAAAAAGTACTTACCTGAATTCCAAAACAATTCAGTATTATCAAGGCTATCGGCACAAGTAGATATAGTATTCCAGCATCGATGCCAACCTGAGCATCCATGGTCCAATAGTGAACCTCAGCCGCAGTAGACGCTATTAATGCGGCAAAGGAGACTGAGTATGTGAACCTATCGCACGTCAGCGATCTTGTATGGGGTATGGGTTGACATATCTTGCGGGTTTACGAACCAGTATGCGATACCCACGGTGATGCCTAGCTCAAAGTCCACGAACTCGCGTACGAAGACGGACATAGCCCCTGGGACGGGCCAGATGCATAGTAGCTCGGTGATACACTGCGTAACTAGCCACGACAGTATCCCAAGTGATAAGAACGAGATGATGACTGCTAAAAAGCCACCGAGTTCCAAGATCTGCCCGCCGCGCCAGTATAGCCCCGTCCCCAGAGTGGCATTGACACTGATCATCTGTTCCCATTAACTACATCTCTGTTTATGATGATGATGGTTTCACTTACGAATACGTTAATAGGGAGTAGCTTTCTGTGGGTTACTCGCCCCTTCTTCGTATTGGCTCGAATTGGAGACAGCGTTTCGGTTACGTAGGTGTGTCTGTCTAAGTGGCGGGTTTCATTGTTGCTAGGAATGGAGATCGTCCTTGCATTGTGACTAGAGCCGTATCCTACTGTGAGATCTAAGTCCTCGGGCGAATCCCGCGCAGGATAGGACCGGCCTCGGGGGGCTTCGGCCGTCATAATGCCTAAATCTGCTGAACTTGACTTCTTGAGATTTTAGTTCGGAACAATGATATCCATTTTGTGGTATAGAGTAATATGAAGACAATAGGAAATTCCTCAGGAAAGGTTCAGGGGTTGCAAGATTCCGAGTGAGTGTGTTACTCTAGCTATCTACCTGGAAGGAATCTCTGTGCTACATTCTATCGTACCGCATATGTATGGATTGTACAGCCACCGCCCCCTGACAGGTAGCTGACATTGGATTACGCCCCGAGCACTGTTTAGAGGCTTACTTGATACAGGTACCTAGGTACTAGGTAGTTACCAAGCCTACTTGGCGCGCCATAGTACTGTATTTCTATCAGGCCAAGGCGTTTTCCATATTGCCAGGCTATTCTTTTGATACGGCTACCTAATCAATCTAAAGCGATCGCAGGGCCACTCTACCAAAGACGATGGTTTAATTTCTAGGTTAGATACTTGTTTTTATACCTAGGACAGATTTTGCGGTCCTAGCTCTCGTTGATTTCTGCCAATGGAGGTAGCTATTATACTCGCGGCCATTCACCGAGCCGGTGCTATCTAAATCGTCATCGTTAAAAATAGGAACCATACAGAAGTCAAAGGCTCCTTATCTAGACTTGACACGCGGTGGCTGCGATACAGAGCTGCCATTGGTTTCTAAAAGCTTACGGCTGCCGTTATCGATCTTACTTGCGGTATATTAACAGGGCGCCATGTATCAAAGTTGCCTCCGTTTGTCTGCCTTCTGATTCCTAATGTATAATAACCTGGTATCTCGCTAAAACTAAGCAAAGTACTGAATTCTTCACGTAAAATATAACTCCTCATCAGTGGCTACTCAAAATTCTGCCTATTCCATCATGCCGGTAACCCAGAATACAAATACACGGTACCTCAAGGAGGAGAACCTGCTGAGACTTCTCCAACGGCTTTTCCCGGGTCAGGCTAACTTCAATATTCGGGTGAGTGGCGAATGCGTCGCACAGGGATCCAGTGGTGCGCGGGCTGACAAGCACAGCTGAGAGACGATCAGTGGTTATTCACTGTACCTACCACAGTCAACGAAGTGAGTTCCCTCATCTATACAAGGCATATTTCGGAATATCTAAAAGGTTAACATACTAGCAGGATGTCATCAAGTAAGTGAATAGATGCGCAGTCGGATTTGCTATAAGACGTTATCTAATACTAGATATAATTAGTGGTATAAGGGACAATTGAGCCTTACACATACCGCGACTCAGCATGGCGCATATCAGTGGTGGCATGGTGGTCATGTAATGTGAGATCGAGGGCTCCGTATCGAGAAGCCTAAGAATTAAGAAATACTACCTACCTTAGGTACCTATCTTATATATATCATTAGGTACTTTGAGGAGACATATCTTGCTATACATCTTGCTATACATCTTCTATGCATCTTCTATACACATACCTATAGTCGCGTTATTATACCTTCAAAATGTCTCTTAACAATTGCTTCGTTAATCAAGTTGTCGCTCCTATTGAGCTCATAGAAATATCGCCTCCGAATCAATCCGACGAAGGGCGATCTTCACGGCGAATATCCACGGCGCAGGCAATTGAGGATTGCCTGAACCATAGTAATCCAAGCGATTACTCGCATCGCCACTTGTATGGCTTGAAAGGAGGATAACCGATCTGCTGCTGACATTTTCCAGGTCTATATGCCAACGGACGTCGTGGAGTTCTTTGCAGGTTACTAGGGAATTGCTCGAGCTTTTCGTTTCGAAACACGGTATAAGCGACTCGTTCTGGGACCTGCCGTCATGCTTCTATCACCGGAATGACGATGTAGAAATAAACTTTGGTCTTCCAGTTACCGTAAACAGGACAGACTCTTCAATTGGTGGGCGTTCAATCTGGCAAATTTTCTTGGCAGCACCATCGCTAACAGGTACATACAAGAGATTTACTATACAATTCGCTATCCCGAGCTGAAGCCCAACGGAGGGAATTGGGCTATTCGTCAAAGCGGCCTCTATTACCGATTCGACTCATCAACCAGCCAGATTATATCGGTATTGTTCAGCCCAACGCCGAATTCGGCAGCCCATCAGAAGATGGAGGCTTTCTTGCTTGGCTTAAGCTCCGGCTCGAAAAGCTCTCCAAATCCGTGGCGTATCCATGAAATACTCTTCACCACATATTTTCCCGCGTGGAGAGAGTACCTCGCCTTCTTAGAGCGGAAGTTGCTTCCAGAGGTAAGTGTATTATTTGTAAGGGAGGTCAATACGAAAAATTGTTAATTATCCTGGTGGATCTAGACGAGTACTACTTTTGCCACGTTCATCGACGAGCCTCTGCGCGTAGGCTATGACAACCTTAGTTCTTTAGCAAGCCTTGATAGCAAATTCCTCCAAGTGCATACCCTAATGTCTCACATTGAAGATGTGCTAAAGGAGCTTTCCTCACTATTCGCTCAAGAGGACTTAAGTATAGCATCAGGGACGATAAATACACTCGACAACCATCGTCGACGATCTGTGGCTCATTGCCGCGTTGCGAACCTCTTACAGCAGCGAGCGCAGACCACCGCACAGCTGCTAGCTAACACTCTATCATTCCGGGATCAGATGCTGGCCAAGCAGCAGAACGGTAACATGCTGCAACTGAACAAATCAGCTGTTTTCCTCACCACGCTGACGCTGCTGTACCTCCCGGCTTCCTTCGTGGCAGTGAGTATGGAGCTAGCTCAGCATGCCCATCCCATATTTCCATGCGATCACTAATCGACGCATAGACTTTCTTCGGTATGAACTTCTTTGACTTAGATTCGAACTCGAAACGAATCGTCGGCACTCCGATGGTATGGATCTACATAGTATGTTCCATCTTGTTAACGGTTGTTACGTTCTTGGCATACTACTGGGTACTGCATCACGACGATGTTGTTGTCCATAGAATGTCGCCAAAAGTCAATGTTGGGGATTGGAGAGCGTTGGCGCGGCGGGCTCTGACGATGAAAGGGTTCCCTACAAAGGTCGAAAATATATCGGTATAAGCATTTAATCGCCTTTTTCAGTGGGCAGAGCGTTTTACGACTTAATTCTATATCATTCTTAGCATTCCTATCTGTTTTATTACGCACGGTATAGCCATGACATTCTCGGTAGTGGGGTAGGGACATGAAGCACGTGAAGTACATGGTGGCTATCAAGAGGTGGAATCAAAATGAACATACCTAACCCATTGTCTTTTATGGCTCGTCTGTAATTCTCAAGGAACCATCAAATCAACGATCAAGGGGCGCGGCAACAACACCCTCTTTATTTCTCCTTAAGCACAAACGTGTCTACGTCCCATCCAAACGCCCTACTCAGCCTCCTCCCGTATCTTCTTGCCATGATAAAACGTATCTTCCCGCGAGGATGCGGCTCGTGGAATTGGATCTTGGTCCGGTCTCCCTGCCGTCTGTGGAACTGCCATATCGATCCGTACAGCTTCACGATTGAATACATGTCCGTGGATGCCATAGCATGTAGAAACTCGGCCCAGGGGATCTCGCCGGGAGAAGATGTCGTGGTCGGCTTGAAAAAGAGTGTCTGGAATACCTTTAGCGAGCGGGAATCAACGGGAATCTGAGTCGGTTCTGGTGTTGGTTCTTCTTCCGGGACAGCGCTTGCTTGCTCTGTAGTCGTGCTGAACGACTCTTCTCTCATCTTCTCTTTGGTTTTCACCGTCGACTTTTCAGCCTTGTCTTTGGTGTTTCCTGCGGGTTCACCGATGTAGATGGTGGACATAGGTTTATTTAATTGCGCAACGCTTGGATCGACGGCTGGCTCTCGGCCTAATGCTTTAGCTGGGGATGGCGCAGGGTCAACCCAGTCTGGCGTACGTTGTTTAGCCCGTGATTGGGACAAGATGCGATGGATGGCCATCCCCTTTAAACCCTTACAACAAGATTCTACTCTTTGGTCCACGAACTTCCAGAACTCGGCTAGATGTTTCTCGGCAAGTTGCAATCTCTCTATGTTTCGCTTAGTCCGTCGCTTCTCATACGGGTAGGCGAATTTCGTACGAAAAGGATATCCGGCATTGGCTATGTGCATGATTTTTTCATGCTCGAACGCACTGTTAAACGGTACCAACTTGCCGATAAACTCTTTGTATGCAACTTTAGCAACTTCATCAATCTGGTAGTTTCGAGCCCTGAAGTACCTCTTCCAGGGCTCATAGGAGTCAATCTTGTCCATACATTTTGCGATGATGAATATGTCACCGATGAGACTGGCGACCATGGGAGATATCAATTCCTGCATGTCTGGTTGTGCTTTCAGCAGCGTACCCAGATAGTCGAGGTCCTTCTGGAGCGTGAGACCAGAGAATGACGCGCCAGCTTCACACAAGGCACAGAGAAACTTGAAGAGCTTCCGCTCAATGATGCTCATCTTTGGGCCAGTAGTCAGCTGTAAAATAGTCCAACATGAGTCAGGAGGTTCTTCCGGATACGGATGGCGGACATGGTATCGACGGAACTGAGGAGAAGCAATGACTCTCTGCTGGAGGGTCATCAAGAAGCCTTGGGCAGTTTTATCTAGATAAAATCGGAATTTTAATAGGGCATTCATTAAATCTCCAGGTAAGCCATCGTTTGTTAGAGCATGGACAGAAGAAGACTGTGTCTGCAGGAGCTGTAGTGTTTTGACCTGCTGATACAGTTCCGAAATAACTTCAATATGCAAGTAGGATTCTGTTATGATCTCGCTGCAGACGTGCGCACAAAGAGTAATATAGCGTTCTTCCTGTGAGCTTGGGTACCCATGCCCATTCGCATCCTTCACCTGCTCTATTCGGTGCTCCTCATGCTCGATGAGTTGCTCGAGGAAATACCCCGGATCTTCTCGTACAGCCCATAGGTTGTCTTCTAATGCGGACAGTTTGGCACTCAACACTAACTCGATAGTGTCTAGATCGAGCTTGCTGGACGGTTGGTAACTCACGTCTTCATCTATCTCGGCCAAAGAATTAAAGCCGTAAGATTCTTTTCCTGTTTCCAAATACGGTTCGGGTCGTATTGGGAAACAATCTGCCGTCAGATTACAGGCTGGAATGTCGTGCAGTATATTTCGACAGCATGTGACCAGAAATCGCATAATCTTTTCCTGCGCTTCAAGAACGAGCAAGGATGGGCCAATGGGGAATTGCTTCCCAGTTCGTAGCCATTCTGAGGCGTCTGGGCATTTGCTTATCTCCAGAAGCTTGCCGTATTCATCAGCATTAGAAGCACCATTAAGAGCCATAAAGTGGTTCGGCATCATTACGATCTCGATGGCCTTCGTTATCACACCTAAGCTCATTGAACTGAAGTCGACACTGGCGAATTCTGGCGGTGGGTTATGCCCTCGCGCCTTTAGTAGTAAGAGGAACGGGCGAGGCTTTATCAGGTCTTCCTGGTTAATTTGGGGTACTAGGTAACAGTCCCTCAGGTGTTCCTGCTCAGTCGAATGGAGGTAAGCCTGGAGATCGGGTGTGTGTTTCTCTGCCATGTTCGGCCACGCGTCCAACAGAAATTTCTGCCTTTTTTGCTCCTTTTTCTTAGTCCAGCGTCGTTGAATCGTAGCTTCGTGGCGCAGAAGGATATCGTGGAGGGTCGCGTAGCTGCTAAAAATATTATTTGATCTTGTTTCGGCAATTTTTCGAACATCGTCTAGCGATGCGTGGACCTCCTTGAAACCGCAATCTTGCAGAACAGATTCCAGCCTACGCTTCGCGTTGTATTCCATGAAGGATTGCGTATTTATATGAGGTGAGGAGTCCATGATTAACACAAGCTTCCTACCTCGGTAGAGCAAGCTGGATGATTCAGTATGGCGCAAATGTAAATATGAAAAGTAGAGGTTGTTTGGTAGTTACTAGTTATATGGATTTGTAAAGTGTGAAACACTTTACCTTTGAAAGTCGACAGGTATTTGGTATTGGTTACGCGGACTTTCGAGGATGATCCCCGGTAGCCTGCCTGATGACATGGAGTACTTTTGACAAGTAAACAAACGACTTCCGTATAGCTTTTGTTGAGATCGTTAAGACTAATGTTAGTACTAATGCCATTGTCAACGTTGGTGTTAGTGCCAACGACAACGACAACACTAACATCAACGCCAAAGTCTATAATATAGTGACGACATTGGGTTCTGTTTACACGAAGCAAGGTGTCAAGATACCCAACCCGTAGTCGGCGCCCCTATATCAATATTTGTACTTGTTATAGTGCCCCGCTTTCTGAAGACGCCTTGGTGCGTACTATTGAAGCAGCACACGCCTCATATCACCCATTGTTCATGTCTTTGAAAGGCTGATCTTGTATAGCATCAATCGAGTAGCAACATACGCTAATATGATTATATACCCCCCATCTTCGTCTCCCTCATTTCCTTCGTTGAAAAGCATGGCAGTAACTTTATCTCTGTAACTAAGGTCGGGAAGTACTTTGATTTCTTGAGGCTTTTCTCTATCTCCAAGATGAGATAAGGGTAATTCGACTAGTAGCATCGTGCTGTTGCCAGACTTAGACGCCAGGGCAAAGAGACGTGACTTCTGCTTGTTGATAATCAGTTTGCCAATGAAATAGTTCCTAATGGTCGTATCAATGTTTGGTATTTGGTTCATGAAGCCAAAATTTCGGATGCGGAGTTGATTTTCATAGAGTACGACTGCGAATGTTGGTTCGTCATTTACCACGGTAATGCCTGTGAGAAGGCGGCCCCAGTTACCACTGTCGATTTCCTTCTACATGTTAGTTACCTAATTCAACGTTGAATGAATTGGTTGTCTCATTCTATGGATTACGGCTTACCCCTGATGGTGTTTGAGTGGGGTTCTCCACAGGTCTAATCCTCACACGCTTTGTCAATAGTGACACGTAATAGATTTTGATATCATGTTTTTCTGATATATCGGGTTGCGTAACGCAATAAAGGGCTGTATCAGAAGAAAATGATAAATGTGTTATACTTCCTGCCGGAGCATCAACTGGTAATCTATCCCATGGTTCTTCAGCAGTGATCATGTACTGAAGTGTTTCATCAGATGATATTGTACTTTCGGAATCTCCTCTATTATAATGTTAGCAGGAATTTCATGTGGCTGTAGAAGCAATACCTGTGAGTTTTATGATCGATCAAATCGCTTATTCTAGCGTGATATATCCACGAAGCCTCTAAGTCCCGTGGCACCACACAGGCGAGAACTTTGCCACCTGGTGAGATAGCTATTCGGCCAATTCGACTAGGATTATCAACCGGAAGTTCAACTTTATAATTCAAGTCAAAGTTCAGCCCTGGTAACCTCCCCCCTTTGATATCGAAAAGATAGATCTGGGTTAATGTCAGCCTCTCCTCCATTCGCTATGTTGATGCTACTAGGTTACGTGAGAATTGCGTCCTGTTATTGAAGCAATCAGATACGCTCCGTTCAATTTGACGCTTCTCCATGCTTCGGATCCACGTATTTCGTAACTAGGAACCTCCTTGTTTTCACCCTGTCGCTGAAAATACTGTATATCATATAGCGAGATACGTGTATCTGTCCAATAGGCGATGACCGGTTCGGTAGAGGCTATGGCATATCCAGAGACTGCCCTTGAATCAGAAATCCACCAGCTTTCTAACCTCGTTCCATCTTGATGTTGTCTAGCAAGCCTACTGTTAGTTCCAAGAGTACAGGCGTGGGTTAAAGCAGTCTTATTCGCATACCGTCTTTTCCACCATCGAGGAGTGATACTCGAAATAATTCCTTCCCGGGTTGAACTTCCATACTTCTCAGAGTTCTCGCTCAATTGTCGGTAAGCTGCTGATGTGTCGAGGAGTTCATCCCTAACGCGTCTCGCCGGCTCTCTTCGTTTAGGATCTAACTCAAGGACTTTCTCCTCAATATAGTTCAATACTTCTTTCATTACCTTGCCTTCATCTGGATTGCGGAAGTTAGCTTGTTTAATGAGATGCTTGTGATGTGCTTTTATTGCGGGATGAGGTTTCGGAATTCGAGATCGGCTAATGAGGAAGAAATGATCTTTGTCTCCTGCTCCAGAACTTCTAGAAACAGTTGCTCGTTCGTCCGCGAAGGTATCAATACCCCCTTGCCCCTCGCTGATATATGTTATAACGACGTCTATGACGCATCCTAGAGACCAAATATCACTTTTCTCGTTCATATTACGCACCGAGATACTCGACTCGGGTGCGAGGTAGGTGCCCTCTAGCCGGCGATTCACAGTACCTGACACCGAAGTGTCACCCCTCCTCCTATCGAATAAGACGCTGATATCCCGATCAACTGTGTCGGTGTGATTATGAGATACTTTTACACGCGACATACCAAAGTCACTAATTTTCCAAACCATTTTCCCGTGTTCTTTATCGTAAAAGACAAGAATGTTTGCCGGCTTCAGGTCCATATGGTAACACACCATCCGATTGCCATTTGAGTCCTTGATCTCGGAATGAAGAAACTCTAATCCATCTGCAAGGCCTGACATACATCCTAGAATATCGGCCTTTTCTGAATCGAGAATAGGAGGTGGGTTATTACGCATCCATACTCGAAGATCGCATTCCGCAAGCGGCATAAACAAGCTGAATATATTATCATTGAGCTGAAGACTGCCGAATGTCTCCACAATATTTCTGGATTTTCGAGGCGTGGATAATATCTGCTTCATGGTTTCGAGTTCTTTTTGGAAGTGGCCATTCTTTTCAAAATCCTTTCGGGCCATCGGTAGAGGTTCTGAATTTGCCATCGACGTGTATTTGTTCACCAGGTGCCCCTTAGCTATAACAACTCGATAAACCACCCCATAAGACCCCATACCAATCTCTTCCTCGTCAGTCATATAAGGTAACCTTTGATTTTTTCCATCAGCGGACTGGACATCCCCACCATAAAGCACGATAGGGCAAAAGCAAGGTTGCATATCCATGAAGCTGTTAATATCAGGTCCGTTATCTGCGCCAAGGATCTGTTCGAGTTGTCCACGAGTTGCTGGAAGCCGATCCAGCGTAGTTTCTTCATTATAGGCAATTGGCCAGCCGTTTGAGTCTAAGGGAGAAGTGAGAAGTTCCCTGGTGAAGTACTTAAGCGACTCCGTACTGCAGCGAGCGTATATTAAGATGGCCAGGAAGTTATGAAGTTTTCGCTCTTCGATTCGAGTGGCTAGAAGGTCTGCAGTAACCCCAGGCCCAAAATGCGTTTCCCACGAGTCGTCTGTAGGTACCAAAGTGCCGAATAAGCGCTTTAGATTGTAAGGGGACAGAACCGCTTGGGTGGTACCGACTGTCGCAAAACGCCGACCGGAAATATCCTTCCTTTCAAGTTTCTCATGGATCTGACCATATATGTCCTTATGGACGTCATTGTATGAAGGCGATGCCATATTTAGGGGTTGAATTGGAAATAATTGTAGCTAGCGAGTAGAAAATACCTATTAACTTTTATGAGGGGTATTAAATATCAGGTAAAGCTTAGTTGGAAAAAAAGCCACCATGACCGGCAGACACGATGAGATTGTTTAGCCAAGATAGAAGGCAGATAAGATCAAAGCATCGACCTCAAATAGGCGTATAAGGAAGAAAAGTCATCTACTAAGGGCAAGCGAATAAGACGTCGTGTGTATGGCGGAATATAAAAGTGCTTCCATATCAACCTTATAAGAGTGGGAGGGCTCCCACCAGGCACCAGAATCACAGTTGCCGACCTCTTAGTAGGGCACTAGGATTAGTGCGACTATTGCTGACCTTCATAATAAGAGGTACCTCTTAAACTGTATAAGGTAGGGTGATATTGGTGAATTTGAAGCACGTCTCTTTATAATTTTGCATAAGATATACAATTTGGATGCTTAATCGCTATAGTATTAGGTAGGTTATCGAAGGAAGAAGAAGAAGACTATAAAGAGGATACTTCCTGAGCTTGAAGTTGTGGCTCGAATATTAAACAATATTAAATCGACAGCAGGGAATGTATCTCTCAGCCACGGCGCTGACATCGGAAGACTTGGATAACCAATCAAGACGTTGCAATAACCCATGATAAGCGAAGATCACGTCGTACAATAAGGAATAAATACAGAAAAATATCCAATGTTTGAAGAAACGCTTACCAAGCAGCCAAGTTACTCGCTTGATCATTCATTAGGTGGTGGGGTTCGGTTTTATCATTACAACTTAGCTGAGTCTTCCTTGATGAACTCAACCTTGTTTGAGACAATTCCAACGCCTTCCAGCTCAACCTCGACGATATCGCCGTCTTTTAGCCACAGCTGAGGCTTGCGACCCATTCCGACACCCGATGGTGTTCCCGTCCAGATAAGATCACCAGGTAACAATGTGTGGCCCCTGCTCAAGAAGGCGATTGTTTTCCTAACGTTGAAGATCTGATCGGCTGTGTTGCTCTCCTAAATATTACATTAGCCATCCGTTTGAGCCAATACATCCCCCCTCCCCGCACAGAGACTCCTTTCCTAAATATTATCTGTCTTAGGTACTCACCTGTACTGTCTGGCCATTTACTCTCGTGCTGATCTGAAGCGTCTGCGGGTCTTTAATAACATTGCTAGTAACGATACCTGGTCCATATGGTGCCCAGCCGTCAAATCCTTTACCTAAGGACCACTGGCCACCACCGCGTGCAACCTGCCAATCGCGGTGCGAGACGTCATTTCCAACAGCGTATCCGAGAACATAGTCAAGCGCCTCAGATTCCGGTACGTCCTTAGCTTCCTTTCCAATGATAACGACAAGTTCCACTTCGTAATCCAGCCCCAATTCCTCCTGCGCGATGGGATGGATGGGAATAGGATCTGTAGGACCCGACAGAGAAGTGACCGGCTTATACTATTCGACAAGTTTAGCACAACGTCGCACATAAGTATTTCAGCTAAGATGGAAAACCATCTACTCACGAATAAGACAGGATATTTCGGTATCGGAAGATTCGCCTAAAAATATCTTAGTATCCTGATTGAAATCTAGAGCATGAGTCAAATAGACTGACCTCCTTCGCATGCAATGCGTAGTTGAGGCCCAAGCATCGAACAGTCTTAACATCCTCCAACGCGAGAGGGGATAGAAGTAGTCGGACGTCCGCAATCTGATCAGTGACTTCATGCTTGCCAAATATATCCCCTTTGATAACGCGTGCTTTCTTCGTCTTAGCAATGTCTGTCACTCCCTCTGGTAGGATGGCATCTCCGTAGTACGTTTTGCCATTCTTGGCCAAGAAGCGAACGAGTCTCTAAGACGGGGGGGTTTAGGTTAGTGAGATGAGCGTGTAAACCCCTAAAATAAGTACCTGGCATTGAGGGGTTAACTATTACTTACAGAAAAGGCCGGCATGGTGACAATTTTTTATTTTTCTATCCGAGAAGATATGATCTAAAGCTCTACTATGGTTCAATTCCGTAAGTTGCAACAAAATAAAAAATTGCCAAATTTCAAGACAAGTTGATAAATAAGAAACTACTACAAGCTGGTTGATTATATGGCTTTATACATGGTTTTATACAAGTTGGAGTTGGGTGGAGTACATAGTAAAATGCCTGGTGATTTAGGTAATACCTGGTAGTTAACATAATTGATGGTGTAGGGGTAGGCAATTGATCGGGGGTTCGGTAAGTCGGGCGGTACTGCGTTTAGCCTGTCCTTGCCTTGTTCCTGCGTGTTCCTGGCGCTGTAGGCTGAAGCCATCGTAAAAGTTAACCCCGAGGCCGGAGTGTCGGATTCCCCACCTACCGGCAGTTCAATTAACTGCCTCCCCCTTGCCCCCCTCCCCTATTATTTGGCGTATTTTTATAATCCCCACTTCATCTCCGTACGCGATTATTAATGCATCATTAATCCGACGCTACCAACTGTCCTCATATCCTTTGGATATGACGCTTAAGGTCGTCGTATCCCTCTCACTCGCTCGCATAGATTTCCCCTTAGTATATTTGATGCATTATGCTAAAGATCCCGCATCTTGCAGGATCAGTACCAACATGAGAGGTTTCCTGTTGCCAACAAATACCTCCTGTAAACTCCTATCAATAAACCCCCCAACATCCCAGGCAACGTGGTCTAGTGGGGCTAGAACTACACCGGCATGTCGCCGTAGCCTACGTCGGGTACGGGTGGGGCTCGTCGGCAAATTATCATTGTACACACTGAATAAGCCCATAATGAAGCCATCGTACGGGTTGACATATTGATAACTCACTGTTTATTATTATATCCTTCGAATATTCCCATGTGTCAATTGCTAAAGAGCTGTATTTATTGATATCTTACCCACCCCTGCAGTCATGCAAGTCGGACGTACAATACCTACCAATATAGCGAGCCACCTATTCTATTCTTAGGATTAGTTCTTGAAATCTTGTTGCGGCTGCACCACATAAACCGACTGTGTAGCATAAGTTCGCTAACATAGGCCGGGGGGCTTGGACTTCATATTGAGTCCTCAGCTGAGCTGGCTCCGATCTTGTGTTCCCGATAGCCATGATATAGAGCTGAGGATATCAGCAGTTAATACTGCTATGCGATCATAGAATCGAGGCGCTTTATACTCGATGGCTAGAGGACCACCATAGACGATCCATGTAAATATTGATTTGCTTATAGTTAGCATTACCTTAGGTACGTATAAAACATTAGATACATACGTAAGCCACCATACTAGGAATATTAGATATCCAGGAACCCCAGAGTCATAATAAAGAGTCCTATGTCGAATAGATAGCGCATAAGAGCCTAGCGCCAAGATAATTGCTGAAAGAATGACGAGGGTAATTTTAGCAACCAGTCCTGATATCAGCATTAATTAAAGTGAGGATTAAGTAGGCTAGTATTAAGCATCAAGTAACCAACAAAATTGCGAGCATATGTTGTTTTGAGATGATGCATCTTGTGACAGATCTTACTAATAACACCCATACTCGCTCTGAGAGGAATATTCAAATGCATTGTTGAGTTGAATAAAGGTACCTTAGATACTTCTTATATAAGATAAGATAAGTAACCCTTCAGGGAAGCAGTGAGCCACAGTTGAACCTTCCATTATTTGTCGAGTATAAGTCACGATATCAACTTTAGTTAGTTCCTGCCTAAGATCTATCCGCTCCTTCCTCCTATGCAGCATGCAAATACAGACTTTAAGCTAGGAGGTACCTACCTAGGTAGGAGGTACCTTAGCTAAACTTAGGATGTTGGCGCAATTTTCACCTTGTCATTACTTCAGGTATTCAGTTTATTTCTAACGATACAAGCGAGATATCATGCTACCTATGCTAAGATGATAAGTCAGTCTTCCAAGAACGATGTCAACATTACGAGTTAAATGACCGCTATCTAAAAAGAAATTACGCGATGGATTTCCATGAATCATTGTTAGATGATCCTGATCTAGAGCCTGATGAGTATGCTCGTGTATTTGGGCTATCAGCTGACTCCCGAGTCCATGTTCCTGATTTATTAGACCATTTCAAAAGAACAAGCAATAAGCTACTAGCCGATGAATGGGTAGATGATACCTCCCTTACCCCTCTGCATATACCACGCCTTATTCCTCAAGTCGAGCAGCTTGGCGGTGTATCCAAAGAGTCACTTGAAATTTTGAGACAGGCTGCTTTGCTAGGACGCGAGGATAAAAAGTCCCCTGACTGCCCTACTCAGGTCAATCTTTCGGATTTGAAGTTAGAACTACCTCTGCTTGGAAGCGACCCTGAATATGACTGTCGAGAGCTCACCAGATCTATGCGGCAGCTACGACGAGCGGATATAGACCTAGCAAGTGTACCGAAGGAGCCTCTTCGCCGGTCAAATGACGAAACCTTGGATTTTCCGGAATCATCTTATCAATATTTGCAGGCATTGACGAAGGAAATTCGGGATGAAAAGATAAATATCCCGAAAGAGGCACTGATCTATCTTTCACAAATCCTGAAAGATACGTGGACCAAAGAAAAGACCGAGGAATTATTAGACAACATGTCCCATCGGAGGGTGAACAATACCCAAATAGATTAAGATTTACCAATATATTTACTAACTCTATGATTAGGTTCTTCGAGACTTAGCTCTTACACCTCCTCTCAGTCCACAGCCACAGGATTTGGGCTATTTTGTCCCCGATGACGCAGCGTGCCAGGTCCCGGTGTCTTCAGATACTGACACTCTACTTGGTGATGATTTGACCAAGGCTGAAGCGGATCTATTACGAGAGGATGACTATCATATGGATGTCATGTCGCTGGTGGATCTTGAGCCCCTAACCAATCCCCCATCGGACGATATCAGAGTGCCAAATATGACACCATTGAAAATCGAATCGATCAAAGTTGAAGGCCCTTTGACCCCTTTGGACTCTTTACCTCCATCCTCCGACCTAGTTATAGATGTAGCAGACTTCGCCAAGAGTATCGACATCGATCACGTCCTCGACGAGAAGTCCCCAATTGCACTAAATGTCGACAACGGAGACGATCTGAAAAAGGCGTTTGGCGATGATGTGATGACTATTCTTGGAGAAAAAGCTAAGTCAGTCCAGAGAAACATTGATCAGGAGAAATTACAGACCGCAGATGCGATTGCTCGAATAGAGATTCCCATAATAGATTTCTCAATACCCGATCCTGATTGGAGAGAAACACCACTGGATCCCGCACTGCAACTGGGGTTCATACGAAGGACATGCGAAGCATTTAATGTGCCACTTTGGCCAAAGGATTCTCAAGCGGAACGAACTTTACGCTGGTCTCCTTTTCTTTCCAAGGTAGCCCGCGTATCAATGAATGAGATCATTGCAGACGATGGTACGGCAGAAGCTTTACTCAATTGCTTGAGTGATCTTAAAGTCCCAACGAGTGGGGATTATGTTTGGAAACAGCCAGGACTTGCTATCCTTCGAGAACAGGATGACGAAGAAGAAGAAGAGCAAGACTTGCCACATATATCCAGCGAGAAAGAAACTATCGAATCGCTGGTGAGAAAGAGAAGGTTAGAACTCAACAACTCAACAGACTCATCTTCGCCAGTTGAATTGGTTCAGGCTCCTCAAGCCATAGAAGCAGCATCGCATCGGACTCCGCTTGGCGAACAGAGCCAGCTCTCCCATCTTCTCCTCGGTTGCGATGACCCTTGCGCTACTTCAACTCTGCTTTCTAATTATGTCAACTTCCATACCGCAAAACGGCAGAAGAACCTAAAAAGTTCATTCTTTTCCACTTTCTCTCAAAAGGTTGATGAAATCAAGGCAGATGCAGTCTTAGGGGTTTCGGAGATAAGTCAACCTGAAGAAACGATAGTATCAAAAGCTGAGCCAGAGGCAAAGGTGGCAATCCCATCCCCCTGTCCTCCATCGCAATCGGAGTTTGCGCGCATGGTTATAATCAAGGCGTTAACACTTGAGCGAGGAGTGCTTTCTCGCCTGGAGAAATCGTATCAAAATATCGAGATAATTGAGCGTGATTTTGACCGTTGGAACTCTCTAACATGGAATCGTAATTCAGTGTCTCGGTCGCCGATTAAATCGCCACTAGCTGCTGAAGCGGACATAATCGTTTCTCCTGCTACCGGGGTTATGATCACTACGCTACTAAGAGCTATACAAAAGCCGCCACCGGGTCAGAAGGGCCGTTCGACTATTCGGGAACGTATTCGCAGTGTCGCGCTTCGGTACGAACGTCTAATTATTCTTGTATCAGAGTGGAATCGCGTTGACGAGACAGCTCGGAATCTTACACTTGCAGAGTGTGCTGGCTATGCTGATTTTGTTGGTTTCACTACCGGGTTAGATACGGATGTGCTGGTCTACTACGTGGGAGGTGGTGACGATACACTTGTGAAATGGCTAGTTTCCTTTCTGGTCCGCCACATACCAGACACAGCTGCCCCGAAAGATATTCTTATCCAAGAGGAGACGCTCTGGGAGCTGTTCTTACGGCGAGCTGGTCTGAACGCGTATGCTGCGCAGGCTATCCTCGGACAACTTAAAGCTCCTGACGATACTCCCGAGGAGCAGACCAATGAATATGGGCTTTCGGCGTTTATTAAGATGGCGCCAATGGAGAGAGTCCGGGCTTTTCGAAGTTTGATGGGTGGGGAAAGGGTGTTGAATAGAGTTAACGAAGCTCTAGAGACTCAGTGGGGCTGATTGAAAACTGGCTTTGTGTATTGAGAAATATTCGAGCTGATATGATGGTTAAAAAATGCGGGGGAATCTAGCTGACGATTAGAAGGCATTGGCTACCTCTGTGCTTGAACATGGCTTGTTTCCTGCTTTAAAAGGTAGCTTGGTAGAGTAGGGCTATGCCAACTTAGTTTTAAACATGCCTTGGGGGTTCATAGGCGTACACGACCAATACGAGCATATGAAATGACAATAAGAAAATGAAATAGACATACATATTTCGTTTATGGGTATCAACGTCGTCTGTCCCTTTATATGTTTTGCTAGGGCTCTGCATCCTCAGAGTTATTCAATATACTCCATATCTTCAAGCCGCTTTCTTTATGCCGCCTACGCATCCAAGGTGACGTGGGCCTGGAAATATCACTTGTACCGCCACTTTCCGCACTATCACTTTCATCACTGTCGCTGGTGTCTTGCGATAGAGACTCATTTTCTCCACCACTACCACCATCATCATTCGGAAACTCCCAGGACCCAGAACAAGTAGCAACCACAGTACCGCTCTGATGAACACACGTGCTTCCTACAGTAGAATTCCTCGCAGCATCCCAACTCCACGCCGGCTCATGCGCGCCCTCGCGAGTCCCGACTCCCTCCCACATCTTCACGGTCCCGTTCGTCGTCCCGGACCACACTTCAAAACCTGCTGCCCCCCCTCCAACCCCGTCTTGCCCGGGGTATACGTCGCAACTAATCCGCTGGTTCCCAAGCGCTTCGCGGCCCGCCAACCACCCGAGCAGCTTCCCCGTGACCCGCACGTCGTACACCAGCACGCCCGTCGCCTTGCGCTCGCCGACAAGCAGGTACCGACCGCACGGGCTCCAGAGGGTCTGGACGACGCCGTCGCCGGCGACGCGCGCGTCGCGGGCCGCGGCGCTCGCGACGCTCCAAGTGGCGACGGCGGCGGACGCGGCGGGCAGCGCGAAGTCGTACAGGCCGACCCAGCGGGTCCAGGTGCCGGCGGCGACGAGGCTCGCAAAGTCGGCGTCGGGCGGCTGCGCGGCCAGCGAGGAGACGGTGCCGCGCATGCCGACGCCGCCGCCCTTGGAGATGTGCCGCTCCGAGGGGATGGTCTTGACGCGGACGACGGGGTCCTCGCCCGTGCGCGTCACGTCGAAGCGCGCGAGGAGGTTCCGGCTCCCAGTTACGAAGTGCGTGCCCGGGGAGGGCCAGATGAGGGCCGTGGCGGTGAGGAAGGTTTCCGAGCGGGCTTGCGTTAGGGGGTAGCTGGATGCGGGGGACGGGGAGGGGGAGAGGTAAAAGAGCTGGATGGGGTGGTCTCGGCTCGAGACGAGGAGTTGCTGGGTCCAGGGCTCGGCGAGCCGGAAGTACGGCGCTCCGGCTAGGACGTTGCTTGGTTCCGGGAGTTGGATGGTGGCTTGGGGGGTGAGTTTGAGGGGCCGGTTGGCCGTAGGGGAGAGCAGGTCTTCGGGCACGATATAGCCGGAGATCAAGTTGGATGAGGACGATGTTAGGAGAGCGGTGCCGTCCGCGGTCCATTGGGCTGTTTCGAAGTAGCCCTGAAGTCCATCATCATTATTTTCGAGATGCCGTGTTGTATCCCCGGTTGAAGCTACAAGTTCTACCTTGCTGGTATGGGGAGTCTCCTCTTTGTGATCCATCCCGGAGAGTTGCTGGAATCATATAACTTCTCATTTCTACAGCATGGGGATAATTGGTTTTTTTTTTTTTTAAAAAAAAAAAAAAAGATAGAACTAACTCTCTTGGGGAGTAAAATTGTTGATGCTGTATCTACTGTGTATCCGTCAATATGGCTGGCTGTATGGACGGAACCTTGGAACTGGAGTACATAAGTGGGCCCTCATGTATAAGGTCCCACTAAAGAAATGGCGGGAATGTTAGTGAGGAGCTACTATTGCTTGTATCTAACAGGCGGCTTTACGCTTACAATATACCAACGCTAAGCTCGTTCCACTATCGTGTTTTTTTGGTGCAGGGGCTAAGGTAGCTCTGGGGTCCGCCACGCAGCTTCCTCATGCATCCTATCACATGCCCCAGATTTCAGGCAGGGCCGGCAAGGGCTGGCAGGTGCTGATAGGCTGGATTAGGCTGCATGTTCCTGACCTGAGAGAGCCGGACGGTCGCCCATACAACCCAAAAGTATCCATCATCAACCCTAAACCTCAAAAAAGAACAATCGTAACTGCAACTGTGTAAAAGGGTCTCGTCCTACCCGCCATGTCAGATAGCACGTAGGCTACCTATCTCTGGCGTGACGGACGCATTTTGACCCCTATTTAAACTCCATCCCCGATCGTATTGAAGATTTCCTTAACGATCGCCAATTTACCTGGTCAGCTCAGGTTGACCAACGAATTACTCCCTATCCATCCCAGCAGCTATCCGTTTCGGGAGTTACATCGCTTCCGCCATTTCCCAGCTCTATCAACTCCTCCAGTCATACCTTTTTTTTCTACGTTGAAAGTCAAGTCGCCATCATGGATATTCTCTTCGTTAAGGACCGGTGCGACGCGCTCCGCGAGGGCGGCTTCACCAACTTCTTTATCTCTATGTTGGTGGAATCTCACTAATCTGCCAGACCGCATTCTATAATAGGCCTGCCAACCATACTGACCATCCTTTTCTATAGTCTAATTCTTGTCGGTATCATGCTATCATATGTCACACAGCACTATCGAATCATCTCCCGCGGATCCTCCGAAGGGATCTCGCCGTACTTCGTGCTACTCGGTGTCACCTCAGCGAACTCCCAGTTCGGAAATATCCTTACATTGCCTCAATCGCGAGCCGATGTCGCCTGCTGCAAAGTAGTTAGCCCCTTCGAATGTACCGCCGGGCTACTCGGGATTGCGCAGATTGGGACGCAATGGGTTTGCTTTGCTATCATGTCAGTTCACTTTACAATAATTTTACGTGAACTTATCACTGACCTGATACAGTCTAGTTCTGTTTCTGGTCTTTTTCCGTAGGGAGGATGCTGACCTATCGGATGATGAATGCGAACGGGACCCTGATCAACCAACATGGAGAACCGCTGTTACCGTCGCCGCTCTTTGCCTGCTCCACGGCCTGCTCGTTGTCATTATATCGGCTGCATTTGCTTTTGGGGCACCCTCGTACCTCGGTGCATGGGCGAATTTCTTGGGGATCATGTCTGCTGCACTTGCCGCTATCCAATACATCCCTCAGATCTGGACTACATACCGTCTGAAGCACGCTGGTAGTCTGAGCATTTTGATGATGTGCATTCAAACTCCCGGTGGGTTTCTCTTCGCGGGTAGCTTGGCGGCACGTCTTGGTTGGGCAGGTTGGAGCTCTTGGGGGGTATATGTCTTGACCGCCATAATGCAAGGTATACTATTATTTATGGCCATCTCGTACGAGTGGCCGTCACAAGAGGAACGCCGTCACTCTACTCCGCAACCGCAACGCCCCCCATATAACCGACGTACAACACCTAGGGTTCTACCGTCGCCGGGCCCATACTCTGCTCACTTACAAGCTTACGGAGAGACGCAAGAAGAAATTGAACGTGCGCTAGACCGTGAAAGCGTTCAAGGTGTAGGGGAAAACCAGCCCCTTTTGGCACCCGGTGGAATTGGCAGCTCAGGTACTCGCTAGCTTACGAGCTCTGGAGAGCGAAGTTATCTATCTGCTGTATCCCTCGTTTCCCCAAGCAGCTATCTTTCACGACGAGAATGTCTATGTCCATTTTTTTATAACTGGCTGAAATTGTGTGTTGTGTTTAAGAAGAACCAATAAAATCTTATATGAGCCTATGTGGATGTCTTCACATGCAAATTTATTAGAGGCCCAAGGTCCGACACCAATATAGAGACCACCTCAGGTAGATTTACCTACCTACCTAGATAACTAAAAGAGCATAGATTGGTTTTTAATTTTCCATCAACAAAGTCTGGAAGGTTAGGTACCTAGGTACCTAACATTTCCAACGATTTGGGTTTGAGTCATGTTATTATTTATGGTCACTGTCTAATAAGAGCAACTTGGGAGAAGGAGCAGCTAACCACGTAAGAGGCACATGAGCTAAGCTAACCCGGCTATTCAACCCGACCGCTGCTGCATCCACTTTAAGATAAACTAAGCTAGGGTAGTAATGGGTACTTGCCGCAACGGTTAGGACGAACCACCAATGCGCGTGTTTGCGCTACGATTCTGATTGGTCGGATGAAACGCTGAGTCAAGTTGGATGTGTCATGAATCGCACTTCTTATCCTAAAGATAAGTACCTGTAAAGAATGGGCTTTATCACCAATTGTCAGTCACGCCGCCAAATTTTACTTAGGTACCTGTAGTTGATTAATTCATAATTCTTCATTACAAGGTATTAATTATTATTTCCTCCAACATTGTACTCACTTCCCATCAATTTTCTTTTCTTCCTTCAGGTACACAAGACGTAGAGCATCAAGATCTTGTTTTGTTTTAATCTTAGCGGAGTCTTTTTTGTAGACATGGCTATCTATAGTGCTGTCCCGGCCCCTCCGGAGTTAACCACCGCGGCCAACAATTCGAGCACTTCGAACCAAGAACAGCATCACCACCATGAACAACATCAGGCGTCACATCAACCACCAGATACGAATCCTACAACGACAAATCTGGCATCCGGTTGGACTGATATCGAATCATGGACCATATCAGCACTCGAGTCTCTTAGTGTGTCACCGGTTGCTCGTGGGATCGGTGCCCCACTCTCTATTCCGCTGGATGAGCACGAGTCTGTAGGGAAGACAGCTGTCACTATTCAAGAACCTCGCCCCAAATCTACTGCCATTACTCCGCCATCCCGTCCGCCATCCCGCCGTGATAGTCAGCGTAGACGAGAAGCACTCTTAAAGGGCAAAGAGGGCAGCCGACAGCGACGGCGTTGGGAAAATGGTATTTGCACCTATCAGTCCTTTTCTCTTTACCTGGCACCATTCTATCCAGGTGAATGGATATAGTAGCAAAACTAATATGGCATCCTACCCTTTTCTCAGACCGCTTGATGCATGTGCCCAACGTACAACCTCCCCAGCCCTTTGACTGGGAGCCGCGTCCGCTACACCCCGTCAACCACGTCCCTTATCAGATTGCAGTTGTCTGGGACAGACAAGTTCGCGCTGAAGTCGAGGCGAAGAAGGCCATCGCGACTCATCGTAAGCAGATGCAGACCAGGACTCTAGGCGATACCCACGTGCCCGGACGAGTGCCCCGCGAGTTGTTTCAACGTTCGAAGAAAATCCCCGCAGTCAAGACTTGGGTTCGCTTGCTCGAGGAACCCGTGCGCCGGTACCTCGTCGAGAAAGAGCTTGCCAAAGAACCTGTGGCATCGGAGAGTGAGGATACCGATGATGAGGAAATAGTTTTCGTGGGCCGAGACGGTAGTACCCGGGATGGCTGGAAGAAAGCAAAGCGAGAAACCAAGGGTAAGGCGGAGGACGAAGGGATGATCTTCGATTCCTTGGGTAATGATGATGCAGATAGTGCATTCAGGTATGAGCCTTTAAGACACGAGTATGCTAATATGGTCTATATAAACGATACTAACGATTGTAGACGATGGATTACGCATTCCATTTCTGATTATTACGGCCTCAACTCTCGCTCGGTCTTTATGGGCAACCCAAAGCGAAAGGTAGTGTACGTACAAATGAAGACCGGTCACGCTCCGCCAGTACTATCTGCTCTCCCGCGGCCCCTTTGGGAGCTATGCTGACGGAGCTCTTCGGCATCGAGGTCCTCGGCAACTTCTACCTTTCCTTTCTCGTTTGTTGGATCACAGACAGCATCGGTATATTATAAACGTACTCGGTTAAGACCGATGTAGACTTGCATAGTCGGACTTCCAATATATTAGGCAGCTTCAATATTAATCCACAATCCAGCTCTTACATCTAGGACGTTTCTGTCCCAGTTAGCTTATATAAGCAATGATGGTAGCAGTGCTATTTCGCCCGATCACTACGCAGGGTAGGTAGGTACTCAACCAATCACATAATTAGGATTCGGAGGATCCTGAACTGCTGCCTTACCTTAGGTACCTACCTTATAAAAGCGGCCTTACCTCCCGTTCTCCAACTTATGTGTTTTTTCATCTTAACTCCTCTTTGTTTCTGTTATAGCCTACCCTTGACAAGTATAATACAAGGTACCTTAACCTACATATCCAACCCAGATACTCAAACATGCCTCTATTGAACCTCCCCCCGGAGACCTTGTCTCTGATCTTGGAGTTCCTTGCAGATGAAGACCTAACGACTCTAATACTTGCGCAACGTGTGTGTAAGCATTTCCAAGCAAGTATTGAACGCATTGTATTCCAGTTACCCCTATGTAAAAAATGGAACGGACCAGGCCCTATCGGTATCTGTCCCCTCCTCCAAGACAAATTCGGCCAGCTATTCGTGCACAAAAGGCGAGAAAAGAACATGGGCATAGCCAAGAGCTGGGGCACCGACTTAGCATTCCGTAGCTTACCCTGGGCCGCGGGGCGCGGGAAAGGAGGAGCGGAAGTCAGAGAGGTCGAAATGCGGGACTCGCCGTACCTCCGGCCCGAGGCGAGCTGGCGCCGCCTCAGCGTAACGTTCGGCGCGGGGCCCGCGGTCAGGTCAGTGGACGTGCTAAAGGCGCTGACTATGTACGGCGGCACGAGCATGGATTACGAACAGCTCGTCATTCCCCCGCCGCCGCCCCCGCATGCTTTTTATTCGCTCAAAAAGTCAGGGGTTGATGATGGTACTACTGCTGCTGACGCCAGCAGTAAAGAAGAAGAAGAAGAAGCACAGGAAGACGGCGAAGGAATCCTGACCATGGGCCTGCTGTACGACCTTCTCGCGTCGGGCGAGGGCCACATGGGCTACGTGACGACCGGCTGGCAATTCCTGCCCGGCACACGGCTTAGGAGCTACGACGACTGGCAAGAGCTGAGCGCGAGGGAGCGGTACCCGGGACGCAAGCGGATCGCTCAGCTGTTTGTTAGGGATGAGGAGAGCGCGGGATTACTTGTTACGGGGCACAGGGGGTGCGTGATGGGCATGCCTAGGAGGGAAAAACAGGCCCTCAGTGAGGAGGAGAGGTTGTGGGTGCCGCGTGCTATTGGCGGCATCCCCGTTAAGTTGTTGCCGTGGCAGGGGCCGTTTCAGGAGTGAATGTGGATGTGAATATGAGAGGAGATGCCCGGTGTATTTGAATTCTTAGGGACCGGGATTTGCTCTGGGTTATGTATGTGTTGGAATCAGGGACGGCAAAGGAAGGTATTAACATCTTCTTGATGGAAAAACCCTGTTACTTTTACTAACTGATACATAAGGGTTGGCCTGTGAAGAGAAGATGGTACGTGTGCGACCAGATCAGCCTATCATATTCACAATTCGTAGTTCCCACAGCATATAATACGACCTTTTTTTTTATTACATTAATAAGTGCCACTGAAACTTAGTCACTTTACTGCAATGCAAAAGAGGTGATATCATCTGCTAGTGAAAGAGATGGAGCTTGGTAGAGCTTAAGCATATAGTCTTGATTTTCCGGACCCAGATCCGAGCACTGTAGTTAATATAAGCTCCATCCAAGAACCACTTTTTGTCTTTTTACCGCTGTAAGCCAGAAAGCAAGTCCATGTTACGGGATTGAGCGAGCCTGACTTACTCACTATGTAAGCCTCGGCCGGGTCCACGACCGGGCACGCCGCGATAGATTAGGCCTTATTCCCGTTAGCGGGTCCGGGGCGATCCGGGGTCTTGAACTTCCATAATCGGATGCGGAGGTCTCAGCTAAGAAGTTTAAAAGCGCGGACGATGAATATGCCAGGTAGGTAACATAGCGGGATTGCTCTTTGGTAAGGACGGTGTATTTATAATGGCGAATAGCGAAAAAATAAAGAGGCGCGGATTAAGCTTAACAATCAATCAATCTGAGACTAGATTTATTCGGAACTTTTTATTGCGCGATGCAGAAACAATCAGTGCCCCTCACCCGGGTCCGTTGTGTTCCAACCACAGCAGCCAGCTTACCATTACCTATCATATCCCCATTTGGGAATCCCTTTTATCAACAGCGAATCTCAGTTGTCGAAAGGTAATCTTCTCTAGCCGAAGGGGAGCCGGAGGGGAGCCGATATACCACGCTTTGGCATATCATGTGGTATGATTCTATTTCGTCATTATGGAATATCGTGCATCGAGAAGTCATCAAAGCCTTAGACAATTGGTTAGTTGGCGTACCGAGCCTGACATAACCCAGACATAACCCATAAGCCGCCCGCACTTTTCTTCAGTCTCTCCCTGCAATAGAGTAGCATTCGTCAGGGGCCGCTACAGATTGCCTACTCAATATTTTCGTCCATGTAAGAATATTCCATGCAACCCTACTTCTAAAGTTCCAACATCCGCGCCAAGGGCAAGGGCAAGGGCGGGGCCACTCCGATCCCGTGCGTGCAGAAATATAATAAATAGGTCGAATGGAAACATTGTATCAAAGGCAATGATAAGTCATAGATTGTCTTACATCATCTCACCCGGAGAATGGAAGAGTTAATCTGAAGTCATCATAGTTAACATCTCGAGTCCTATCCATGTTGGAATGAGCGTCATATGATCCTTTCGGTTCTAACTTCTCGATGGACTCATATAATACGACTATCTCACCCTCGGCCAAGAGTATATGTTGAGAAGGAAGACCACGTGCCTTCAACATCTCGGAGAATTATGTGTGTAAATAACGGCGCGTATAATATCATTGGCAGAAACTGTTGAGTTGCCAATTAGAGTAGCGTCGCATAGTTAGGTAACTGCCGATAGTTTCGGAGATAAATTCCTCATTATCTTCGGTCCCGACATACTCCTCCTACGGGATGGCTGACTGGAGGCGCGACGGAATAGGATTTGTGTGGTGGTGGTCTAGGCATAACGCTCTGTTAAAAGTATTCCAACGTGAACCTAATGAGCTTCCAGAACCAACAACAGAATCGGATCTCGTACTACAAGTGTCCATACAGTCACACAGGTTTCACCGCGTACGACTAGATCCCTTTTTGGAAAGTAACTCGTATGCGGTAGGGGCCTTGAACTATATGCTAAGATTCGCCAGTCAACCCCCCCCCTTAGCGCCTACTAGTACCGAAAGCTAGTTGGATCTCAGCTCAGGTCGTAGTATAAATACTGATGCGGTGTAGTGCTTAGCTGAACACACCCTGAGATTGGGTACTTGAGTTATATGAAGGTGTATAACGTTCAACATCTAGGTTAGGTACCTAGCTTTGTTTAACATCTCATATAAGTCTGATGTATGTCGGTTGTATCCAGCCATCCTTTATAACATCTTCGGCCTATCGTGGCCCTTCTACCGGGACCGAAATATGTTATACCTGCATTTTTATCGCTTTTAACGTCTATAGATCCAGGAAGAAGATGGTGCCGCGGCTCCAAGCGGATCCAAAGTAATATATGCCAAGGGGTAGCGTTGCATATTTGCCTACCTGGTATAACCAAAAATCCGGTTGAATGGCCCAACTTAATAAGCCCCGCCGGACTTTGATATAATTCAATATTTATTCCACGCTGCTTCGGACCTCGCGCTCGCGTGTCAATGGGAGACCGATGTACTAGCGCAAGCTCTCTAAGGGTCCGTCAACATATTCCCCTTTTTGGTACTATGATGTCCGAAGAGCTTCGGTATCTCCAACATGGTCCGAAACCAGCCCTTCGCTTGGAGTTGTGTTGCACGCACAGAAGGGATACCGGCAAACTCGTCCCTTATATAGCAACCGTCCGCTCTTGCAAGGAGTTTGCATCGTACTCATTACTGCAACACCAAACTCTCCATAACGACATTTTTTCATACTCGCAAGCCACTCTAGAAGCTCTTTCTATATTGCCTTGAAGAACAACAACCACACTCTCACTACTTTGCATTCAGCAGCTTCAATACGTTCAACATGCCTGGCGCCACCAACCAGACGAGCAAGTACGATGCCATCCCGGGACCTCTCGGTCTCGCATCTGCGTCTCTAGAGGGCAAGGTAGCTCTTGTCACCGGTGCCGGTACGTAGTTTCTAATACCCTATCCTTTTCCATTCCCGTCCCGCAAACCCCCTACCGCAGGTCGGCATTCCCAACCTGAATCCCAAATCCCAAATCCCAAATTCCGCGCGCGAAACCTACCACGAAATTCGCATTCTTAGCGCCTAGGTTCAGCCGAGACCAAGGCGGGGGTGTTGCAACACGAAAAGAAAACGCACCGGAACCCCCAAATGTCCGGTGGCTGAACCGCAGAAATGGCGGGATATCCCTTTTAGCTTCATTTTTTGAAAAATCCTTCCGTAATAGGAAGAAAAAAGGAAAGAAAATGCATAGGGTCGAAGCTAACTATATGTGTTTACGATAGGACGCGGTATTGGTCGGGAGATGGCTCTAGAACTCGGACGCCGCGGCGCCAAGGTCATCGTCAACTACGCCAACAGCACGCAGTCAGCAGAGGAGGTGGTACAAGCGATTAATAAGGGGGGCTCGGACGCGGTGGCGATCAAGGCCAACGTGTCGGACGTGGACCAGATCGTGCAGCTGTTCGAGCAGGCGGTGAAGGTCTGGGGCAAGCTGAACATCGTGTGCTCGAACAGCGGGGTGGTGTCGTTCGGGCACGTCAAGGACGTGACGCCGGAGGAGTTCGACCGCGTGTTCACGGTCAACACGAGGGGCCAGTTCTTCGTCGCCCGCGAGGCCCACAAGCACCTCGAGGTCGGCGGCCGGCTCATCCTCATGGGCAGCATCACGGGCCAGGCCAAGGGCGTGCCCAAGCACGCCGTCTACTCCGGCAGCAAGGGCGCCATCGAGACCTTCGTCCGCTGCATGGCCGTCGACTTCGGCGACAAGAAGATCACCGTCAACGCCATCGCGCCCGGCGGCATCAAGACCGACATGTACCAGGCCGTGTGCCGCGAGTACATCCCCGGCGGCGACAAGCTGAGCGACCCGGAGGTTGACGAGGTGAGCTTGCACCTCTATTTTCATTCAATGTGTTTTACTTTTTTAAACACGGCTCATTTCTGATTGAATTAACTAACTCGTCCATTGTAGTACGCCGCCACGTGGTCGCCTCTCGCCCGTGTTGGCCTTCCCATCGACATCGCCCGCGTGGTGTGCTTCTTGGCGTCCCAGGACGGCGAATGGGTGAACGGCAAGGTCATCGGTATCGACGGCCACGCCATGATGTAAAATAGCTAAGGGGCTTGCGACAGGTTATTATTTATTACGGCAGGGTTTGATTAGATATGGGAGGCTCTTGTGTCGCAGATGCGTATCTCCTCGACTGTTGAACCGTGGACACTTACACACTTACACATTACTGTCATCGATGAAATTTACTGCCCATTCAATGTCCGTTGCTTACCTTCACTGAAGCAAAGCTAGGGTACAGCGTGTATTGTTAGTTGGTCGCTAAATGGTTATGAATACACGGCTGAACGTGAGGTGAAGGGGATTTGTTAGATATAGCGTGGAACTAGAGCGAAACAAAAGAACAAAAAAAAACAATACACTACTACTGCAACCTGACTAAGTGGCTGAGGCTTTTACTGAAAGTGCTGGCACCGTTTTCAAAGGTACCTACCTCCTATGTTACGGGCTTACGGCCTTGAGCCTAATGAGGCTATGCGACGATGCTGGTACACACCCTTGTGGTATCATGCCGCCGCCTCAACTGAGCTATACACTATATATCTGTATGTGGAATGCAGATCATGCATATCAAAATGTTGGAGTCTCATTCAGAGGATCTATATAGTGTAATCCATCGTAAGCCAAGAGCAGGGACTTCTATGCAGATGCAGGCATACACAAAGTTGCACTATGCTTTGGTAGAGACTACATTCTATCTATGGAGTTTAAGGATATTGATTACATTGTGTCAGTTACCTCTGTTGCATAGTAATAGGAGGCACAAGGTACGATATAAGGGGACTAACGCATAATATGAGATGAGTGCTCATTGGTTGAAAAAGCCTCTGCTCAGCTATTTGTCTTGATATACAACCTTATATAGGACTCTACTACCGAGTAGTCATCTGAACTACCTTCAGATAAAACCCGTCTGTATATCGCAGGGGTACTTGTCACTCGTTCTATTTCAATCGATGGAACGTTTCTCACAACACGTGGATGTACTTAAACATTACAAACGCTTTGTAGGTGTACGTCACTAGCGCCAATGCGAATATCGTCAACGAGTAGGCTGCACATGCAGATAGCATCAACGGGTATATTATATGCGCAGCGGTGGAGTCGTACTGATCAGCGTAGCATCTCCCTCAGATATCCTCGTCCAACTAGAACTAGTATGTATCGACAAGATCGGATGGTTGCATGAAGTGGATGTTGTTATATCCCACCGAATCCTGCGCGAAATGCAGGTGGCATCAGTCTAAGTAATAAAGGACTGTCCTCATAAGGCAACTCATTAATTTTCACTTTCGAACTTACAATATCCAATCACGAGTGATTGTTGGAGAAGTAGAAGATGCGTCGGGGTCTGACTCGGTCGAATACACCGGCCAATAATGCATCAGCTGTAGATGTGTAAGAGCCGCAAAGCTGCATGCGCCAGGGGGTACGATGTATGTGCATCTCTAGGGCTAGTTCCTTGATGCCTCAAACCCTGTCAGCGCAAGGGATATTTCGACAAAGCTGTAAATTTAAAGAGTTAGATTCGTGGATAATGTTAGGTACATCCTATTATGGCCGGATCTACGTATACTAGGGTCTGCAGCGGTAGGTTACTTGCTGCAATGCAAGCCAACTACATATGATCGTTCACTAACGGTGTATCTTACCCATCCAAGGTAACTAAGGGATAGCCTACTTGGAAGAGCCTCAAAGGCTCTTATACACCTACTCACAAGTGCCTAAATGTAGCCTGTTTATCGTTACCCGATGACGCTAAGTACTTTACAAGCCATCTTACCACTATAGTGTAACGTTTGTCATATAATACGTGGTAGCGTGCGCAGCTCTGAGCGAGATTAACTCAAGAGTTGAGTATAAATACCTCTAACGACCGAGCGTGATTTTCCTCCTAGAAGATTGTGCTACCCAAAGACCTCTTTAAAAAGAGTCCAGATTATACACATTTTAGTTCTCCGCGAAATATATATTCTTCTTACCCTTCCTAGTATTCTCCCCGTTTTCCACAACAACCAGTGGCACCACATCTACTCCTCCAAAGATGGCTTCTGACCGAGGTGACGTTGAGAAACCCACGGTAAACGATACAAATGAAAAAATAACCATCGGCGAAAAGTGCGAGTTCAAGGCATACCATGAAACTGTTAAACATGGCGCGGGCACTACAGTGCCTGTCCCAGATCCCTTTGATGGGGGCAGTTCTCACGGCGAGGACAGCGCCTATGCCTTAGTTGTCCGAAGGAAATTCGAGGAACACAAACCAAGCAAGGTCACCTTGCAGGTTAACTCCCCCCATATCCAGAAAGTCTTCCGTAACGTGATCAAGTCGTATATCGATGTTGCATCGGACTTCACCTCTACCGTGGAGCTCCATAGTCCATTCGAAATGCTCGCCCATTATTGGGACGAGCTAGATGAATACCGCAAGTCCACGACTGATGCGGCTACGCGGGAGCACCTAGATCTCCTGTTCGAGTTCATGGAACACGAGGTTAAACTCGATCGCGAACGCGCCCTCAAGATGATCCAGAAACAACAAATCACTTACGACAATGTGTGGTTCATCTATCGCCCAGGAGATATCCTATACACCGAGGTCGGTGGGCATCCCTGGCTCTTGGTCTGCAAGAAGACTGCGTACGAAGAGGCCACGGATTGCGGTCCTTACCTGGAAATCCACTGTACCTACACCGATGATAACGGCGTCGTTGCAGGTCAGGCTTTACACATTATGTCTATGCTCCAGAGAAATAAGTTCCCGGCAGGCAACCCAGTCTCCATTACAGAACTTGACATATTCCCGCGTAGGTTTATCAAGGAGGGAGATAGTCTTGAACAGCGCTTGAAGTTGCGCGGAGAGAAATATCTGGCTTTGAAAGACCTTTCTACCATGGCTTACGGTATGTACCAACAATCTGCCCCGTGCCGAACAAAAAGAAATTATCTGTGAAAGTTTGAGCCGCGTTGATGGATATGTATTAATATGGCTTGCAGATGGTGCCGCTCAATGGCTAAAAGCGCCTCCACAGGACTTTTACGACCCCTTCCCATCGAAGTTCCGCGGCGTATGGCTCCCATACACCGAAACGGGCAGAATCGTCCTAGATCGCAAGACCTTCGGCGAGGAGCAGCGGCTCGCCAAAGCCCAGGTTAAGAAGACGGGTACGGAGCCGTTGTACTGCCCGCCATACACTCTGGGCTACTCGCTCGGGCGCAAGGAGTGGTGTCGGTTCTACGTCGACAACCTCCGAGAGGTCGGATGGGATCCCAACGCGTGGGACTCCCTGGTGCTTCCCGATCGCGAAAAGAATCTTCTCAAAGCCCTTATCTCTTCCCACGCGTACGCCAAGAACGTTCGCGACTCGATGCAGCAGAAGGGCAGGGGCCTCGTTATCCTGCTGCACGGAACGCCCGGATCTGGAAAGACTCTCACGGCCGAGACGGCTGCAGAGGGGAGTAGGAAGGCGCTTATGTCAACTTCAGTGGGCGAGCTTAACAACGGGTCAACGTAAGTGTTCAGGTGCTGAATACGACTATGACTACTTTTCTTTCTAACTGGTATCACCTACCTAGCTATTTTTATGGGTCGTCTGCCTTTGAGAGACAGCTGAAGAAGATGCTGCAATATGCAACGATCTGGCAAGCAGTGGTGCTTCTAGACGAGGCAGATGTGTTCCTTGAAGCCAGAAAAGATAGCGGAGATACCGAGCGGAACTCGTTGGTAGCTGGTGAGTACTCCATTCATACCTAACCTAGGTGCTCACATAAATTTCAACATATATCTAACGTCAATAACTATGATAGTACTCCTCAAGGAACTCGAATACTTCGGCGGCGTCGTATTCTTAACGACAAACCGTGTCGGCTCGTTTGACATCGCCATGAAGTCCAGAATCCACATGGCTCTTACATACACGCCACCCGAACTGGGTGTGCGCAGACGTATCTGGGCGCAGTGCCTCAATAAGGTGCCGGCAGATGCTAAGGACATCGATATCGAAGGGACGGTCGAGGCCCTGGTCACCGCTAAGCTGAACGGAAGAGAGATCACTAACGTCGTCAACACCGCGAGGACATTGGCAAGGTTTGATGGTGCTCCTCTAAATCGAGGCCATCTTGAGACTGTGGTCGACGTCCGAAAAGGGTTTGATGAGAGCTTGAAGAGTGAGGGGCTTCGTTAAGGGGGAGAGAACTACTATGACTGATTGTTGTTGATCCATGCGTTCATTTACCGTATATCATAGATGGATACCTACCTCAGGTACTTTTACTTTATACATAGTACACAGCCAGCTGCCCGTCAATTTACATTGTTGCATTACCGTAGACTCGGATTATTTATCGCAGTTTGTTTTGGTGATGTCGCTGTGGAAGTCGTATACCTGAATGTCACCCCTTACTAGCTTGGCAAGAGGCACACCAAGGTCTCCGTGGCGACAATATATGATTGGTCATAGAATTCCTTTTCGAATGCGCTGGTACGTAAGATGATGAGCTTTAGCTTAAGATATAAGGGTAGTATTTCCGGACTATCAAGGCACACCTTTATACATCCCGAAGAATTGATTGGCTTCAAGCCAACCCCATCTTGCCAAGCAAGTAAAAGACATGATGACACGGGGTAGGTATGGAGTGGAAGATATTATCATCGTTTCTTCCCCTCTTTAGTGCACTTTTACTAAGTCTTTTCATATAGTGTCTGGTAATTGATATGAATTTCAACGTAGACCTCACGATGGAGTACGTTTGGGCAATTGTATCGTGGACGAATATTCCGGCTCTCTTCAGCGTATGGATTTTATACTATGCGACCATCGCAATATACAATATATCGCCGCTACATCCTCTTTACAGATTTCCGGGCCCGAAGACTGCGGCGATGAGTTATCTGTACGAGGCCTACTTCGACTGGTGGCTGGTCGGGAGGTATGGTTGGAGAATACGGCAAATGCACGAGAAATATGGTTAGATTTTCTTCCTTACCTGACGTTAGACGAACACAGAGCTCATGGGTCGTAGGGCCAATTGTGAGGATAAACCCCGATGAGCTTCACTGCAACGACCCGTACTTCACGGACGAGATCTACGCCGGCGGGAACCGCATTCGGGATAAATGGCAGCACCAAATCAATACCGGCGCATCAAGCCCTGTGTCGGTAACGGGTTTCTCGACTGTCGCGCACGAGTTGCATCGAATCCGAAGGGCTCCATTTGCTAAGTTTTTCTCGCGGCAGCAAGTCTTGAAGCTCGAAGGAGAAGTGAATGATTTTACACAGCGCACGATTGAAAAGATGTTGCGTTTCGCGAATAAGGGACCGTTCGATGTTAAGGAAGCATATAACTGCTTCACGGCAGATAGTACGTCACATACAAGCTAGGTAGCCTCCCATACCCCTTTTTTCGAATCCCCCAAGGAAGATTCTTAGCTGGGGTTGAGTCTCAACGCCATCGAGCGTATTGTTACACCTATAATTATACCCAATATTGGATAGGATTTCACATTAACCCTCGAGTATTACAGTTATATCTCAGTACGCTTTTGGCGAGCCCATTGGGTTCGTCGACCAGGAAGGTTGGGAACCTAATTTCGCGACATGGGTCAGCTATTTCTTCAAAAGCGCGTACTTGATGAGATACAATACTCCCGTTAGAATAATTGCGGGGTTCTCCCCCCTAATAGGTAATTTTATGGGCGAGAACGTGAAGAAAATGTTGCAATGGATGAATGCGATTATTCCCAAGTATGTAACGGCAGCCATTGATAACCCGGAAAATAGTAGGGTGTTTGCGGATGTGATGGAATCGGACATGTTGCCGGAGCACGAAAAGAGCATGTATCGACTTTCAGGGGAAGGATTCAATCTCATAGCTTCTGGAACAGAAACCACAGCAGTTAGTTGCGCTCCTAACATCACCGCTCTATTTGACTAATCGAGCTTGCAGGCAACGCTCACATATATCACGTACTACCTCCTCGCACAGCCAGAAATATACGTTCGCTTAATGGAAGATTTACAAGGAGTCGACCCTTTTAGCCTAAAGTGGACGGACTTGGAGCAACGCTCGTACCTATGGGCTATAGTCCACGAAGCACTGCGTATGACACCTGGTGTTTCGCACAGGTCAGCTCGGATAGCGCGGACAGAAGATTTACTTTACAGGAGTAAAGACGGCAACGTTCAGTGGGTTATTCCGAGGGGGACCCCTATCGGAATGACTTCGGTCATCAACCATAGCAACGAGGAGATATTTCCGAATCCTGATGAGTTTATCCCTGAGCGCTGGATTCTGGGTGGGCAGCCGAATTACGCCTTGGAGAGAATGTTGATTTCTTTTGGGAAAGGCACCCGATTGTGTCTTGGAATTCAGTAGGTTATATCCCTTTATTAATTTCTCATGCGGTTTCGCGAATTATAGCTCTAATTTTCCCTTCTAGTTTAGCTTACTGCGAGCTCTTCCTCATGACTGCTACGTTGGCGTTTCGGGTCTTGCCTAGAGCTCGCTTATACGAAACTACCATTGAGGACATTAAGTATGACCATGATCTCGTAGTATTGCAGACAGTTAGGGGCTCTGTTGCTGCACGCATTGAAGTCAATTAGAGATAATCTTCGGACATTGATATTAGGTAGCTGGATAGTTTAATTTAGAAAGTTGAGATCGTGTTTATGGCTTAATGATACGGCTGGCAGGGTTAATCTGAAGTCTTGCATATCGGATTTGAACAATGGCTAGGATCTAAATAGAAGGCACCTAGGTACCTATCTATCCTCCATATTCTCCTAGATAAAGGTGCTGATGCCAATACAACGAATGGCAAAGGTCGAACTCCTCTGCAACTCGCCGTTGCCTTGTGCCAGGGATACAGGAGAATAGCTCGGATGCTGCGAGAAAAGGGAGCTAGGGATGAGCAGCCCGACCAGCCTAAAAAGAGGAAGGGGCCAAATTGGCAAATTGCCGAGATAAATGAAAACCCCGAATCCGATATAGACAGCGAAGAGGAAGTCCAGGCAGGCTCAGAGCTATATGATGGGCCTGGGCCAAACGAAGGTTCTAATTGGATACAGGCCTCTGTACCAACTCGCGGAGTGCTTGAACCGCCTAGGAAAAGACGGCGCCTAGATGGATGAATATCTTAAGGGCAAGAGTCGCTGGTATTACTATACATTACTCTTTATCATCATGTCTTGGACGATCATTTCTAAGTATACTTAAACCCGGGCCCTTCACTTCCCCGTATCCTGCGGCCACTCATCCAGCACAACCGGCTCCCCCTCAAGGGTAAAGTTCCAAGTTGCTTGCGTGGGTACATCGACAAGCAGACTATACTCCCCAGGATACAGCACCAAGTTCCCATCCTCGTCACGCCGCGCCAGGCTTCCGAGCGACAGCGTCAAGTTCGCCGTCTGCGCCTCGCCAGCTGCAATGTCGTGCAGTCTCTTATACGCGACGAGGCGCTTGATAGGGTACGGCTCGGGGCCGTGGGCTCCGGCGATGAAACCCAGGACGACGAAGTCGGATGTTGTAGCGCCTGTATTAGAGACGGCTACGGAGATGTTCTGGAATGGGGCCTGGTCTTTACGCGCTGTGGCGCCGGTGATAGAGCTCGATAAGTCTGCAATATCCCAATACTCGTCTTCAGACGCGGTTATCGAGATGCTGAAGTTAGTGTAGTGCAGGCCGAAACCGAACGGCACGGTTGCCTTGTCGTACCACATGTACGTGCGGCCGGGGTTGCCGGTTTCCGGGTTGGGACGGAGACTCATGTCCGTCATGGGTACGTCCTTGACATAGTACGCTGGGTACTGCGTTACGGGTAACCGGCCGGCGGGGGCGACTTTGCCTGTTAAGACGTTCAAGATGGCGTCTCCACCGGACTGGCCGGGATATCCAGCCCAGAGAATGGCCGAAATGTTGGGGTGGTTGATGAAAGGGGCATCGTCACGCTGGCCGCCTAGCTGCACGAGAATGAATGGTTTGCCAAGACCAGCCAGTTGGGTCATGATATCGATCTTCTCGCCGGACCAACGAATTAATGTACGATCATTACTCTCACCTTCATCCGCCGTTGTGGGCCCATCCGCGTATATAATAATATCTGCATCTGCTGCCGCTGTTAAAGCTCGAGGATACCCGTCAGTTGTTGGGTCGCCTGGTTGACCTGCGTATACAGCGTTGATGTTGGGGGCTTGGCTAGCTGCGTAGTATGGTGAGTGTAGATACTTGGCTTTGCCCAGATAATTACCCTGCATATCTGTTGTCGCGTTCGCCCAGTTCCCGATAAAAACGGCGGTGATGTTACTCTCGGTAGATATCTGTAAAGGTAGGATGCCATCATTCTTGATCAATACGATGCCCTCTTCTGCAGCCTTCCGGGCAAGATTTTCGGCGTCAGGGGTAAATACGTTAGAGAAGTCAAGGGAGCGATATTGGTTCGAGTCTTCCGAATCGAAGTAGCCCAGTTTGATAAGTGCCGAGTATAATCGCGTAACAGAAAGGTCAAGTGTGGTGTCATTGATGAGACCTTGCTCATAAGCTGTAGGTAGGTGAATTTGATAATAGGTACCGCAATTCAGATCAGTCCCTGCTAATAAGGAGCTAGCGGCAGATTCCTCGCGAGTATCTCGATAATTGTGAGGCTTGTAAACATTTTGAAGAGCATCACAATCCGAGACGACGTATTGGTAGTCGCGTGTCCAATTCCAGTGATCTCTAAGGATGTCTTGAAGAATATACGAGCTCGAACAAGTCGGAACACCATTTAGAGCGTTATACGAACACATAACCGAGCCAACATTTGCGCGAGCGCAAGCCTCAAATGGGGGCATATAATACTCGGCTAATTCTTGAGGGGTGACTTTCGCGTCGAATTCATAGCGCTCGTTTCCTAACCAGTCTTCCACGTCATATGCAGCGAAGTGCTGTTACCAAGTTAACATCAGATTTACAGCCCCGTTAAAAGGTATCGAGGGAGTGCTGAGGCGCTTTGGAACTTACCTTGCAGGTTGCAATTACTTTGAGGACATCGGGGTCTTCCCCACCTTGAAGTCCTTTTATTAGTGCTGTCACGTAAGAGCTCAGATGATAAGGGTCCTCGCCAGCGGTTTCCTGGCCGCGCCCCCATCTAGGATCGCGATACGGGTTTATATTCGGAGTCTATAGCTCGCGTTAGCAATTATATTTGGAGCAGAGCGATACAAGCATCATTGGCAATGGAATTCATGGCCTGGCTTATACAGCTCCGACAAGCTGGTCTGTGCGCAATAATAGGGGTAATGGTACAACAAAGGGTGAAAATGTTCATACCCAGTAATCCAATCCCGACCGGTTGAAATTATTGAACGCCCGAGCTTCAGTACTAATTATCGTTGCCACAGCTTCGATGAGCTCATCATCGAATGCAGCGCCCATAAGAATTGGTTGCGGGAAGGATGTTGCGTAGGAAAAGTCGCCGGAATATGAGAAGTTAACTCCCGGAGAAAGCGCAACACCGTGTAGAGCCTCCTCTACGAAGAGTATTAACACCTTCACCTTGATATGATAATTTGGATTAAAAAGAGGAATACGTACGCCACCATTCGTAACTTGGTAAGCCTAATCTCTCAACACCGGGCGATGTGCTCACTAACAAATTGTACTTCTCGTCGGTTTTGAGGGTTGCAACCAAAGCTTTCGCCCGTTCTCCGACCGAAAGGCCCTTATTACAGACATCATTGGACGCCAGGGGCCCGCTTCTGCAGTTCGGAAATAGGTGTCCGACAGCCAAGACTCCGGAGCTCGTCAACCATATGGTTGATACCAACCGAAGCGCCATATTTAAATCTTCGAAGAGTAGGTATAAAGCCCTCTGATAGATCCTACAATACTCGTTATTAGTTTCGACCATGGCGACATATATAGCTTCAAGCTTCTCCAAGCTGTGGGGTAGCATAGCAGCTCATCTCCTCCCGTTCCACGCATTGGTGATGCATTGATGCTGCAGAAGAATCTAAGTAACTCCAACTCGTATCCACGCAGGCTCCAATTGAGCGAAGGAAAAATCCCGGTGATTTTCATTACGGAGGCGCATCGGATCAAGGATAGACTTGGTTGAGCCGAGACGAGATGCAGGGATGGATCCCCAGAATAAATGTTCCCCCGATCCCCAGGTCGAAGCACTCACTCCCCGTGAGGGGTTATATCTGGATGCAGTATTGCGTCACTTATAAATATTGATTTCCCTTACTGGCAATGCTGGCTGCGATCGCGCGTCGAAAGACTGGTAAAAGAAAAAAAAAGGTCTATTCGGCTAAACAAACTTTACTAAATCGGCTCTTGACTGATTGGTATAGGTTCGTCCTTCGGCCAATGGATTAAGATATAAAATCACATCCAGCAGGTAGTTCATGTCACACTGGGTAGAGGTAGGTACCGAGACAGAAGATCCCGAGCAACCGAGAGGAGTCGCTTCAGGCATTGTCGTGCTATCAGATACCGAGGCTTTGTACAGCTTTTTCCGCAAGGTAAGACCTACGATGAAGACAACATGATGTTGACATATTCCTACCGATATTTATATGCTATAAAATCGTAACGTTACTCTGGTGGCCGTAAAGCTCCACGATTCCACAAGTGCAAGACACGCTGCAGTCCCCGATATGCTTCCGTATGCGTTTCCGAATATCCTTGGGAACGCCGACAAACGGCCTCGACGTAGAGAAGGCCCATATTGAGGGCCAAGGTACGTCTCCTAAAGTGGGGAGCTGCTCAAGGTCTTTCTCGAGCTGCTTAATGAAGACCGAGTTGCAGGTCAACGTCGTGCGCCCGCTTGCCCAGCCGTAGGAAAAGACAGACCTTCCAGGATTTAACACACCATTAAGCTTCTCCTTGATGAGATCAGTGAAGCGAGCCTGGCAGTTATTTTCATTCATGTCAATAATATTAATAGGGAATTGTAAATTAGATGGAACATTGTGAATCGACAGCGACTGTAACTCCTCGACTCGCTGCTCCTGGGATTTCCCAGAATCAGAGCCAAGTATCAGATAGGCACGAGCCTTTTCAGACTCGGTAGCTAAGGTGTCAACGATGTGAAAAAAGGTTTCAGCTGCTTCCTTCGTGCAGACAAGCTTATGATCACCTATCATTGGATAGACCAGGGACAGCATCGACTGCTCGCTTTCTAGATCAGCATGATCATTATGCGAATGGCTAAACCAAGGCTGTTTAGTGACTTTGGTATGAGAAAAGTCAGACGCAAGAGCAACGAGAAGAGAGGTATCAATGTTCAAGACTTCCGTAAAATCGGCTTTTGGACTTGGGGCCATTATGTGAAGGAGATCATCTGTGAGAGGTGGAGCGGGTGGTAAGGCATCGCTACACAGCGTATTGACGCCTAGCTGGCGACAAGCGTCGAGGACCTTGTCGACTTCAGGGTTTTCTCCCTCCTTTATGCGTGGTAGGATAAGAAAGGTACTTGGATTCTTCGTTTGGATACGATGTCCTTTAGCTGTGTTAGCTAGATTCCTAGCTAGCTTTACTAGTGGGATATCCGAGTAGTCTTGGATCACATTGGCGCCACTCTCCTCGTCGTCATCACTATCTCCGCAGAATATCGCTTCCTTCGCTAGGTCAAATAGTAGCCTTTTATTGGTCATTGAGGAAACTTTATACCACGAATGACCGCCATCTGCGATCACATCAATAATAAAGCTGCCCGACCGGAAGGGCTGTGATTCGCCTTGGGTCCGAACAATGCGCGTACCCGGAGCGAGAATCGGTTTCTTAAACGGGCCAGTAGATACAGCGCATCGCAACCTCACCACATCGCGGGATCTTTTTGCCGTGTCCCAGACGGGTTCGAGGAAGGGGAGATTGGTAGACTGGACGCGATGCGAAGCCAGAGGATCTGATGACTTGACATCACGGAGAGATCTCTCTAAGCTTTCGACCTCGGCCTTCAGTTCGCTAGTAAATGATGTATGCACATACGTCGGCATGTGCTGGAAGTAATCGCTGTATACTTCCGTAAGATGGTCCGCGAAACGTTGAAGTTCGGACTGCAGCGACACGGCGCGCTTTAGCAGGCCTTCACTAAGGGCCAGTTTAGCGGCTGCGTCCTGCGCGGCATCGTCAGAAAGATGATCGACTGCCGAGGGGGACATGGTTGTGAATGACCAGGTTTCGCGTACTGTCAAGTACCTAGCAAAAGTGACACCAGATACGAAATACCTAATTTTTTATTCGATCATGCAGGTCAACTGTCCGTCATAAATTTGACTAAATGTAGTTAGACGGATAATAATGTATCGATTTTGTTAAAAGTTATGAAGCTCCAATGAGTTATTCCCCTAACCCATGTTCCCTGGTTACTCAGACCACATCAGCCACTTGCGCCACACCAACTATGGATCGGACTCGGTCTGAGCTGATATAGAATTGTGGATCCGATTTCAGGGGCTTTTTTTTTCCCCTTTTGTCAATGAGTTTAAACTTCATCTCACCTATGGTTCTTTTCACTATTCCTACACGTAACCTTTCTTGACTATAATACCTACGCTGGTATACTGCTACAAATAGGTACCTTAGGTAATGTTGATGTTATAGTCATCGGTACTGTCCATACCGGCTTAGGCGCCGCGAAACACCCTCAAGAAAGAACGAAACCATTTATATCACCAATTTCATAGAGTTTTTCTAATCAATTACCTTCCACGGAACCTGGAATTACGACAAGACCCCCGGTATTCTTGCATCTGGTACAGTGTGTTTACGATATAGGGTCTTTGGATACCGGCTACGTAACCCCAGCCTGATTGGTTACCCAAGATGTGCTCTGCGTTGCATATACCAACATCACCCGCATGACGAAGGCCCCGGGTGGCAACTTGCATGTCGGTTCTCACAGGGAGGGCATTATTTCTTGCAGCCTGCATATCTGTCGTTAATGGCTTTCCTAATCCGGGACTAGTTATCGCATCGTGTACATGTCTCAATTCCTATTGGCGATAATCGGACAGCCTATCCCGAAGAGCCTCAACTTGAAGCGCTAAGACGACGGAGACCTGTTTATTTCAGCTCCTTCCCCTCACCGAAATCCATCCCCTATCTGACTCGCCGGACACATCACGTCCTGCATCTCATACTACGGTAAGATCTTCCACACCACAACTACCTAAGGTACATATCCTTTACGCCCGTATCTATCTAGAAATAACATCCATAACTGGGGGGCCGTGCAGTTCAGCGCAGTATCCACCCATCATTATTGCGCCACCAAGAGATGAGGCATCTAGTATGCATCTGACTATTACGGTAGAAAGAGCTGCGCGAATTATCGGAACCATGTTACTACATGCCTTTCATGCAGTACACCTCCTAGGTATATGAGATTTCTTAAGTGACTAGTAACTATATCGTTGCAGACAAGGATAAATTATATATTCACTCCTGTTAATTCACGGGCTTAATATTCTCCTTCGATATCGATGAAAACGCAAAGGCTTGGGTATCGAAAGCTAAATTTGCTTTTTGGGTACAGTGAACTTGTGGTGTATCTATATCCAACGGCGGGACTTCTCAAATAGGTTACATGTCTAGGAAACTGCCTTGGCCATGATCTCTAAAGGGCCTAACACCTCCTGCGCAAATTCGGCATCCGTAACCAAAGGTTCAGTGTTTAACTTGAGGCACCAGAGCACAGCCTCCTGGTATCTAACGCCAACCTTTAACCCCAATGATTTGCTTACCTCGCTCAGCGCTTTAGGCCAACCAGCACAATCGTCCTCTAGCCTTCTCGTGATCATATTGATTGGTTCCCAAAGACCGATCTGTAGTAAAACAACCCCTAGGCTATAGATGTCGTGATTCTTCGTATACCTCTTCAATTTGCCGCCTTCTGGCTGTAGTCGGTCTGGATGTTGAAACACGAACGCATTTCGCTGGTTCAAATGCCGATTTGAGCTGGAAAGATTGAGGGCGGCACCAAGATCAGACAGGCCATCATTAGAGCGGATTAGATCGAAACCGCTAATATAGGGGTCTCCTATAGATGATGGGAACCGTGCAGAATCGTCTGCGCTAGATCGTTGGAGACATATGATGCTAGTGGGTGTGATGTTTTTGTGCACGAATCCGGCCGTGTGCAGAAAGAAGACAGCCTCGGCAAGCCTTTTAGCGAGAGTAAATCGCTGGTTGAGTGGAAGCCACGCTTTGTTTTTTGAGAGAATGTGAGAGTAGGGCGCCCTCACTATCATTTCCTCCAGAGTGAGTACCTCGTCAATCTGACTTGGAGGCGACTGAACAAAATAGAATTGTCTTGAAGGTACATTATAGAAGAAATATTCCACTTTCAAAAGACTAACGTCTGCATTAGAATCTAGGATGTGAAGTGCAGCCGCAAGTTCACCCAAGTCAGATGTCAGCTTGTGAAACTCTTCAGTTTCTGGATAAACATCGGGTGGGAAAGGTCGACTAGATAGAATGACTGGTCGAGAATCAAGTTGAAAAACAGGACGGACTCTATCAGGAGTTTCCTCGATCTCCTGGAGTAGTTGATAAGGCGGGTCGCACAGCAGCTGGTTAATCTTCTGTTTTTTGGACTCTATTGTGAGAGTCTTCAGGTGATGCATCCGGGTATTTGATTCCACTAAGCCCATACTAGGAGCCCCGTCATCTAATGTAACCGTCTCGGGGGGTATTATGGACTTCAACTCATGTGGGAGACCAAGAAGTCGAATATCAAACCTGGTTGTCCACTCATGGAGCTCCTTTTCGAGGTCTTTCAGGCCGCTCCGTCTTGTGATCCACAAGCTTTTGCTGATCGTTTTTCGCACATGACCTGAGACTTGTAGTTTTGCAAGGCTACAAGAAACTTCACTGATAAGATCCGCCAAGTATCTGCCTGTTTCATTCAACAAAGTGTTGTCGTCTTCTGGAAGTGGTGGGCTATTGTGTTGCCCATGCTGCGACTTCAGCTTCTCGAAATAGGCTAGAATCTCCTCCAATACTCGAAGGTCCCATTTGAATCGGTGATAGAGAGACTTAGCTTCCTTTGAGTACGAAGAACATGCATCAAGGTAAGTCAGAATGATTTGCCCTGCTGTAACGGCGGTTGAGAAGATATCCATATCGGTTGATCTTTTCCTTGGAACGAAGATTCCAGAGTGGCTCTGGAACATGAATAAATGTATACTGTTACTAAGCCGTAATGCACGCTTGAGTTTATGAACGAGTATACTTTAAGAAGTAAAAATAATATGCAAACCATAAGAAACGGAGTTGGCCAGATCCCTAATACCGGCCCCAGCTGCTTGAGTATCGTGCGTACCTAAGCATTCGGGAGAGATGTGGCGGACAACGCGATGGGGACTTGAGGTAATATGTCCAGCTACCTGGTACAGTATGATTAAGGAGTAATCACGATGAATATTATATCAAAAATCTCACTGTTACGTCAAAAGGTATACTAGATACAAGTAATCTTTGGGGGGCTGAGCTCTTCTTAGAGTAGGTCGTTTGAAAGACAGGTAGAGCTCTGACTTTACGCATAGGGCCCAACGAAAAGGTTTAGTACCTACCTGGTATTACACTATTAATTTGGACATGAAAAAAAAACCAGAAAGTTAACAATCACCGAAACCATTCAGTGTTCTTCTCAGGTTCACTCGGTAAGGTCAATATCGGAGATCCCGGGATAATAATCGTAAACGTTACAACTGGTTTGAAATAAACAGGGGTATGATAGATACAGCCTGCATTAGATGAAGAATGGTGGCGATAACAGACCGCCCTGCCGCCGTATGGTTGTAATTTTTCTGAAGTGCAATAAGCAAGGCTCCGCTCGTATTTCCGGGTCTGCAAGATGCTTATATCCTGATAGGCTGCTTCAGCTGAACGGATACTGCTTAGATTCTTAGCATAGACTCTTGATAGCGATGAGCTGAATCAGGGGTATAAGGCGGTACGTACCTTGCAAGGAAGTATAGGGCCTTCAATGTATACCTCGGGAACTTATACTCTACCTCTCACCCGTGTAATAATTCTTGGTGGAAATAGTGTGTGCGAATACACCTTATGTTCTTATTTTTACCTACCTTGGGTACCTAGGTCGGTGCTTTCCAGTCATATTGAAATTCTTCGACAGGGCCATAGTTATAGATACTAAGTACCTGTTATAAATTTCAAGATGAACAAACAAAGATACCTAAATATGTTCTTCAATAGCAACGGGGATTATGTGGCAAACAGATTTGGTGTTGTTCGGCAAGAACATAAGAAACAAGGCTTTCTAAATGAGAGGCACCTAAGGTTTGTCAGACTGTAGCTTCATACCGTAGAAATGTACATAGGTATTTCATTGGCACCGTAATGTATAGTTAACTTCGAAAAAAAATAGAGTCGACCGCTGCGGAAGGTGATAGATGCATACCTCCTTGGGTAGGTACCTGTAGGTACCTATCTACCTGGTACCTAATGTAGGTCAGATCGGTGTATGGGACAGCCTCATAATACGATATATACCTAATCGCTTGAACATGCTGAATATGGTATACACTACTGCTTACCATGTTAAGTACCTACCTCTATAAAAGGCTAAAGTTGACCTTAAATTCCGTCATAAGAGTCTGGCTTAGGAAGCTATCAGTTCCCCTTTTCCTACAAAATATGAGTCAGTTCTTCTTAATATTTATTGTGACAGTCGCCGTAATTATCTTGATTCAAAAGAGATACGTATTACCCGACGACGCGGTTAGGGATCCTAACCCAGATAGTATCATGGACAACAATGTACTAGAAGATACCAAAGAAGGTGCACCAACAGACGCTAGAGAAGATGTACCCGAAAACGCCACGAATAATACGATACCAACAAGAACAAAAGAAATGCATACACGAGGCAACACCGCGACAGATATTGTACCCACGGAAAGTCCCATACTAATAGACCGTTCAGGTAGCCCCATTTATTTGAGAGACTTAGAGAGAGATAATATCTCCAGGCCGCATTTCAATCATTGTCTCGATTTATATGTAGATCATGTCCGAGACGTGTATCAAAATGTCGAACACGAACGCTTCGATGATATACCCACCAAGCTACGCCGCCGATATCCATGCTACATAACTAGAGATGAGCTAATTACCTTGGATAAATGGGCACAGTATGTTTAGGCTTGCTACAACAGTTACCTCCTACTCAAGTGGCAGATGCTAACATATTCGATAACTTAGGAAGCGAGGTCGTCCTCTAGGCATCAAGGCACACAAGCGCAACGAGAAGCTGATCCAAGAAAACACTGAAGAGACCGTTAGGAAAGTAACGGAGGAGGCATTCAAGCTCTACCACGAGAACAAGAATGACCCGTTTCCCGCTATCAAAGCACTTGGCCGCGGATTGCGCGGCGTAGCTTCATCAAGAGCTTCTCTTCTGCTTTCAGTGGCGTATCCTGAGACTATGATGTTTTTGTCCGATGAACTCCATTGTTGGATGGGGACAGTAAGAGAAGAAAATAAGAGAAGTACAGTGAAGACTCGGTCTAAATGTTTTGGCCTCGCCAATGAGATGAGATTGAGAATAGGAGCCCAGGCTATTGATGTAGAAAAGGTTGCGTTCGTATTGAAATGTGAGAAAGATGTATTCAGTAAGTTCAAATTCCCTCCAATGATCTTGGCGTATGTATTGCAGTCGTGATGTGATTAACAATAGGTATCAACAGATCTCAAACGAAAAGACATCACGAGCCCCCCTCATCCTCGCCCTGAACCAGTTGGTAGAGGGAGCTACGGTACTACTGTATACGCAATACAGCCACCGGCAGGGTGGGAGCAGAAAGAATTCATTGCGGTCAAGCGAATTTTCTCGATGCCTTCCATGAAACGCCATAGATTATTTGCCGAAATAAATGACTCGGCTTTTCTAGCCCAGGTATTTCTATTACCATGTCTGCTTTTATGAAAGTATCTAACACCTTGTAGCGGTCCCCAGATCATTTCGTCAAATTCTATGGTTGGAACGAGGAGCTCGACTTTTACCTACTCGCTATGGAGTATATTAAGCTGGGATCCTTAGAATCTCACCTCAAACACTCGGAACACTCCAACCCTATCAAATGGACTGAAATGAATACCAAGTCTATAACAAAACAGATCCTAGAGGGATTGGAGATAATGCACGGGAATCGTATGGCCCATCGCGACCTAAAACCCCAGGTAGGCATTCTTATGTTAGGGACCTACAAAGTATTTCGTCACTGACATGGGAGTTTACTAGAATATCCTCGTCGTATCCAAGGAGCCCAGAATTATCGTCAAAATTGCCGATTTTGGAATTTCCAAGCGACTTTCCGAGAGAGGGACCACGTTCCTCCAGACGTATGCTGGTACTCACGCATATAAAGCTCCCGAAGTTATTCGGCGTTGGCGCGAAGAAGATTCCTCGAAAAAGAAGTCAAAAGCTTCATATACCGAGAAGGTTGATCTCTGGTCCCTTGGGTGTATCGTCTTCAATATTGCCGCGCGAAGAGACTTGTACCCACGAGGATGTCCTACATCATTTGACGACGAGGTTGAAGAATATTTGGAAAAAAATTTAAAAGAGATGAACCTAGGAGCCGCGGCAATAAAGTTTGTACGTAACCTGCTTCAATTTGAAGCTTCAAGGAGGCCTTCCGCTAGAGATGCCCTAAATAACCCCTGGATAACCGGAGCTGCCGCTGGAGGCCATAATGCCTAGAGACAATGGTTGACTTCAGACTTTCATTTCATGTGTTGCAGTGCAAATCATAGGAGATGCATGCGAAAGGAAGAAAGATTCGAGAGTGATGCAGACAAGAGGTAGCTAATAATGACTTAACGATTTGATGCCATCTTTCTACATTGACAATATACTGCTATCAACTTTTTCTTAGGTATTTGTGGTGATGAGCGTAAGTACTTTGCTAAAATTAGTTCACATAGGAGGTATCTAAGGTACCTACCTACCTACATAGTAACTACCTGTTTAGACATTTCATATACTCTGAATATGGAAGCAATATTGCCCTACTATTAAGAATATGCGTATAGCAGGGATATACTGGCTAGAATAAGGGTTAACTGGCCATATAAAGGTATTCAGTTCTCTAGTAAGGGGTAGAAGGCCAGGCATTACTATATTAAACCTAATATACCGCATGTACGGATCTGACACTTACTCTGTAGGTATATGACACCCATCGCCAGGCCTACCTAACGTTGGCGAATCGACATCATTGTTTGCGTGCAGTAGCACACGGCTGGTAGCAGACAGCTTGATTATCTCCGAAAAGATTGGATAAGCCTTGGAAGTTCTGAAGCCGTTAAACACGGCGTGAATCAGTGCTACGTTGTACTGAGACTATGGTAGTGCAATTGATCATGCAACAAAAATACCCCTGAGTGACCCAGGAAGAGCACATATTCCAACTTCGAGAACCAAAGACCATCACACATGTACTCCCCACAGTGTCAGTATTCAAGATGATATATCTAAGACTAGGAGCTACATGTTCCCACCGCCGGTTCATAGTTCGCCGAAGCTGTTTCCGTACTGTTTGGCCCCACCTCATGACGTGCAGGCAGTTCATCTGACTGAAAAATGTTACCATTTCCATTTGGTAAGGCACTAGAATTGCGAGTCTTAACGGGCAAGAACAGTTCCATTACAACTCCGCTGGGGCTGTTTGCTAAGTGAGGCTGATAATGTGTGGATATTCCTGTAAGTCACGATACAATTTGGGATTCAATTACCATTTCCCTACCATCTACCACCCACTTTAAATACGCAACTTCAAACGCAAGACAATCCCAAAAGGCAACATCGTTCCTAATATACCTTCTAGGTCCCATATATCGTAACGATCCATCACAGCTACCGACTTATCAAAATACCTAAACAAGCCGGGAAAATGCCACTAAAAATCATCATCTGCGGCAGCGGCATCGCAGGACTCTCAGCAGCCGGGTTCCTCCGCGCCAAGCACCAAGTCACCATCCTCGAGCGCGGCACGCTCGATTTTACGATAAACGACTACGGCATCTCGATCGTCTCCAATTCCTTCAACCTCCTGCAAAAAGCCGGCATCAACGCCGGGAATCTCGACATGGTCGTCATGACCCACGTCTGGACGAGGACCCCTGAAAACGAAGAGCTGAAGACGACCCACTTCGACACGAGAGCGCGGTTTGGCGGCGCCCCCTCAATCCTGGTCAAGCGGGCTAAGCTCCAGGAGGAGTTGATGCGGTTTGCGACCAGCCACGAGTTTGACGGTGCGCCGGCTGAGATCGTTCAGAACACGAAGGTAACGAAAGTCAATACTGCGGCAGGGAAAGTATGGACCAAAGATGGGAGACTCTTCGAGGGCGACCTTATTATCGGTGCGGACGGTATCCACTCGGTCGTTCGCGGCGCCATCCTCGGGAACCAGGAAATTTCCGCGTCCGTCAAAACCTACGATATGCTAGCATTCATGACGCAAATATCCGTCGAAGATCTTCGGTTAAATCCTGGCTTTGATTACCTATCTAATCCCACCGCCGAAGCAGGCCTAGCCAGCGCGCACGCAAGCTCAGGTCCACAAGTGAACAAGCACATCCTCGTCTACGCCACCTCTCCCTATTCCCTGCAAATAGTCGGGTACGCCCCCGAGAGGGAGTTCTCCGAGCGATTTGAATCCGCCAAAACCGCCATCATCAAAGATATTCCTTCAGAAATAGTAGCCGAAGAGTTAGCGCCTGACTTTGGAGAAGCATTCGTCAACCTCTTTCGACATAACCAGATCGACGCGTGGCGTATCCGCGACGTAGTCGCCCTGGATAACTGGTACACCGGCAAGGCGCTGCTAATTGGGGATGCCGCACACGCGGTGACTCCGCTCGCTGGGCAGGGATCCAATATGGCTATCGAAGATGCCGAAGCGTTGGGATATCTTCTGAGAATCGTGGACTCGCCTGACGCTGTCCCAGATACCTTGCGGGAGTTTATGTCGTTGCGTAAGGACCGCGTAGACTTCGTCAGACGCCGGTCGCATGAGATAGGGGGGTTCCAGACAGAAAGAGAGAAAAACGAGGAGCCGATCACGTCGGAGGAGTTTGCGAGGAAGATTTATACGTATCAGGGAGCCGAGAAAGCGTTGAGCGGGTAGAAATACCCAGGCATGGAAGAAACAAGGAGACGCCCAATGTAAAATATTCTTACGACAAAATGTTTATACTTATTAGTGAAACTTATTCCCTCCCCCAAAGAACTCCATAATAACCTTTTTCCTATGGATGGAACCTATACGCTTATCAAGTCTTCAAAATGTGTATTGCAAAGGTATCTGTTACAAAATCAGCTTAACCTCCACCTCCAGGAATGCGCCTTTCAAACTACCAAGCCCTCAAAAATGCAATAGACGAACAAATACAAAATCCCTCCTGTCCCAAACACCTATAGCCATACATCAGAATCGCAGTTTTCGAATCCCTTCCCGTCTTTAAGTCCATTCCAAGATCTTCGTAAACGGCCCACTGGATATAAACCATGGGGTTGGTGTTCCAGGTCGTATTGCTTCAAAGGCTTCCGTATTCCGTATTCCATCAAAGTGTATAACGCCAAAAAAAAAGGCATCACCCTAACTCTCTGATCGGCTTGCTAGCTGAGGTATTTAGAGGATATGACGATGGACTTTTCCCGATCTCAACTCTCTCTCTCTCTAGTATCACTGCCAATTCCGTTTTAAGATTTTTCGGCAAAGTACCATTGTATCCTGTAAAGTTTGCGAAGTTATTTATCTTCCAACTCCATGCATACCACTTTCTTAATATTTCCCACTATGTAATTCGAAAAAACGTGTATCATCTCCGATATGCTGAACCGTGGTAGGTGGTGGGTCTGTGAATAGGGGTTAGGGGGGTCAACTGGTCCTGATCCCCCTGAGTAGGTGCTGCAGAACCTACAGGTTCCGCATGATTGCAGTAGTGCCTACTTCCGGAAGGATGTATCGGAGGGACTCCTAGGGGAAATTCGGACTCTCTTGGTAAAGATGAGGTCTCAGTTCTATTAGATTCTTGTTGTCCAGACGGAAGCTCCGACCATCGCCCGGTCTTGTTAGACAGATCAAGCCAGAATGCACGTAGCCCTGGTGCGCAGCCGACGATAGCAGTACCAAAGTTTTCCGTATATCTATGCGATGTTCAAGGTCAATTGAGTGATGGCTGGAATATATGCGTCTTTGCGTACTTACGATGTGATGGCGACGTTCCCGCCGTTCCATAGGGGATCATTGCCGTATCGCACAACGATTCTATACGCCAGCCCGGTAATACTAGTAGCAACGACACTTTTCTACTGTTAGTAAATATCTCACAGCTATTCGTAGAAATGCTGCGGGAGTAGGTAGCCTTACAGAAAACCAATAAGGAAGACGATTATCAGATTCCTCTTCTTATCTCGATCGATAACAAGTCTCGACGTGATAAATATCGGTATTATAACCACAATGATGTCAAATATTACCGCAAACACACCCAGAGCTATCGTCTGCGGTCCGGAAGACGTGGCGCACATAGCAACGAACGAGGCGTCCCAGTGCTCGTTGGGAACTGGCATGCAGACCACTACTAACGAAATGAGAGGGGAAGCGGAGAACATAACGACGGCTGCTATAAGCACGTAGCAAGTGTGGCGAAGCCATTTAAGGGAGCCAAAGACCCGGATGAAAAATACCGGAATAGAACACTTCACAAAAGCGTGCGCGATCATGTTCAGGACTTCCCCGGCAAAATGGCCCTAAAGACAATTAGCAAAGTGGCTCGAAGTAGATAGGTGCATGTAACGAGAATTTCTGGTTAACCTTACTTCAAAGACTGTCATGTTAAGGGCGCTGACGGGCACATCCCATGTGTGTTTAAATATCCCGGTCTTCGCTTGGACTAGATCCTCGGAGTTAGACTACCTCCAACATATCACGAATATATACGGAGATATAATAATGATAGCAAGATTAGGTACATACACTTATATAACACAACCCAATACGCGATTCCGAAAGCTTCTCCCACGACACATAAACCTATCTCGATATTAGTAACGACAACATTTATCAAAAAGGCATTAGCAACTCACAGTCGTCAAGATGCAATTTCCTGCTATGCCTAAGCGACATGACCAGACGTATGACTATCAAAACCGTGCTAATCGGTATGAGCACCAAGCCCGTCGCGAGAATAATCCACTGGAGCGTCGATCCTCCCTCGAAATTCGGAGGGTCGCCATTTGGGTTGTCGAGCAGCGGGGTCGTTGACGGGTCTACACCTGGGGGAGTAAAAAGAACGTTCATCGCGCCAAGATTCGTATCCTTACATAGTCGTCGCTCTACCTAAGGTATTATTCAAATATTGGAAAGATTTCTGAACTTAATGAGGTTAGGTAGGTAGCTACGAAAGATGCGTGTGAGATAGGTAGATGGAAGAAGAAGATGATGATATTTGCCTTGCCTGCAGACATATGAAGAGAGGGGGAGAGGCAGACAATGACGTCTCACCAGCATCCTCTATAAACGAAACAATTCAGGAGCAAGGTATCTTAGATAGGAAGTGTGATATGTAATACTACCAAGTCTTAAAATAGACATATGCAAGTCGTGCAGCGCTGGTGGTATGCGTTCAGCTGGTGCACGTTTCAGGGCTTCTTTATCTCCGAACTTGTTGAATCCTCGGCCTATTTGGGAAATTTTCCTCGAGTACGACATGGCGTTGCGATGCGGTGCTGCGGCGGCGAATGTAACACAGCTTCGAAACGACGCATTTCATTGGTTCAAAGATCCCAGGAGAATAGATCCTCCGTCTAAAAAGAGCTTTAGGTAAGTAATCAATGGGTAAGTGTTTCTTCTTTCTTACAGGTAAGGCGGATTAGATATCTATGCAGCCCTAGGGCAGAGCGGCCGACGTAGGTAATCTGTCGAGGTTAACGGCGCAAATAGGTTTCCTTGATGACCTCACGGACGCCTCTCTTGTGGTAGAAGTCTATGTTGGTATTGCAATGCACACAAAGATGGTGGTAATGGACTAGCATGTACGGCAAGTATATACAGTATAAAAGAAGTCTAAATCTATCGTAAACACCCATCATCACATTAACTCATATCCCCCAAATAATCCAATCAACCAGTCTAATTCCGTTTAATATACCATCAACCAAACAGGCCATCTTAGGTAAGTTCTCAATCAAGCAGAAACCGTATCCTGGAACCAATCCAGCACCACCTGCGCGCCCATGACCGCCCCCGCCGTCGATAGACTTGAAGAAGTGGTACGTGGCGCGGTCTCCCAGCTTGTCCGCGAGCATCCTGGCCTGGCCCTTGAAAAACATGTCGCTCTCGGCGTCGGCGACGAACACGCGGGCCTTGATGTTGGCCAGGACGTCCTCGCCGAGCGTGTACCTGTCGACCTCGGCGGCCCAGGCGTACGGGCTCGTCTCCTTGAACGCCCACAGCCCCTGCTAGATGCCCCAGCGCGCGGACGTCGGCACCCCCGTCCGCCGCGCCAGGAAGCCCCGGACCGCGGCGTCGAACCTGGTCGCGTTGCCCGCCCGGTACAGCGCCTCCAGCTGCGGCCCGAACTGCGTGAACATGGCCTGCCCGAACGAGTACAGCCCGTCGAACGCGATCACCGCCGCGATCCGGTGCTCGAACGCCGCCGCGCGCGGTGCCAGGTATCCGCCGAACGAGAGGCCGAACAGCCCGATCTTCTCGGCGTCGACATCTCCGCGCGATAGCACGTAGCCGACCACGGGCGTCACGACTTCCTCCCACTCCGGGATGAACCCGATGTTCTGCTCGCGACGCACCGTCGGCTGGCCGGGGCCCTCAAACGAGATCACGTTAATGCCGCGCTGGAGAGCCGCTGCGCCAATCACGTGGTACAGTTCCTCCTGCGAGCCGTCGAACCCGTTGCACAGGAGAAGCGTCGGGCGGGGGCCCGGCTGTCCGCTGCTGAAGAAGTAAGCCGGGATCTGGAAGCCGTTGGCTTGGAGGGTGACGCGCTCGGCGGGGTTTGGTAGTAGTGAGATTGCCTTATGGAAGGCCGTAAGCTGCTTGTCCCATAGAGTGTTAATTCTGGAGTCGTTCCAGTTGCCGTGCAGGAAGAAGTCGGCTGAGCGGTAGTAGGTCGCTTCTCGGAACAAGGCATTTCTCGCCGAAACGGGATACCGAGTGGAATCGATCGCGCTCGCTTGGTCGTGCACTCTGTCTGCGAGGGCGATGAAGGCATTGTACCAGCTGTCAAAGTCTCCCGCTACGATGTGGTCTGCGGCAACTAACACTTCGCCCACATCCGCGCCTTCATAAGGTATAAGGCCTAGAGGGCGGAGAAGCTCGAAGTGGAAGTCCTCGTCGGAACTTAACTGCAGTATAGATCCTGGATCTGAGCTGTTGCTTCGTTTTGCTGGTTGAGCAACATGAATTTTGTTTCCTGCGTGTGGCAGCCCCTGTTGTTCGTGTGTTAGTTGAGAGGGACTGTATCCCTGGCTTCGTCGGGGCTTTTAATCAATGAATGCACTTACAGCGACGAAACTTGAGCAGGTAAAAAAGCACAACAGTAGACTTGCGGACTTCATTTTGAAAAGCCCTGTGTAAGTATGAGTTGAATTGAATACTTGATTGATTGCCTTGTCTGGAGGACTTGAAGGCGGTTGATGGTTTCGAGAAACTTGTTGGCTCTGTGAAAGAGCATTTAACTACCATATATATAGTTATACTACATTTTGATTCTTCTTGTTGTCGTTGAGAATTATTCAAGTCTAACTATGATTTCCCAATACTCGTAATACCATGAGGCTTAGCCCATGAGGTTGCCGTTGACCCAAGATTCAGATCACTAATCGTAGAGGTGTAGGAGAACTTGTTGACCTTAAGATTTAAGAGAAGGTGAAGGAAACGACGAGAACGAGAGCGAGAACGAGAGCGAGAGCTATGCGCTAAATCGGTCCCTTGGCGATGGCTCCATGTAATCCTGCAGCATTAGGACCTTGGCAGCATTACGCCGGCAACAGGGCTGCAGGGGTAAATGATTCCATAGACGGGGTTAAATAGATGAGTATGCCCATCAACACTGCAATTCTTTGGTTTCTATAGCTTTTAACGGCCAAGCAAGTAGGCCTTGCCATATATCAGGCAGGACACCAGCGATTGCGCGGAGCTCATCGGCCCCTACACTAGCAACCCACCAGATGTGCTCAAATTTCGTCAACAGCGCGAAGTAGTGGGCGAGTATGACTAGAGACCTCGATGCTCCTTCTTGGATTAGTTCGACGAACCGTCGCCGTGCTAACATAGGAAACATGATCAACCTTCTTAAAATGGCGGTTGGCGGTGCTTGCTCGTCTATTAAGTCGAAGATTGTGCACAGATAAGCAAGTGTAACTTCATAGGCGGCTTGGATATCCTCGTCCCAAGGCTCAAGAGCCCGAATCTCATCGGGTCGATTCATCAAGTGTCGTAACCTATCGTAGTCTCTTATATCAGGTGGTTTTCCGTTATTATGTATGTTGCGAGTATCCTTGATGAGTTGGAACACGGGCGACTGAGGGTCTGGACCCATCCGCTTTACCACCTCGACAAATGTTGACGTAGAGGCTTGGATTAAAGCGAAGCATTGCCAAGGCGGTGTGTAAGGTTGAAGACTTCGGCCTTCGAGCTGGAGAAGCGCTACGGCTCGTATCAAACAAGATGTCAAGCAGACAGCATCTGCCGTTTCTCTATTGACATTGGACAGTTCTTCCTTGTGTTCCCGCACGGCCATGGAGTAATACATATTAGCCGCGTTCTCCGCGCCGCCCACAATTTCTTCGCCTCTACCAAGCTTTGCTAAGTGTAGGGCTGAGAGGGCATACATGGAATATAATAAGGCATCGGAATTTAGTGCATATTTCGGGACAATCCGAGATAGCAAGTCTCTAGTATGAAGATCAATTGCAAGTGATTCTCCCGTTTCAATAATATATTGGTGCATTAATCTCGTCTCCGTCATTCGACGCGTACGACTTTCCGGTGGGTCGCTTTCCTCTGATTTGTAGGGAGGTGATTGAGCCAGAGTTGACTTTTCAAAAGCCTTTGCGGATGCATCGCGATCGTAAATACAAGGCAAATCGTGTCGTTTACAATTGTAACAAATCGGCTTTTGCTCATTACACTAGAAAAAAAAAACGCACACGAAATTCCTATTAGTTGGGGCTCGCAGTTGAGGTGATAGTCTTAGTACAACCTTGACTCTTCTAGCTCGACAACGCTGGCAGCCTACAGAAGGTTAGATGAGCAATGTACAATACAATATATGGGAAGGGGTTTAAGATGCATACCGAACATCGACTTCTTGTGACCTAACTTAGGGACTTTGTGGGGAAGCGGAAGACTAGAGCCGGACGCCATAATTGAATGTTTATTATCGTGAATCGAAACAAGAATCCCTTGGTGGAAAATCGAATAGGTAAGGCTGACAAGGACGCGAGAACGAGCGCGACCTTTAACCGAGAACGACATGGCATTAATACCTAGGTACCTAAAGTAATATTACTACATATTATTACACCGATATTATTCGCTAGGCTAGGGTCTCCGAACAGCATCGTATGAACGGGGCTGGGTTTGGCTGGGGTAAAGAGACTCAGCTAGATCCACCAGCATAATCATCTTATTTTTAACTCAAGCACCAGTTATTTAAAACAAATACGTCATCTCGTCCGTACCTAATAAGGCAAATGGTACAAGGCTTCAAGCTTATTAACACCAGAAGAATGTTTAATTTCGGCATTACACCGTCCTCTTTTGGGGTTCAAAAGGGTAATAGAAAATATAAACTGCTCAACTGCGATAGCTTTCTCACTCCATTATTATCATTACAAGTTGGCAGACCGCGACATTAGAAACAACCGGCACGCAAAAGTGCTAATAAACGAATCTGAATCAAGCTTCTCGAAGAGCAAGCGATGACTTCCTATTCACGAAGCTAAAATGTCATGGTCTCGGCGCAAATAGTCTATTCGCCACGCAATGGTTCATTCTCAGCAGACCTTTTCATAGTCCTCAAACTCGATGATTTATCACTAAACATCATTAAACCACTCCGACATCTTAGGTCCGAAGGGGGTAATCTTAGTAAAAATAATGAAACCGCATAGAAGAAGAAAATACGACCGCGTACGGACAGTCAAGAAGAATTGAAGACCCGTTGCGTTTGGTGTTGCTTGGCGTCAAGAAGTCATAAAACACGGCGCATGATTCGTTTGATGTATTTAAAATACCAACGAACTCACCAGATTTCGTCTTTCTGATTAGGTGGGTGGTTTCGCAGATTCTCTCCTATATCTGACGTAAAACCTACAGTGAAGTGGGAAATAGACTCTGATGGCGTCGGAGAACCCCTGCGTTCGACAGTGGCTTTCCACTTTCTAAAGGATGGCTTGAGCTCTTCACTTCCTGGACCCCAGCCATAGACCGAAATAGACCCATCGTGTCTACGGCGACGACGTCGAGGAGGGGTACGAATGCTGGTCTGGCTCCCGACTTCTTGAGCACCTCGACCTCGACCAAAGTTTGGGCGTCTCGCACCATTCTGCAGTGGCTGGTTTGCTCTAGTCGAATTTCCACCGCGATGACGTCCCCATCGACCAGAATGCTCACCGCGTCGGGAACGATAGCCCGGGTTTTCCGGTTCATAAGTACCGCAGGGATTATAACCGGCAGTTTTATCTTGGTTCGCGTTGGGAGGTTCGTCAATCCATGGAGCCTTTTCACTATTCTTGCGAAGCTGCTGATTAAAACTTTGGATGGCGTCGGCTTTGTCAACTTGGGCATCAGCTGAATTAGAGACTTGCAATGTTTCGAGCGGAATAGGTTCGCGCCATTCGTGTGGTAAGAGCTTTCGCTACGTGGTCGACAAGTTAGTACTTGCTCAAGGACAGCTTTTTTTTTCCTTGTAGGACGGAGGGAAGGGGGTGGGTTGGGAGAAAGGATATAAACTTACATCTGATCCCTCGTGACGCCCGGCGGCGGTTTCCGGTCCGTTAGCCAAGATAGTTGTGAACGGCAAAGTGGATGTTTGCTTAGCGGGCATGTCGATAGGTCCGAGACGGCTGGAAGAAGTAGGACCAGGACTCTCGGACTGTGCATGCTCAATACTGTCAGTCGTTGTGTCGTCTGATAACGATGCCACTGCAAGATTCATCTCAGTATCAGCGGGTCCGTTAAGTTCGGCACCACTAGTTGTCGATGATGACGAACCATGTTGGTTAAAGTTATCATCATCGTGGAAACTGGAATCCTTCAAGTTGTGTTCCTTCTGGGTTTCGACAAGTGATCCCGTAGAACAAGATTCACCATTAATACGGAAAGTTACATTGTGACCAGGTTTCGTAGGACTAGAAAGCTGATTACTCGAGGGCTTTAAAGCTGTACGATCTGTCGCTGGGCCGGCTGAAGTTTCGGATGTTGACCCGGTGGTTTTGATCGTGGTCGAATGCTTCTTCTTCTGGGTGCCAGTAGCTTCGCTTCGGAGAAGATGTATCAGGTTCTGAAGGACATCTCGGTGGAGACCGGTAATAGCCGAATTCGATTCAAGAGACGTAAGAACCTTGAAAGATTAGGATATATCAAAGAGCGATGTACTTTATGAGGTGATACGAATACTTACAGTTTCCAAAGCGTGTGCTGCCAGCTTGTTTCTATCAACATTCTTCACATGCTTCTCAAAATAACCATTAAGCATGCCCTTTTCGGCATCGCCAATCTGGAGAGCCTCAAAAAGGTTGTCAATGAGCTTTAGGGCTATATCGACCATTTTGAAGATCTGTCGATATATCAGCTGTTAATTCTTCTTAATTGTTGGCAGAGAGATAGGAGTAGGGAAAAGTTGAGTTGCGAAGTAGGTATCAGTACATGTAAGGATAATACCCGGATGGTGTATGAAGTATGAGGTACGAGGTGCAAGGTACAAGATAACGGCATTGGGCTGAGGTAATGGTTGTGCTTTTATACGTACCTAGGTATTTACAAACTTGAGTTAGGGTAGGCAATTGCGTAAATACCTGTAACCTATGTCAAGCTAGAGGTCGATATGAGGCGATGACGAGTGAGACAGAGATTGTGTGAGAAGGTGCGAGGTGCTAGTCCAAAGAACAACCAATGTACAACTCAATGTGGGATACAATTGGCGGATTGAAGGTTACTAGGCAATTTCAAAGTAAAATTGTGAAAGACCTAACACAAAGCAGGAAGGAGAAAGTTGTTGTTGGGGATATTGAGTAGCGACGACCTTGAGAAAGATCGTAACCTAGAACAACTCTTGCCCTCTGTTAAACTGCGTCCGAGGTACGGGGCTACATGAACTGAACAAATGGATTCACGTAAGGAAGGAGAAGCTTAGGAAAGAATATATTCGGAAAAGTGAAGGCACTAGCCGCACTAAGCATTGAATGCTTAGGTAGGTACGAACATGTATTAGGTAGATCGGCTACGGTACTATAGGTACCTACCTATATAATACTTACTAAGACAAGTAAGAAGCTAAAGGTGGGAAGGGTTAAGCATTAGGAGAACAACAACGACAATAACAACGACAACGACAAATTAACCAAGTGAAAGGTACCTAACCTCTGTACCTAAGGTGTCTGTATGTCCTAATTATATGAGATTTTGGACACTGTCGCCGTCAAAGCATTCTTTAATATATGTAAGACATCTTTGAGATTATCTATTAATAGGGTTAATAAAACTATTTCTGCACCTTTCTAATGCGTCGCCATGTAAATAAAATGTGACCAAGCTCATGTCTTATTGGTATGTATTATTTCGGCTGGAGCCTGGCTCAATTATCTTTGCTTCGATGTTCTTATGCAATTCCATTCTTTCATCCTCTTAACCATATCACTTCTCAGAATATTTCTTGGTATTTTATTTATAGAACTTCAACTGCCTTAACTCTTCTGCTTGCCAAAAGGAAAACGACCTCTTCAATTGTGACGCAGTATCCTCTGGACGGTGATTGAAAGTGACTGGGAGTCATTTACCAATGATTTAGAATAGGTACCTCTTACAAATACCAACACTCTTAGTATTTAAACTATAAAAACGCTTTAATAACAATTAAGTGAAGTAACAAGTTCAGATTTTCAGATCTAGGTAGTTAACTATTGAGGATATTTTAGCCTATATGGACGGGCGACGTTCTTGGAACATACATGTAATTATCGAGAAAAAAAAAAGACTTCCGTTGTGGTTGAAGTGTCTAACAATGGCTTTTTATTGGTGTGTGCAGACACACAATGCGTCTGCGTTTTTCCATAATTTAAGCTGCTGATACTTTGTTGATGATATCCACCAGCGTTGTTGTCTCCTTATCTATTAGAAATGGACTTTGGCCGCATTCTAGCTCAACGGCTATAGCCCCTGCAGACTCTGCACGCTATACTGCTCTTTCAGCTTCGCTATACCAAGCCATGAATCGTAAGGCCTCGTCTATAAGAAAGAAATGTTCTTACATCTGTCCAACCACGAGGGATTGGAAGCGACTTGTCCGGTTGTAAGCCCCGATATATAAACAAGCCCGCGCATGCCCCCTTCGAGCCTCTGGGATACGCGTTCATCAAGGGCCGAGCCGGCTGATACCTGCGTTGCAGCAATACCTTCATAACTAAAACAGATCATGACTACTCTGTTGCTTTGGCTGAGATAAGGCGCTAGATATTGTCCGAACCTACGCAGTAGCAACGATATATGTTTTATCGTCTATGAAGCCATCATACCTAGTTGTGACAAGCGATGGAGCAAGAACTTTATACCCGCTACTTCGGAGTCCGTCGATAATGTAACGGTAGTGCAGAGGAATATGCCACGCTCCTTGGAGAAGCAAGACGATCGGCTTGTCCTGTCCCATCCTCTTTCCACACTATTGGTCTGTGATATTAGGAGTTTTGATAGATGAACGGCGACTACCTACAGAGGAGACTTGGAAGTGGGTGGATATTTATACAGAATTGGGATTTGAGTCACTATCAAGGCCTGTTGTTCTAGCCAGATGCTGGCGTAAGCATTGCAGGCGCTTTGCGAACCACCCCTTTGCAAACGCAGTCTAGGCTAAGCGCTTTCTGGCCTAATAATGCTACATGGTTGGACGTTTAGTCAACATATGAACTAGATCGGGCAACTAGGGCTGCTGTCAACCAGAAAGGGCTTACTATGCATATGTATACCTGTCTTCTACTGACGTGACGCCAGTCGAAACCCTTCATGCCAAAGATCTTGACGGTTTAAGAGTCCGTCATCAACAGAAGAGTGCTAACTAGCGTAAACCCTTACGCATGTAAACTTATCAAATAGACCTTTAATATTAAGAGTTGTCCTGTTTATTAAGTAGTCGATCCTTTGCTAGGGAATTTTCTTCATAAAGCCTCTAAATTAGGCAGGAGCAATTGTAATTCATAACAAATATCGAAAATTCAAGACCTTTCAAATCAAGTTTAAAATTCTTTGAGTCGAGAATAAGTACCTAGGTACCTACCTCCTAAGGTAAGCACCCCAATCTATGTGCCTAAGGCATTCCTCTACCCCCGCCACATCGCCGACCCCTAGGGAGCCCCCGAGAAGCGCTTGGGGGGGGGGGGGGGGGGGGGGGAAAAAAAAAAAAAAGGTTGGTAAACAGTTTGGAGAAAAATCATAGGTAACTAAGGTGGGTATAAAAGATTTGAAGAACCTTTTTTTTGTAGCACCCG